CGTGGCCGCCGCGGCCGCGCGCGGGCCGGCACGGCGGCGCGGCGCGGCGTGCCCGCGACCGCCCCGTATAACAAATCCGTTTTACACGGCGGGGGGGGTGCGGTCGTGTTTACAGGACGAGTCCGGGCGAACTAACCGGGCCTGTGATTGGCCGGCGCGCACCTGCAATGCGTCAGGCAGCCGCGCGGACTGTGCCGTGTCGCGCCGGCTACCGGGTCAAAGCCGGGCTTCCCTGCCTGCGAGAGAGGAGTCGCTCACGAATGCGACGGACGCGTTTTTCGGCAACGCGACGATCGGTCTCCCTCTCGCCTAGCCTGCTTTGCCTGCCTGCCTATCTACCTGCCTGCCTTTCCCCTTTCCGCGCCTTTTCCCCGCCGGTTTTCCCGACTCCCTTCTTTGCACGATGTTCTCTCTCTCTCTCTCTCTCTCTCTCCTCTCTCCTCTCTCTAACGCTCTCGCCTCCCCCGATCAGCGGATCTCCGAGCCCGCTCTACCGAATTCCGCTGCCGATCCGCTCTACCCACCCTCTTTTCCTTGCGTATACCCCCGAATTTTATCTCGCGACAGCTTTCTTTCGTCTCTCTCTCTCGATCAACCCTTCCCGATGATCGTCGTGCTTCGCGCCGCAGATCGCGCGCCGTGTTTCGCCGCTTGTTTCATCGCTTATCGATCTCGCCCGTTGACGATCGGCGTCACCGCGTTTAACTCGTACCCTCCATCCGTTTTCGTCGCGCGGGACAGTCGGGACGGGGCCCCCTACGAATTGCGTTGTCGCGAAATCGGTTGCAGAGGCAACGAAAGCAGCGGTTCGGCCTCATGTGTGCGACACATGGCAAATTCGCGCCGTGAAAAAAATTACTTCTCTTTAGGTTTGTCACGTAAAAACCGATCTTCTCTTCTCGCTATAGCATTTCACCCCTTATCGATTGTCTCCGTCCTTTCTGCTGTTTTTTTTTTAAATAGAATGAGGACCTTTTAGTGTAAAAACCGCGCCATAGAGGAAACCTATCGCTCTCGTGGACGACGACACAAATTGGATCTGCTCGAGGCGAGACAGTTGGAAGGAGAGAGAGAGAGAGAGAGAGAGAGAGAGAGAGAGCCACACTGTAATTTTCTCACGTTTTTCGTCTCTCCTTTTCTCCGTCTCCCTTCTCTTCTTCTTCGAAGTATTGATTTTGATCAATTTCACGTTATTCTAGGCGCGAGCTGGCTCCCAAGTGCAGATTCCTACCTTCTCGAGAAATTTACAGGCGGGTGCAAAGCGTGAAAATTTATCGTACCCGGCTGTACCGTCGTCGTCGTCGTCGTTATAGTCGTCGGTCGCTCTTGTCCTCCGCCACCCCTTTCCCAGACTCCTTTTGCCTTTCTCCTATTTTACGCCTTTCCTTCTCCGCCTCTCTCTCTCTTTCTCTCTCTCTCTAGCCCGCCAGTCGCTCTCTCGCGGTGCCCGTTTCGCTCCTTCCTCCCTCCTTACCTCCCCCAGCCGCCGCCGCTTTGCCTATATACTATTTCCACTTTCCCGGTATGTGTGTCAGTGCGGCAATTTGACAGTGGTGTCAGATAACGTGTAATCGCGCGACGGATTGGAACGATTACATCCTGAGTGGTTACCGGGGAGCGATAAACGGGCTCTGTTTATTGATAAAATGACATTGTATAACTTGATTATTTTCCGTAGACAGACATCTTATGAAGATAAGGGGAGAAACACACGAGCGAGAAGTTGCCTGCGACTTCTCTCTCCATCTCTCGAACTCACGCCTCCCCATCTCCGTCTCTATCTACCTATCTCCCTCTCTCTCTTTCCTTCTCTCTCTCTCTCTCTCTCTCTCTCCCTCTCCCTCCCTCGCTCGCTCGTTCTCGCCGCGCGCTCCACTTCGTGTATATATCGCGCGTATAGATTATATATTCCCCAAAAGTTCTGCATTGCGTTCTCGCGTATAGGTACGTAGTACGTGACGGGGAACGCGATCGCCGATAAAGCGACCCGCTCCGAAGAATCGAGACAGATTATCGCCTTACCGCCGTTGATTATCGGTATTACCGCTATTATTATCGGTATACGTGCTCACGCCCCGCGGTCCCAATTGAACGCGCATTTCTCGCTGGGTTCGCTTTTCGGAGGCGAAACGCGCTAAGTATATAGCGATCGGGGAGGGAAAACCGCGCCTTCCGCCGCCGAATTCGGCGTAGGGCGATTATTTTAGCGCGCCTGTGTGTGACCGCGCGCCGACAAAGAAATATCACGTTGTAATCCGAGGCCAAATCGTTGATCTTTATATATATATTTGTGAATTCGCTTTATCGACATAACGTGTCAAAGGGACATGGTATAGGCCCGTTGCGGCTTGCCGCCGTCAATTTTACGAATCATAAAAATACCTTGCGAAATATCGATATATACATACACGCATTCTTTTTTGTTTACTCTGCGTTCGCTTATATTTATTTTGTTGGGCAGCTTTTTCCCGTCTCGCTCTATTTCTAAATTTCATATACATATATACCTTGGCAGTTTAAGCCGTAGACTAGCTGTTTTCTCGCTATATTACAGCGTATACTGTTCTAATCTATATAATACCACCGTATTCATGAGATTCCTGCGCTTCGAGGGAAATTATCTCAGGGCGTTTAATAAACAGCTATTCTCTCTCTCTCTCTCTCTCTCTCTCTCTCTCTCTCTCTTTCTCTCTTTCTCGCCGCGAATAATGACAATACGTCCGATATTCCGATGTCGCGTGTCACTCCTCGGTACGGCCGGTCCGCCCGGTGAGGATCTGAAATCTTTACGAAGGCGATTACAGGAGGTTGGCCTACGCAAGTCGCAATGCCGCGCGGGTGCGGTGAATAATTCAGCACGCCTCTCCAGCAACCAGCTTAGCACGAAGCCGGCCGGCTGCACGCGCGCGCGCGTAAGCGAGCGCGTGAGCGGACGCGTGACTCGACGTGACTCGTGAGCGTTTCCACCTAGAAATCCGTAATCGTACAGATACTTAGGCAGCTGCGAACGTGGCAAAAAGGTGGAATGCGTCACGATCGCTGGAAGTCGATCTCCGAGAAACGCGCCGTCGGCGTTCGGAAAGAAAAAAAAGAATGAGAGGGAGAAAGAGAGCGAGAGAGAGAGAGAATTACGGGCGACAGGTGCGAGAATGCGACGACGGCGTGCTCGGTCCCGGCGCGCGCCACGCGACGCGCGGACGTTTTCAGTTTCGCTGTGTATATACGTTCAGGACGTATATTTCTATATTCAGAATGACGCTGTTATATTTCAGGGAGAGAGATCGATCGCGGGCCCGACACCCCTCTGCAATTTTCGATGAGAGCAGGAAATTGCCGTAATCTCGATGGATTCGATCTTCGCGACGTTAGCCCTGTACCTATATAAGCGTGCCGCCGCCGACGACTCTCCCCGTGGCCGGTATAGGATGAACAACACGGACACGGAGGAGAGGTCATTCTCGCGCGCTCCCGCTATAGCGTCGAGATCTCATCAGCTCGTCGTCGCGTCGACGTTCAACAATTCCGCTTCGAAGAGAGAGAGCTTATTCGATCAGTCGTGACGTTGGAGTTCGCGACTGATCTTGAGCTCCTTCTCCTGATTGCGAGCGGCGCTGAGCTGCAGAGATGATACGCGAATGCAACGAAGGGAACTAACGGGCGGCGACCTGACGTTCTCTCGGAGGAGGGAGCAGAAACGCGGGAGGGGCGGAGAAGGTGCGGATGAGGGTGGATGAGCGCTCGCGCTCGCGCGCGCCGAGGGGAATACCGAACTTCTTTTCTCTCGCAAAAGCGTATATAAGCGCACGACGCGTATATATCGATCGACGGCGCGCTCCGGCCAGGAACACGGCGACGCGACGGCCAGGAACACCTCGCTGTCCGCACTACCGCTCCGTTCTGTATGTGTATGTATGTGTGTGTGTGTGTGTGCCGCGTGCATGTGTCGTCCGATGAATTGTTAACCGCTCCGTCGTTGTGACCGTGACCGATATATCCCGGAGACGCGCGACGGTTTACGCGCGCTCTCGGGCGGCGGACGCGCCCGGCGCGCGTTGTCGATAGGATCTAATTAGAGCGGCGACAGCGGCGGCGTGCGCGCAGAAAAGATTATATCCGCGAACCGTTATTCCCGCCCCGTTATTAATCCCGGCCCTTCGTCGCCCGCCATTTCGCGTTCCGCGAAAGGGGGCGAGAAAGAGGAGCGATCGAGGACGGTATAGGGGGTTGAGAGAGGGGTTGACGGGGAGACTGGGAACTGGGAACCGGACGCGCCGGTCGATCGTATCTTTCACGCATCCCCGTGCTGCCCTGCGTATGCATAATGCACTAACGAGCTATGCAATACTACGTTTACGCGCTCGGTATACCCGCGAGGTGTGTACGTGCAGTATAACACACGTATAGCGAGACGTTTCGCGGAAACGCTGCCGCGTCGCGTCGCGGCAAAAATCGATGGCAAGTCGAGTCGAGCCGAACCGCGCCGCGCCGCGCCGCGCGGTGCCGTGCCGTGCCGCGCTGCTGCGGGGGTTCCGTCGTCGCCGCGGCGGGCGCTCGTCGAACGAGCGTCGTCAAAGGCTAACGTCATTGACGTAGTTCCCTCGAAGGGGTCGGGCCCACCCGCCGATCTCTCGAGGAGCGGAGGAGCGGCTCTCTCTCTTTCTCTCTCTCTCTCTCGGAAAAGTCTCGCCGCCGCGCCGCACCGCATATGACGACGACGCGGCACCGCGCGGCACGGCATGCCGCGTCGCCGTGCGTCGAGCCTGCGCACGCTAGGACGCGCAATGCGACACGCGATAGAACGGGACGGCGAAACGGTACGACCGCGGTAATCTCGTTACGGGATGAGGGGGCACGGGGAAGGAGAGGAGAGAAGAGAGAGAAAGAGAGAGAGAGAGCGAGGGCGGAAGGGTGCGCGAGCGAGAGAACGGGGGCGTCGAAAGTCGGGGACGCTCGGTACCGAGGTGGATTTTCTCAGGGGTAGGTAGGTGGGTGGGTGGGTGGATAGGTAGGTAGGTAGGTAGGTAGGTAGGTAGGTAGATAGGTAGATAGGTAGGTAGGTAGGTAGGTAGGTAGGTAGGTAGGTTGGTTGGTTGATAGGCCAGGCAGGCGTGCAGGCAGGTGGAGGTAGGGAATTTAATAGGAGAGCCGCAGTAAAGAATGTTAATTTTACCGTAATGGCATCGGTCTCTCGCACGGTCACGCTATCGCCCGTTAAAAATTGATATTCCTCGCGTCCTTGCGCGAAAGATGGCTGAGAAGGGGGAGGGGGGCGAGGTGGCGCGGGACGGCGGCGTCGGCGGCGGCGACGGGGATCGCCAACGGGGATAGAGAGGGAAAATGGAATTCCGTTTGTTGCGCAATATATCCCAATACCCAGGCGCAGTAAGGGAGGATTAAAAAAAAAAGGGTGGAAGAGCGAGAGAAGAGCGGCGCGGGAGGGTAATTTCCATGCGATATTCGTATCGCTCGCGATTTCGCCCGGCAATAAAAGGCCCTCCTCTCCGCGTGGCGTCGAATATCCAAGCTCGACGGAACCGTGCCGTCAAAATTTCAAATTGTTTCGATCTCCGGTTAAAAGCGACGTTCAACCGAAGGGGCGCGAGCTGCACGTACGTTTTTGACGTCGAATAAAAAGGAGAAAGAAAGAGGAAAGAGGGAGGAGAGAGACAGAGATAGCTAGAGAGAACGAGGATGCGCAATACACACAGAAAGATACACAACGGAATACCGCACACGCGACACACACATACACACACACACATGCATTCGTATAGTGTTTGCGCGCTTATAGTATTCTTTATTTAAAGAATACTTTTACAATGTGGGTTAGTATGGGGCAGAGGGAAATGGATATAGCTTTAAACGTATAAATGTGCGGAGGAGAGCCTGGAATATAAAGCCGCGTCTCGCCACGCCGCGGTTCAGCTCGAAGCGACGTGTAATATGCATACCTATCCATTACGTATTTAAACATTCGTCTTCCGCGTCCTGTGTAATTTAAATTCGCGCCCCGGGGGGACCCCGACGTCGACTTTCCTCCTACGGCTCGTATATACGTACATACATAGCTCTTATTAAATACAATCGCCTGAGTCTGACGATTAACGCGAAATTCGCATTACGGATTATCGCTGATGGGAGAGACGCGTTATGGCGCAATAAACCACCCTCGCTTTTATGTACCCCATCCGACTTTCGAGAAATAAGAGACCTATAATCGTCTATAGCGAGGTCGAGAGGGAAAAAAAGAGAGGCACGCCAATCTTCTGCGTCGTTAGAATGTTTTCGAGGATCTCGCTTACTCCGCCGGTTGTTCGTTCCCGGCCGCGGCTTTGCTACCAGCCGGAAAATTGCCGTACCTCTTAATGACTTCCCGGCTGATGTAATTTGAAATTAGAGAAGGAAACGCGAGCACGCGGGCTGGTGTGCCGTGCCTCTGCATACGCGTCAATACGCGCGCCGACCCTCCCGGCGAAGGCGATCCACAAGGCGTTTTCCCCGAGCTCCCTGCGCGAAACCAGGCCATGCATGTATAATATTATTATATCGATTACACAAAAGAAAATAGCTACCTCTTAACGATAACACGATTGTCATTCGTGCGTTCTATATACAGCCGTTATTACGCGTTGCGCGTGCGAAACGTACGTACGTATGCGTTCGCCGACGATGGGAGGAGAAGGAAAGAGAGGGAAGATTTTTCTACTCGTCTATCAGAGATAGAGAGAGAGAGAGAGAGAGAGAGAGAGAAAGAGGAAAAAAAAGGATAGACAGAGGGAAAACGAAGATCGACCGTCGCGCACCGTCCCGATAAAATCGCGCCCTTATCGATTTCTATAAAAATAAATTACTACATTTTTAGAGAGCCATTACATCAGACTTTTCCGATCCGAACCGTCCGCCCGTCCGTGCATCCGCTTATACACGTACGTACGTACGTACGATACCTACGTTACGTACGATTTCGCATATACGTGTAATATGTGCTTGCGCATCGCGCGCAAATTGGGCCACCACGTATGCGCATTGCCGCATCCGCGACAGGTACTTTAGCGGCGCGCACCCGCACCGTAAATGCCGCGACTGTCCGAAAAGACGATAGAGACGCGCGACAATCTTGCGATCGCGCGGATTCTCGAGAATGAACGAATAAAGTACCATAATCAAAATAATAATAGCTCTGAATAATAGAAGCGAGCGCGCTGCCTACGCGAAACTCTTTCGCAAAACGCAAGAAAGTACTACCGATTTTTAGACGTCGTCTCGGGGCGTCTCTACGCGTCGTACGCCCCGGGATAGGAATATATGTTAACACGAAACGGCAACCGCCGCTGGTGCAACAACTCGCGCACCAGATTCGTATCGGATACGTGTATTTGAAATTTATCGTATCCACAATGCGGCGGGACATGCGACTCCGCTGCGGTAGACACAAATTCTAAATTAAAGTCCCGGGATTACTCTACCGCGGAAACCTTCCGGGAAACAGGCCGTGTTCACCTTCCGCGAATTTGTCCGACATTCTGGAGGTAAGACTTTATTCGAATTTATTACATCGATTGTAACTATTTTGTACAATTAAAGTATCTCTTCTCTTTCTCTTTTTAACAATGAGTTTATACAATAGTACAACGTGTCCAGGTACTATTGACGGGAAGGCGAGGGAAATGCCCGCGGAAAATTACGAACGTAAAGAGAAAAAGTAAACCGTGATTTCGCCGAATCTTGTATTCTCCTAGGAACCCGAGGATTACTCGAAGGTCACCGGTATCGACAGAATCGGCAGAATGGGATTTGTCGTTTCGACCTCCAACGCCGTTGCCATACAGTCACTGGCAGCCTCCACCTCGCCCAACGATTCCAACACCATCCCCAAATTATACCTGAAATATAAATATTCTTTGTAAACTAAAGTTTCACAATTCATAACATTAAATAATATATAAATAGATATATACCTATATATACAATAAATTATAAATAAATTATATTATATAGGTATATAATGAAATACTAATATTAGAAAGAACGAAGAATTGGTAAAATACGCGTATTATGTCCGTATTATATCATATCTTAACGTTCGATTTATCGTGACGATTCTTGAGATAATTGGCTATCCGATTACTCCAGAATACAGATATAATGCTATCGTCATGCGAAATCATTACAGATAATAAATGACCATTGACTCGTGCCACGAAGTTATCGTCACGATAATCTGTTTATAGCAATCAATTGAGGCCATGTAGTACCAAGTCTGATGAGAATTTGGATCGATTTTCGCGGCGTCCCTCAAGGTTTTCTCTGCCAGTCTCTGACTACCCAAATAGTGATAAATAAGACCCTGCAAATAATCACATATAGAAGCAATATTAGATTTATAAATCTATTTCCAGCATTGTACAAAGTTATAAAATCATACAAAATATGTGTAAAAAGTTTCATAAAATATATGTTTAATAATTAATGCATGCAGCGCAAAAATTATTACCAGGTGTTGTAAACTCTTTATGTGCGAAGGATTGATTGAAACAGCGTTTTGATAGCATTGCTTCGCTTCCGTGTACTCCAACTTGTACTCGTGCAGAAGGCCACGCTGTAAAGAGATAATTGTACTTTATTATCGTGCAACATTGTGTAACGCTCCCTCAACGAATCATCCAATCTGAATCATCGAACATAAAGATTCATAATGGCAAGGAGAGATCCGTGCTATTATACCGTGTACATAATGTGGTGACTCAACGGGAAGATGTTGGTGGCCTCTTGGAGGGACAGAACGGCACCGTTCGGTTGGTCCAGGATAAGGAAAACCTCGGTGAGCAGAAGCCAGATCTGCAATTGCAGCAGCCATGCTCTCTGCGGCCCTGGCTTCGGTGTGAACGAGCTAATTGACGAGGCGACCTCGGAAAGGGCTTGCTCGACTCTCGAAGCGGCTAATGATTGCGCATGCAGGGAACCTACCGGAAAAACGTCGTCTTTCGTGAGATTTTTTTTTTTAGTCGATTTTTCGGAGACTATTGTGGAGGGTCTCGGTCGAGGGTTTCGTATTAGAAATTAATAATTAAGTTTCTAACGGAATGCTGGGGGGTACGTTATTGGAAAATGCGATGAGAGTTTGATTCAATCAGTTTACAAGATAATACAATCCATTTTTTTTTTGTTATTACTTCTGCCTAACGTGTTATTCAATGTTATCTATATATTAACACGTGTACGACGTGTTTTACTCACTCGAGTCCTTATCGGACATTTCCGACGTGTAGAGCTGAAAGACGCTTCTGGTCTCGCTGCGCTTCTCGCTGTGTTGCTCGTTACAATTAACATTCGTCTGATCCTCATAGAGACTTTTCCACAGATGCAGCATGTGGCTGATCGTGTATAGCGCGTCGACACCGCCGATACTACGCAACTCGAGATGCGCTTTCACGTAGAGGAAATTCAAGTTGTCCGGGTATTCCTCCAGCACGCTGTTTATCACGTGCAACGCCTCGGAATACTGCTTGTGTGCCGACAGGAGTAACGCGAATAAATGCAACGACGGAATGTGCTCTGCCCGTAGATTCAGCGCAATTTTCACGTGCACGATGGCGTCGGTTATCTGCCTGTTTATCGCATACTCGTGAGCGAGATAATACTCGGCCAGATGATCGTTGGGATCGCACTGTTGCGCCCTGTTCGAAAGAAACACGATCCTCTATTAATCAATTAAGAAAAAGAAAATTCACGAGTACGCGGTTTCTTGATCGTTACATATCGAGTTACGTGAGAAATACGTACTTTTGAAAGCAGTCCAACGCGGTGTTCGTGTGATTCACCTTGTCCTGCTTGACGATTGTGTTCGTGGAGAGCATACTGTGACCGATCCCGATGTACAAGTGGCATCTAGACTGCATCCCCTGCGGACTCGCCGTCTCTCGTTGCAGAGCCTTTTGACTCCATTCAACACCTTCGTTTATCTGCTCAAAATCGTCAACTTTTATTACGGGAATATGCTTTTCGCTTTTAAACGTAGATGAAGAAACGCGGATGAGAAAGTTTATTTACCATATTCAACTGCTCGTAACACAGCCTCGCCGCCAACAGACAGGGCATCACTTTCTGAGGCGATAGCCTGGCGACTACCTTCAAAACTCTATACGCGTGCATGTACCTTCCCATGCTGATCAGGCATAGCGCGTACTGCGTCCATATGTGCACCTCCTCGTGAGAGAATTTCATTGCCCTTTCGAAAGACTGTCATAAAAAAAAAAACATTAAATATCCGAGTAACATATGAATTTTTCTTATCGCGATAAAATGACAATAGGATTAAAAAAAAAAGAAAAGAGAAAATCTCAACCTCGTGTAAAAGTTCCACTTGACTCCATCTGACGACGACAACCGTGAGTAGATCGTAGATAGCGGTGGCGTTCTCGAACGCGTGTATCCTGGCTTCCTTGAATTCGGGCGATTGGCTGAGAACGGCGTCCCTCACCGCCATCGCCTCGCTGATCAGTAACAGCAGGATCGACTCCTCGTACTCGTTCCTGGGGACGAACATATTCGGTCCCACGTATTTCTTTGGTTTCCATGGCGAATCCGACGGATTTGCGCCCGAGTAATGATTCGCCCGTCTATTACTCACGGCTGCTGCGACATTCAATCGATATCACTTTTTCCTTTTCGAGAAAGGAATATTCCGTCATATTTATGCGGTTATACGCTCATGTTATCATTACCCATTGTGTCAGTTTGTCCGTCCGGTGGTTTGTAGTCGGCGCCGCTTATGCCGCGTAGCAACACTTCCGCCAACTGTCTGGTCAGCGTTACCCGCAGACTCTGAGTGGTTGTAGATTCAACAGCAGATAAAATCTCCCTGTCGGAATTGGAACAGATTAAAATATCCATGAAGAGAAAATTATATATGTAATAATTTTTTTTTTCGAAATGTCGCCTTACAACAAGTATCTTTCTTAAAAAATTAATATTCTGACAACTATTTTTCTTAAAAAAATTAATAAATCATAAGATAATTTTTTAAATGTAGGAACTGAAGTTATGGAATTATGGAGTTATAGTGTTATGTAATTAATGCGTACCTATAACGATTAACAGCGGCTTGTATGTTGCCGGTTTGAACGTACAATATCGGCGCTCTTTGCAGCGCGGTCTCCAAAATGGGACCGATTTGCTTTGTGGAAACTGGAGTTGGTGTGGAGTACGTACCTATAAATGAAGAAACGTTAAAAAAAACTACATATTTCTCATCGGCTTGAAATTCTGCCAATTACCTGTATTACTATTTGTGATTATAGTGGAAATACCATTTTGTTGCTGCATAGCAATTTTGTCTTGCTCCTGCAAGTACACCAGCGTCAAGTCGCCAGAAATCTCGTAACACTTGATTATCTGTTCCTGCCATTCTGCGATCTTGTATTTCGACTTCGAGTTTGGCGGTAGCCTTTCCAGACAGAGACCTGGCACGAGTAACAGTTTACAATACCAACGTCAATCAGGAAATACCGGCACATTTATGTCAATGCAGAAAAAAAAAACTAAATTTAGTATACAAAGTAAAATTAGAATTTCCCAATCTTAGTGGCCGAAAAACGTGTATGACGAAATACTTTACAAAATTTGTTATAGCTTCATTCCTTGTAAATAGTAAGGATCTTCACATTTTGTGCTTGCCCCAAACTCATCGCAACTAAACTCTAGTTGTATTCGATAGAAACAAGTTGATGAAATTAAATATCAAAAGAAGCAAAGGCACAGAACTTTTGTTTTCGTTTGAGATTTCTTTTTTTTTTTTTTGAAAATTCTAAATATTGAAAAATATACAAATGAGATAACATGCTGGTATATATATTCTTAAGTTCATAAAAGCATTTACAAGCAAGCTTCTATATCGTGAAAAAGATGAATATTATAAAGTGTGCAGTATATATGTATATTAAGGGTGCGTTAACTAAATAAATTTCTAAGTAGAGACGCAAGCAAAACGAAGCAAACAAGCATACAAACCTTTGATCGCATACGATTCTGCAATAATGCGCAGTCTTCGGCAGGACAAATGTTTGTCAGTGTCTAAAGTAAACGATCTTTCTTTCTCTAAATCATACACAAGCCATAGTAATAAATGAATATACTGGATAACAAGAAGTTTATGAATTAAATAAATGTGTCTAATTAACTCGTTACTAAGATTAGTGCATGAACACGGGAAGAACAATATATATATATGCGGTAGAATTGTCGAAATATATAGTTTTCAAATTATGCTAACTATCATGAAATGCCTATGCTCAATGCAAATCTTGCACAAAAAAAGATGTATATATATATGTATATACATATATATATATGTATGTATATATCTAACCACATAACTATCAGAACAAAAAAACTACTGTTAAGAAAGAAAACACAGAAAAACTAATAAAGCAAGCTGTTATATGTGTACCTTTTTAAATATTGCACTAAAACGTACTACTATCGTCAGAAAGGAAGGAAACCATAATAGGTGTCAATTGCAAACCTTTAATTGCATACGACTCTGCTATAATACGTAAACTTCGACAAGGTAATTGCTTTTCTGTGAGTGTGTCTAGTTCGGCTTGTTGATAGTGGTGTAGCGCGTCCTCGTACATTCCCATCGCATAGTGGAGCTTTCCAAGTAGCAGGTGAGCGTCCAGTACGACTAACGCCTGGAATGTCACTCATCATTAGCAAGTGAATTTTTCGAACACCATCAGACACGATCGATTTTTACTTTTTATCAGACATCTATCCCTTCGCAACATGACAGTGTACCTGTTTATCTTTCTCATTAGCAGCTAGCAACAGGTACGTCCGCGTTTCCGTTAATCCATTTCGTGCCTTGACGATATTAGCGTCTATCGGCGGAGTTTGCTCCAGAAAGCTCTCCAATCTCGCTTCCCCGCTTAAGAAATTCGCCAGACATTCTGTCGGTGGAAAATCAATTAGCTGCTACAGAATTCTTTCTCTGAGTTTATATATATAACTACAGACTTCGTACATGCAATTATTCAATAAAATAGAATTTATCGGGCATTCAGTATCGTTCGAAGGAAATATTCGGCGGCGTTCGTCAATTCTATTGCACGTATGTACACATCGATGTATTACTATTATGTAAACGTCATTTTCTCTCTGCGTGTCAGCCACGCGAAAGATGCGGGATTGAAAAAAAAAAAACGACATAAATGATGTAGCGCAAAACATCGCGGAAACAAAATATCGGAAGATTGTAACTCGATATACAATTAAACGGAACGAGCGTGACATTTCGTTCACGCAGACTCTGCGGATATCCTTGATCTTTATACGTGACATCTGACGTGCATCTTTTTTTCTGTCTGTCTCTCCCCTCCCACTCCCCTTCTCCCGATCGCTCTCACTCTCTCTCTTTCTTGCAGAAAAACAGCGGTTGCGTCGTGTCAAAGCAAGAACACGTAGGAGGAGACAGTCACGATCAGACAGCGGAATCGCGGGCCGAGAAGGGCAAAGGACGGCGGGAGGGGGGGAGGCAGAGGAAGAGACATTTACCGTTGCTGGGGTACTGCACTTTTAAGTGTTCCGCGAGCTGTATAACCTTCTTCCAGTTGCCATCCTCGCGATTCCGATCGATCTCGGACTCTATGCGGAGGGTGTGACCCTTCTTGCTCGTCATCGCGAACCGCGACGGAGGACGTCGGCCCGAGTCACCTACTGGCGGTCCAGACCTCAATCGGTGCCGGACAGCAGCGGCAGCGACAGCGGCAACGCGTTATACGTGGCGATGTATCGATCATCAGCGGCACTTCCTCGCGCGGGATCAACGCGGCCGGTCATGGCAATCCAGCAGCGGCGGCGAGGAGATATCTGCCCGTTCCGAACGCAGTCCGACGAAACGCGCGACCGCTCGCGGACACGTGCGCGTGACAAACTGTCACAAACGTCATGGGACCCCGTTCGTTCCCCCGCACGCGTGGACCCACCGTTCCGGACGAATTTGCATAGCTGCTCTGCGAGCGAAGTGCGCTCCGATCGCCGACCAATCGCGTGCGCGATACGCGACCGCGCGACGCACGTGGCGCTCCTCCGTGCTCAGCCCTGCGATTGGCTGCTTTTCCGTGAATACGCTCCGTGTGAATCCGCGTGTTTTTCGAAAATTATCCAAACTTGCACGTATACACCTTATATGAAAAAAATATCAGCTAAAATGCGTTTAATATGAAAAATGATATAAATATCTCCTCTAATATTTGACCTCGAACGACTTTTCTGTGCATCGCGGTATGCAATTCCGTCGACAAGATTAAAAGCACATTTCACAGATCCATATCGATTTGTACCTTTCAAATTTTATTTTGTAAATTTCTTGTCTATCAATTGCTTATTTATTTAGTGAATATGACGATATGGCGCCTCTTACGAAAGGCACAAACAGAATTTAAATCTTTAATTTCAATTAAATAGCGCCGATATATATATAATAATAAGAAAAAGAACTAAATTTAGAGTAGTAATCTTTAATTGTATGTGATTTCTTCTATCGATTAATTTAACGGACATACATTTTTTTATTTTGTTATAAATTATAAATGATATGAACAATATATATTATATAAAATATATAGAACACTTTTTTTACAAATATATAGTTACTTCTGAGCTAATACGCTTATTTATTTAATGAATATAACGATATAGCGCCTCTTACGAAAGGTATAAACAGAATTTAAATCTTTAATTTCAATTAAATAACATCAATATATATATCATAATGAGGAAAAGAATTAAATTTAGAGTAGTAATCTTTGTATTTTCTTCTCTATCGATTAATTTAACAGAATATACTACATTTGTTATTTTGTTATAAATTACAAATGGTATGTACAATGTATATCACATAAATATATTATATAAAATATATAGAATATTTTTTACCTTTTTTTTTACAAATATACAGTTATTCCTGAGCTAGTATGTCAAATAATTGTTTGCAACGTTCCTTCCACTTCGCTCGAATGTCAGCTATATTATGCTGCATGGAAATATTAAAAATGTATACGTCGTTCACGTTTAAAAAAAAAAATATATATATAATTAAATGTATGTAAAGTGTTACAAAACCTGTAGTATGTGTACACCTCGTTGCGTGAGTACAATCAGCTCCTTTATTCCATCGTTCGTTATGTCCATGTAGCTTATGGAATGCACGGGAGCGTCGAACAGTTTTCTGGTGGCCAATTCCCACGTGTCGCCTGTCAATGCGAAGATCAGGACCTCCTGACCGTAAGTACCGAGCAAGATCTCGTTCTGACCGTCCATATTTATGTCGGCTATACAGCAGCACAGAATACAATCCGACGATTCGCTGCCGCTCAATATCACGTCCTGCTTCATCCCGTGCCGCAGGATGTCTCTGGCGAAAAGAACGGGATACACTCGCATCTTCGGCAATCATTAATTTATAAACTACTTACTTGAAGACAACGGCGTTACTTGTACTCGAGATAACGGCATTTAATTTCAGAACGTCGTCCTTGGGGTCGCAATCCTCGGCTGAAATTATGATTTTTATCCTAGACTGTTGTGCATTGTATGTATAAATGATGCATCGAAATATTTACAATCGGCGTCTACGAAGGTCGGTTTGCTGACGGTGTTTCTATGCGGGAACACTATCACACTCGGTACAGGCTTGTCGTATCTCAGCAGCCAGCTTCGAGAAACTTGCAGATCCGCCACGTTCACTATGGCGACCTTGACTAGACCGCACTCACAGCCGACGGCGGTGACCCTCCTGATTTTGACATATGCGTAAGATCATATCGGGATAAGACGAATTTTTTTTCTCTTAAATATACATACAAACCGCTTATAATTGTCGTAATAATAAATATTGATCCACAGCGCGATCGCCTGGATGTCGTGCAGCTCCGGGAAATATTTCTCGATGGGGGACTCGCTGTAAACGTGGCTCGATTTATCCTCCCTTATCATATGAATCCTGTAATCGCTTCCGGATATCAGCCAAACTACCTGCAAAGTTTCAAATTATGCTATGGAGCAACGGAGATCGTGACGGGTGCGATAGTAGTCGCAACCGTAGCTCGCTGACGGTTTATATGTCATGACAGTTTACGACATACCTCCTGTGTGGAGTTCTGTTGCGGTAGAACGGTATGGTACAGATGGTAAGGAGTGTACGACAGCTCCACCATGAGACAGTTCTGGGCTATGGCTTCGACCGAGCTACCCTCATCTCCTTCGCCGTCCATCGCACCCTCCGTATATATGTTCAGATATCTCTCTATCATGTCCGCGCTCGTTTTCATGATCGTTATACCTATCACGAAACTGTCCCCGGTGTCGGATTTGTTGTAGGCGTCGATGGAAATAATTTCCGCGCCACCTAAGACAGATATATAAAAAAAGAATGGATTTGTGCACAACGCTGTACTGATTAGAGAACTCGCGCGGGAAGACGCCTGTCCTTGAATACAATAGTTTACACACTGGGAATATACGTGAACAGCAACTCCTTCACCATGGGCCTCAGGAATTCCGGCGTCTGATGGTACTCGCAGGAGTATATCTTCCTCTTCAGGGACGCCACTAGCAATTTGTTGGGACTGCTAGTCGAGCACAGCTTCGTCATGGAGTAAATGTTACCCTGCGACGCCAGGGGAAACCAGTGTGCGTCTATAAGATTGCTCGTCATCGTAGCCGTTCCGTCAGGTGGACCGGAGTTAGAGTGAGCCAAGTAGCGGAGTGCGATTTCCCAGCCGGACGTCCATAGAGAGGAACAGGGAGAGGAGATAAACAAACTTCTATCGCCAGCTCATTTTTTGGAAACTCGTTATCGGGCGGCGACTGATAAGGTAAACCTCCAACCTGTCCGCCAACTCAACATACCGAGTTGAGGTTATATTTATCATAATCGAACTATCGCATCGAGAGAGAGAGAGGCTCGCTTTCAAATCGTCGGTCCAGGCGTCGATCCCGCGTCAATTCCTCGCAATTTCAATTTCCGTCAATTTCGATCGCAATCCCCTCATAACCTCATCGCCGACCCGAGGAATCCCGTTCCGAGTACATTTGCGCATCGCGACGCAGCTGGGAAAGTAGAGATAGATAGATAGATAGACAGATAGAGAGAAACAGAGAAGTCAACACATGCATGCCTTCTTCTTATTCGGCAACGTAATTGCGTGCGCGGGGTCCGCGGGAGGGGGAGGGGGGAGGACACCGGGGACCGGAGTTTCGCAATCGCTTTCGTAATCGCGGTTGCCTTGAGGGAGCCGCGCCGTCCGTGGACGATGACGCGATACGTGAAAGTGGGTGTGCCCCCGTCGCGGCGACTCAGTAGTACACGCTCAGTGCGCTCGCACGGCTCGGATCGGCTAGTGTGTGTCTGTCTCTCTGCGCGTCCGAGTTTTTTTTTCCCACCGACGGAGGAGACACCGGTAAAGGAGATCGAGGAGGTGAGTGCGTACACGTCCCCCCGGCTCGTTCCTGTCTCGCACCTATACTCGATAAACATCCATATCCAGCTCGTTTTCTCCTCGCATCCCTGTCGCTCAGACCCGCGCCGGTCGCGATGACGGGATCGCCGTAGGCACGCCGCGAAAGTACATACATGTCTAAATTCTGAGGAGAACTCCGATTGAACTGCGATTAACTTCGTCGATTCAACCGGCAGAACAGACGCTACGCGATTGAGGATTGCGAATTATTTGGAGATAAAAATAAAAATAAATTCGAGTCGAATAATATTTTAATTTTAACTCTTCCGTTTTATTTCAATTGAATCCCAATCAATAATCTAATAACTAATTCGCAATCTTCTGTCTCCAATTAGAAGTCTTATTCCGGCTTAAAACATATATATATATATATATATAGCTTCTAGCTGTATAATTTGTGTTAAATAACGAGAAGTAATGTCCTATATATTTTAACAGAAGAAATATATAGCGCAGTGGAAATAGTACTTGAATCCGTTTTCACTATATATTGACTTTAATCTCGATTCAATTTGCTCTTTATCTTTTTCTAATTCTCAGAAGTTAAAGGAGTAGATGTTAGTAAATTGATCACCGCGCGATCAAGGTAATCGCGGAGTTCGCGGAGGTCGGAGCCGTCCTTAACGTCGCCGCGCCGACAGCGGACGTAAGGACATTTCATTTCTACCATCGTGGCATTGTAGATTAATTTGCTCTTTGTAGTTTGATTTGCTCCTCATCTTTTTCTAATTCCTAGAGCTAGAAGAGGATAAGGACCAATTACTTAAACCGGGATTAAAGTTAATCTGTCTGTATATATGTCGGTAGAAATGAACATTTTCGACCGCAATGCGGCATCGGCTGCTTGCGAACGATTAGATTAAAAATTCGTCAGCTGTGACTTGCGATCACATGCCATCGACTCGCGTGAAATGTCAAAAAGACGACAGCTCGCGACGGTTGTCGAGTCCGCCGAGTCGGCGTTAAGTGCCGATGACGCATTCGCTCACGTTCATCGCCTGTTCTGTTTCTACCAGGTATAAACCACCGCCAGTCACCGCAGGTAGCCCCGTGGTATTTTCCGCCAATTGTCACGAGAGAGAACGAAGGTCAAGATGTCGCAGCAGCAATATTATCCGTTCAAGGTATGCGACGTGAATCGGCCCGCTGAAATTGCCGAGCGGCGAGATCGTCGTTGGTTTTGCCGTGATAATTAACAGTCGATCTATTTCCGGAGCGTCGATCATCCGTATTTTTAACGCCAGCCTAGTTTCCAAGTCGATTCACGTTCCGCCGAAGTATGACTAATCGCGCGCGAAAGTCAAGCAGAATCTTCCTCGTTGTTGTGAATCGCCGATTATGAGAGTCTTGCGTAAAAAAAGATCTCTGGAAAAAATAAATGACTATCAATTCAACCGTGGAGGTCGGTTTCATCGTCTCTTTTGAGTATCTCTTTTATGCTGGTTCTCTGAACGTTGATATCCGAATTGGAATTATGGCTTCAAAATGCGATATTTCTCTTTATAAACACATAATTCTGTTTGTAAACAATATATTATTGTGACTTAATAATATAATTATAAACATACAAATTTTTCCACAAATATAAGCACGCAAAAAAATTACCTTATTAGCCAGACTCCAATTTTGTTGATTGACGATTAACTTATCAAACGACTTATTAGTGTTTTGGAGAAAATTATCACTCTTTTTGTTTAACGTATATGGAGGGAAAAGATTAGATAATGGGTAATGAAGTATACAGATAAATATATTTTGCTTATTTAAGCTATCTCGCCGTTGAATTGATCAGAGTTTAATTAAAGTCGAATTGCACAGATTTGTTCAACTCAGTTAATTCTATCGAGGATCTCGCTTAATTTGATTGTTCGTAATCTGATCCTATTGTGTTTCAGTGCACTCCAACTGTGTATCCCGCCGAGCCGTTCGATGCAAACGCGGACGCCACTATCCTGCGTAAAGCGATGAAAGGATTCGGCACGGATGAGAAGGCGATCATCGACGTGCTTACAAAGAGGGGCATTGTACAGAGACTGGAGATCGCGGAGGCGTTCAAGACCATGTACGGGAAAGATTTGATCAGCGATTTGAAGAGCGAGCTGACTGGGAAGCTGGAGGATGTCATCGTTGCCCTTATGACCCCACTGCCGCATTACTACGCCAAGGAGCTGCACGACGCGGTGAGCGGTATGGGTACCGATGAGGAGGCAATTGTCGAGATTCTCTGCACTCTCAGCAACTACGGCATCCGTACGATCGCCTCGTTTTATGAAAATTGTAAGATTTTTCATTGTCTCAATTTGTTATATGATATGCACTTATATGATTAGATCTCGATTAATTAAGGAATATATTATTCGGAACAGTGTACGGTAAAACGCTTGAGAGCGATCTGAAGGGCGATACGTCGGGTCACTTCAAGAGACTGCTGGTATCCCTGGTGCAGGGAAACAGAGATGAAAATCAGGTAATCGATCATGCCCAAGCGACTGCCGATGCCCAAGCGTTATACGAAGCTGGTACGTTGCAAAATTTTTTCACATTTTTTTTTTAATTTCTACACGGAATTTTATTTTAAAATTTATCCTGAAAGTCATGTTAATCGTGGGACATCATAGTTTTTGACGAAATTTAAGTAATTTTTACTATTTTTATATATATATATATATATATATATATATACTATAACAAATTTATTGGTGCACAGTAAAAAAAAACAGAAAATCACATAAAATTTGCCGAAATACCATATTGTCCCACGATTAACATGACTTTCAGGATAAATTTTAAAAGAAAATTCTCTTCGTGTGTTATCTATTAATTGAAAAAGTTGTTTTGTTGTTTTAAGTATATTTCATGATGCACAATGTTTCATTTCTGATTTTGATGCAGGTGAAAAACAGTGGGGAACAGACGAGTCTCAGTTCAATGCGATCTTGGTAAGTCGCAGCTATCAGCAGCTGCGACAAACGTTTATCGAGTATGAGAAAATATCAGGGCACGACATAGAGGTTGCCATAAAGAAGGAGTTTTCTGGCAGCGTCGAGAAGGGCTTGCTTGGAATAGGTAAAGCTTCCAAATAAGTTGTATGCGCACTAATTAGATATCTATTCGGTCACGAGTATGCCGTATTAACATTCTCATTTACGAATCACTTACAGCTACTAATCGCACTAAAGTGACTAGCCCTTATATTTTATGTTATAAGCAGACACGCGTGCTTCAGGATCAGTTGATACGATTGTACGATAAACTTGCTCGATATATATATATATATATTTCGTTGTCCCTTAGGCGAGAATAATGTGTGCGTTTCAGTGTGAAACACGAGCAAGAGCGGTTGAAATAGAGCAGTTCGATACAAGGAAATTCTTAGTCCTCGAATGCGACGGATATCGATAATCTCGATAATGTAATAGTACGATATCACGAGTCGAACTTTTCCCGTGAACACCCTGACAACCCACATTTACGCTTTCTATGAGCTTACGTAAAACGAAAAAAATCAACGATCGATACGATCGAAAGATATTTTCGCAGGGCAGAGGCAAGTTACCGCAGCGAGATTTTACGTAGCTTTTATTTACCCATTTAGTAGAAATATTAATATGATTGTTGCTGTGATTGCCAGATAATTCCTAGAATTAGACACACTTTCGGACACGAGTATACGTATACCCGACAACATTTAGTTAAGTGTAGGCATACCCCTTAATTTTTTTGTATCCTCTCTTCTCTTCGTATATAATAATCTAATTTTCTGACTCTTTCTGACCCCAAAATAATACTTCTGATTTTGAAAAATTGATTTGATTGTAGAAAAAGAAAGATATCTCCGTTATATAATAATTGCTAAAGGGAAACGTTTTCTTGAGTTGATTCATAAAATGCATGAAAATGGTGTGGATATCTATTGATATTTGAACCCTGTATATAACATACGTATTTCCCGACGGTGTTGCATGGCAACTATTACATGTAACATACAAAAGTATTTGTTACTTTACACACAAATGTAGTTATAATCTGCATAAGACCCGGATTGAGTGCCGTATGAATAGTATCGTTTTATAGCATGGAAAGAGAATGCTCCCATGTCAGTTTACTCATATATTTCTCCATATATTTTTCATTAGTGTTTAATCAATATACGTAATCATCTATACGTTACGAATCACTTTAATTTTTGGCCAACAGTGAAATGCGTGAAGTCAAAGGTTGGATTTTTCGCCGAGCGTCTGTACGCCAGTATGCACGGCATAGGTACGAAGGATCGAACACTAATCCGTATCATTGTGTCTCGAAGTGAAATCGATTTGGGAGATATCAAGAAGGCATTCGAGGAACGCTTCGGAAAGTCACTGGAGAACTGGATAGCTGCATGTACTCCAAATTACATACTTCCAAGGAAATCGTTCTACCGTTTAAGTTCTGTTATGCAATAAATTACTAACGAGTTTATTTATGTTACAGGGAGACACTTCGGGAGATTACAAGAAGGCTCTCCTCTCCCTGGTTTCCACATAATTTTGATGAAGCTGTTAAAGGTCCAAGGTGCACACTTGCCTATTGATGCGTAATCATTAAAAAAAAAAAAAACAACTTTGTATATGCCTGCACGGATTCCAGCTTAATATTGCTTAGTGTACTAATAAGGTATTAAAAGAGCGGTACCTTGCTGCATTTTTGAAATATATTATTTTTGTAATATTTTTTTTAAATCTTTACTATATTACTGTAGGCCAGTAAAATTTCTCCGATAAATATCTGCGTTCCAATCTTGTTCACGTATACAAATTATATTTAATTAAATTATATTTTATATATATATATTCTTATTTTTATCGAAAGATTTACATAAAGAATCTCGTAGTGTAAAAGAGTGAGAGATTGAGAAATCGATGAAAATAAAAACAAAAGAATATTCTATAACGTTCATTTATTTCTTTCCATGCCTTTTATTCATATATATATATATGTCAATAAAAAAAAATATATATATATCTCTGTGTAAATACTTAAGTATACTTTTAGATACATAACAGTTTGTAAAATAAACTAAAATGTTTCAACATTTGTACATAGCTCATGTGTGCTTGTCAAATTAAAAGAAAAAGTTCATTTGTCCCTTACTTAATTCTGCATAGTCTGCATACGCAAAAAACTGAATATCAAATATCTATATTATGCATACGTAATAAACAAATCAAATGTCTGATCATATTATGAACTAAATATTCAAGAAAAACTATTCAAGAAAAAAAATACAAACAATATCAAGATTAATATCAAAGACTTTTTCAGTGTTTTTCTTTCATCATTCGCATTTGTCATGTAACTATGCAAACAGTAGGCACAAGAAGGCAAGTGAAAAATAGAATATGTGATGTTCTGTTCATGCAGTTAGAAAAATAATACGACCTCTGAGAAAAGAAACAAATGTAGATAGTGTTTGATTCTGACACGACCGTGATATGAGTATTTTACGTTAAATAACATCACGAAAACTTACAGCTATACTTTGTACGTGTGTCAATTGCACAGAACTTAAATATATTCTTTGCTTTTAATAATTTCCCCTTTTATGCTGCTTTTCTTAATCGTTTTACATTTCATCACGCATATATAGAATTTAAAAAATATCATTAGTCTTAAATTAATTGAGCACATATCATCTTGACATGCATAAATGTAAATGTGATAAAAGTAAGAGCAGCACGAAAGAGGAAAAATAATTAAGAAATGAAGAATATGGAGATTCCATTATAAAATAAATAGCCATTTCGAAAAGTCTCTCCAGAATTAAACTTATAGAAAATTATGCTTTCTCTTTTTTCATGTTTTTTAACCGATCACTTCTACGGGAAGGAGATGCAGAAACTAAAAATGACAGAAGATTGATTCAGTATTTTACTTAAACATATTGTATATTGTATAGACATATACAAAACTAGAAACGAAAATAGAGTAGAACCTTTATTATCCGAGAGACAGAATAGACTAATAGAATAATAAGAGAGATAGAAATATTCAGATAATTGAATTATTGGATAAAAAAATAAAAAAAAATCTTTTCATAATATACTAGGAATTTCATGTATTTATTTTAAAATATACAAAAATATGGATAAAATATAAATATATAGATAGTGTATGTACAATTGAAAAAGCTCTTAATAAGCAAACTGAACTAGTAGTTGGTAACTGGTCTTCCAGTAGATTGACATTTCAAGGTAAATTCCAGCAGAAATTATAATATTTGTTAAACATAGTATTTTGTTTTTGTTGCCAAAAACATAATATTTCGTATTGCTGCTTCATTTCTATTGTTATTTCTTTACAAAATTTGTTATATTTCTACTAGCATTCTACCAACAGCATTGTCTTATGATAAATTTTCCATTAAATTCCTGACGTTTTGACTTTACGCAATTTCTTTCAACAGATTTGTGATAACAATGATACAGATAAATTTTTTCAAACTTTCCGACTTTGTCTTTTTTTAAGGATGTTGAGGCTGTTCAAAGTAGCTGAAAAAAAGTTGGGTTGGCTTTCGATAATTTTAATTTACGTTCTAATATATCTCATTACATTTCTATTATGTTTTATCGATAATTTTTTTTTTACTCACGGCTTAAGACTAAATAAAGTCAAAACGTCTCGTCAATTTTTTAATATTAATTAAATAAGTCATAATTACTTTATATCAATCTTTTGTTGCTCGTTATATAGACTTAGATATAATTTTCAGTACAATCTTAAAAAAAATTATAAAAAATTGATCAAATTTAATAAAAAATTGTAGTCACCAATTCGCAGACCTGAAACCAACTGTAAAAAATGAAACAATTAATAATTTGGCTCATAATGGCTTCTGCACAATGATCATATTTTCGCCTCAGTTCTAGGTAAATAACTTTTAAATGAGTAAACAGATTTAAATAACTTTTAAATAAATAAGAGAAATATGTTTAAATTTTAAACAGATAATCGGACGTTATAAAATATCTACACAATTTTTATATTTTTGGTAACACTTTCAGATGTAACACATATATCCTTACTTGCTGCTATATTTAAATTTGTAATTTATTTTATTTTATTCATCGTCCTTCAAATATAGAACATTCATATGAATTCTTATTCTAATTTTAAAAATATAAGATATTATGAAACATTTTTTTCAACAAGAAATAGAAATTAACAAAGTGTATTAAATACAATTGATCACTTCAACATAATTTAAAATAGTAAAATCGGCTATAATATTACTCGGATAATACATTGGTTCTACTGTATTTCAATTTGCTATGATTTTTATCAATTGATTTCTTTATATCAATTGATGTGTTTGAAAGCCTAAAATATTAAAATAATTATTAACCTTGATTATTTTTCTTTCGTCCTCTGGTAGGTTTAATATATACGGGTTTCTGACGTAAAATCGGAAAAAACATGGCAGGCATTCTCTGAAAACACCTGAGCGATGGTGTTATCAACATATTGTCTATGCGTGGCCATGGCGTTTTAGGTACTGTATGAAACTTGTTGCTACAATAAACCGAGTTTAAATCAAAGGTAGTTTTCCTGAAAAGTATTTTCAAACATGTACTTCTGTGTAGTGTATATATATATATATATAATTTTTTGGTTAACAGATTAAGGAGTTGCATTCATTACCTATCATTGGTTGTATGTTTATAGACGTAAGCAAATGGCCCACTCTGAGGGATGTGTTGCATAATATATTGGCCAGGAGTCAAGGATGATAATCCGTCGATTATATTATGCAAAATACTTAGAGAATTTTCTACCTTGACATTATAAAGTCGTTTTATCTCATTGCTCAACGACATTTCTGTATGCCTTTCTATTTGTATTATTTCTCCAGTAGAAGCTTCTATTCTGACTGTAGTGATACAAAAAATATTTATATATAAAATATGATCATGCGAGCGATTCCGTGTAAGATCGGTGGATTAGTCGACAAGTTTTGAATGAAAGATTGTAGCGTGAGATTATGATCCATTTCGAGAACACAATGAACTAATACATACACCTACACATAATATATATAATTATAAAATAATACCTCTAGCTAACGATGTGTTTGGTCTAAATTTTAATGACGCCCACTGATGCATGCCTTCTTCTAACGTTATAGCTTCAGCTCCATATTCTAGCTGATGCTCCAGCTTTGGCGCCAACATTAAAGGCTGCGATTTGTTGTTTGATAACATCTGACGAAAATTTCATAATTCTGATTATCAATATAAGAACGGTATATGTTATACATGAGAAATATTCTTACCTCGATGCCATCTGTTTTTGTACGAACCAATATCTTATATTTCTTCACGCCATGTATTGTTTGTTCAAAATTAACTGGTCCTATCATGAAAAGATTATACGACACATTTTGCTGCTCGTTTGTTTTTAAATTAGTTTCGCCACTTGCTAGATCATCTAATTCACCTAATTCATCATCTATTTTAGAATCAGTTTTGCCACTTGCTAGATTATCTGATTTCCCTGCATCTGTATTCGATGCATATAAATCTTCTTCATAGACTTTAAGGTAATCGTTAGAATTGCTGTCGTTATCCGAATCTGAATGGTATGCAGCCTTCTCAGGTTTGTCCTCTTTCGTTTGTCTAAAACGTTTTGTCCTAAAATATATTCATGATATGTATACATAACAAAAATTCGCTTTTTATGCAGTATTACGCTCTCTCTTTATGATTTATGTTTCATACTCACTCTTCCGACGGTTCCTCGTCGCTTTCATCATTCGTCCCAACGAAATAGTATCTAAGGATGTATTTATACACCCAGGTATTCTTTTGTGGTATAGTGGCAATGACAGATGGTAGCTTTTTATCAACGTAAATAATATTTTTTCCACGATGTGATCTCACTACCACTGGTACGAGCCACGAGCCTGACGAATGTTCCGGATCTACGTTGTTCAGTAGACACTTGAGGCCACTGGACGAGATAACAAAGTCCGCGCCAGTTTCCACTGCGAGACTCTCGCAATACGTATCCTCGCTTACGGGTAATCTGAAATGTTGCGTCACTTTGTCAGGTGCGAGGTACGCGGGGAATCTGTCGCGCAATGCGTCAGGTTCCATGTTCAACCTACAGCGGCAATCGAGTTTTGGCAATACCACATTCGAGAAGGATCCCTGGAAAAGTAATAAAATAATTGAATGTACACATATATTTCGCAAACTGAATACGTCGGATAAATATTGACCGGAAAAAATTGATAACTTGCCTCTCGTAAGCAAGATACGAATCCCACTATAATGTCCTTCATCTCAAAATTAACGTCCTGTACGGAAAGTGGTATAGTTAGAGATTCAACATAATTTCTCGGTAACTTTGCCATCTTCTGCCTCTTCATCTTCCATTTTGAATTCATAAATGCAAAACATTTGACGTGCCACACGGAATCGTTCCACACACTCTTCACAAATTCTAGAAATTCTTTCTGTTCTTCGGATATTTTTTCTTTCAATGCCTGGAAGAATCAGAAGTTTATCAAGCTGTTCGCAAAATAAAAGTAAAATTAAATTTAAATTGTTCTTCGTTTTATTTCTCAATTAGTACAAATAAAGAATATTGAATCCTGGACAAATATAAATTTAAAGTGCTCAACAACGATTATCTCTATTCACCATATATTGCTGCAACTCTTTCTTCTCCTCGTCGGTCAATTTCTTCTTTTCTGTATCGGCTAATCTCAATAAAACGCGAAGGCACATAGCTTGCTCAGCCTTGTCCAAATGAGACCTTCTGGGAAAGTAAGTCGATAATCTTCTTATGCCAGGTACGTAAGATCTTTCTAACACAGAAGAATTATTCTCATCCTTTTGCTCCTCAGCCTTTTGAGCCTCCTCTCTTTCTTTCTTGTATAAATCCACGCCGTCCTCGAGGAGATATTTCTTCATCAATTCCACATTGGCATCATCGTACTCGCTTTCGATATTCTCAAACGGATCTGTGAAGGTGTCGGTCAAAATTCTGCACATCGCGCTCTCGCGCTCCATTCTCTCGTCCCTGATGAATACATTGTCTATCAGATCCTCCAACGCAGGATACCTATGACGATGTGACAATAATAATATACATAAATAAAAAAAGTTTATATCATACACAAATAAACGAGGGGTAAACCGCTAATCAAAATCAATGTCTATTAATGCCCGAGGTAATGCCCAATTTCTGATCAACCGTAATGCCCCAAGGATAAGATCGTGGGAGCGCAATTTTATTATTTTGCGTAATTTATTTAATATTCATATACTTTATTATGTGTTGCAAATATGTTTGACATCAAAATAAAAAATTGTCAATTATTCAAAACGTAACAGAACATTGCTCTGCAGCAATGCTCAAAAAATGTCCAGTAATGCCTGTAGCAATGCCTCGAATCTGTACACCGCAATGCCCTCAGCGGTTTACCCCTCGCAAATAAAGTATAAATTAAAATAAATTAAAAATATTAAGAAGAATTTAATTTAGGGTAACTGTCCCTATTAGTACCTGTTCCTCTTAGTGTATTTTTACATTTAAATAAGTCATAAAAATAAACTGGTACAAATAAATAGACAAAGTATTTTTTTTTTATTAAGTTAATACTTTAATTTATTTTTATGACTTATTTAAATATAAAAGCACACTAACAGGGACAGTTACCCTAAATGTAAACAAAGACTTTAATATAAATCTTTCGACAAATTGCAAACTGCCGGGATCAGGTTAAACGGTAGGAACAGGTGCATGACGCACGTGTGCTACATCGCGATCGTTCGATAATCATGAAAGAGAATTACACTACGAAAGAGAATTACGAATCGTACGAATCGTAAATAGAAAATGCAAAATCATTGTTGATTCCGATTTATACAGATATACGCGCTCCTTGAAATGATTTCATGAAATCGTTCACGTACCAGTCGATGCTCCGGAATCGTTCCATGTTCAAACGACGTTGTTTTAATACTGTTATTTTTTTTTTTTACAATAACAAGCTCATGTTTCAAAACGCGTGTTTTGCTCTCCGTTTGTCACGATGTCGATTTTCGAACGATCGACCGATTGCACCAGTCCACGAAACATATCACCACATTTCACGCTGAATTTAGGCTATATAAGTAGATAGTTTGTTATTTTGTGCTTCATGTTTCCGTCAACCGCTCCTCGTTTCTTCGCACGCACTCTCCGACCATCTCCGACTGTGGTGAGCACGTAAAACATAACCTCTTTGCGTAAAAAACAGAACAGAACGCTCAAAAGTGTAGGAAGGTGCACGTAAAGCTGCACCTGCAGCGTCAAAACTTATCTGTCAGCTGGATAAATAAATAATACATTTTTCTCTGCAAAAATCGCTGTTTATTTTAATTGGCCAAATCGTACGAGCTGCTTCCATTGAAAATTGATGGTTTAAAATCGCCGGTGCGCTTATCTCTTGTCTCACAAGGTCGGTGAGCGTTACGTCAAACGCGGCTGGAACGATTACCCTCAAAATGAATTTCGGAAGAGTGGCTAATATTAATGTTTTTCGCAAGATTCGACAGCTCGGTAAGTCTCGCGCAAGTTTCCGCCGGTTTCGAGTATTTACTTGTTTCGTTTCGCGAGCTGAGCCGAATTTCTCGTATATAACCTCAAAGTGCGTTTACATAATCTTTCAACGAAGGACGTGCGATTTTCAGTTGGATTTCTTTGAGTGTCTAATAAAGTTTCCTACATGATTCGATATTTTACTTATTATTATTATATTATATTTTATTATTTTTATTATTTTACTTATTTTATTATTATATTTTATTGTTGTGTTATTTTTTATTTTTGTACTATTAATTTTACGTGTTTTGTATTAACACATTTTTATATCGACATTTTATTAATCATTGAATAGACGTGAAAGCGAAATTATGACAATTGACGATTTTGTCTTTTGCAGAGACGCTGGTGAAGCCCGGTGGTTTACTCGTGCGAAGCTGTAATCCAACGCAGTTCCCCAAATCCACGTCGAGTCTCGCGAATCTGAATCGCTCTGTGATTTCTAATGCGAGCAATTATCCAAAATGCAGTATTCTATCCAAGGTTGGCAGTTCTACTAGCCTTTACTCCAACTTCTATTATCTATTTTCTGAGACAAATAGAAATAGTATATCTATTTCTTTATAGGTATATCTGTTTACCAAACATGTACTTTATTTTGTCGTATCCCTTTCAGTTGTCTGCACAATCGACAGTCAGCATGACCCAGACTCGTGCGGCGAGCGCTCATGGCGATCACGTACGTTTGTGGGTGATAGAGAGAATAGTGTCCGCATCCTTCCTGTCGCTAATACCCACCGCCTTGCTGTTAGAAAATAAATTTATCGATATACTACTGGCAGCTGTCGTTGTCATGCACATGCATTGGTAATTGACTTTCTTTGATAATTTAACACGTACATTGCTGTGTTGATTGAACAGTAACACAAGTAAAAAAAAATTGTATTTTTGAGATGACGAAACGAAATTAAAAGTAAAGTCCGTAAAATAGAAACTTTTTTAAAGGAAAATTGAACATTAATTTCCTTTACCTTGTGCGTACAGGAAATATTTTATAAATTTAAATCCATTTTTTCTATTCTACAAGGATATTTATTTCTTTAGCTCTATAAATAGTTATGGTAAATAGATCAACTGATTTAGCTTAATCTTTCTCTTTCTCTGTTGTTGATTTTTTCCTTTTATTATCTCAAAAATACTAATTTCTATCCTGTGTCACTTTCTATGCAGCGATATAGACTTTTCTTTGGTTCAATTCTTTGCAAATCTTTTTTATAGAAAATATATTTAGAAGAATAATTTTATTACACAGGGGCTTGGAAGCTGTCATTCTTGATTACGCACGGCCCATCGTGGTGGGGCCACTGATCCCAAAACTGGCGTTCTTAATGCTGAATCTAGTCTCCGCCGCGACTCTCGCCGGTCTGCTCGTGCTAATCTATAACGGCCCTGGCCTTACGAAGGTCATTAAAAATGGCTGGGCAATAGGTAAAGACAGACAGAAAGCCAGTTAAACAGTATTACTGCAGCAGAAATCATTGTTTTCTTGTTTAACGTATGAATAACTTTTTAAGATGGTAGTTTATATAAATTATTCCGGAATAAATTATTTACTTATTCGCAACGAAGCATCGCTTTCCTCCTTACGCTACCTAATTTTTCGTAAGCGACTTGCCAAGTTGAATGACAGCTGAATGTAGGGAACACCTTAGGAAGGATTGTAATTTACGGTATACATGTGAGCTAAAAACAGAAAGCTATAATTGATGCCATCGATATTTACGCTACAAATAATCAATAATAACAAACAATATTTTTTTCCATTATTGTCATTACACGCAATAAATGCATAACAAATAGAGCTCCGAAGGATCAACAGGTGAGTCGGATGGGCTTTAATTGCCAGTAGCGGCAGCGACCTTGTCCATGAAGGTCGCCAGTTTCACATCCCTCTGCGACAGTCCGTTCACGTCGTGGGACGACAGGGTGATATTTACTTTATTGTAAACGTTAAACCACTCGGGATGGTGGTCCATTTTCTCGGCCTGCAAAGCTACCCTCGTCATAAATCCAAAGGCCTGGAAATTGAAACGTATCGTCAGATAAACTGGACGAGCCACAACGATTGCAACAGGTACTCGTGCGAGACGCACCTCATTGAAGTTTGTGAACGCAAACTCCTTGTAGATCGCGTCCCTTTTCGCCTGGACGGTCCATCCCGACGACAGCAACGGGGCCAACTTCTGCTCTCTTTCTTCCGGAGTCAGTTTGCTCTGATAAGGATCAAGACAGATTTCCATCAATCTTATCACAATTTATTCTTTCGTATTAAGTAATTATAATCAAATTGTTAATTCGACTGATATCTCTTTGTTTGATATTTGCAACATATGGTCGTGCCTCTATACAATATTTTATCGTTATCTTCATTAATATCGCTATAGAATGTAACGTATGCAAGTGCGACAGGACTTGTGTAACAAGTGGCTGGCCGTCACCGCGTCACTTTCACCGCGAAGGACTCGCCCGAGTGGATTTGCACGATCTTTAATTGTACTCGAAATTCCTCTTGGCCCGAACGATCCGCGAACTCGCCGGCGAAACCGACGAAGGGAACTTACCATCTTGGCCTTTTTCGTGACAGCGGCGGATAAATCTCTGCGGTCCAGAATGCGCGATATATACTTTCGAACGTGATCCCCTCCACTCGCTCGCCTGGTCAATACAGCTATCATGATAATTGTGTTGAAGGCTTATTCTTTATGTATAAGTTTATGCAAGAAACTGGATTACTCGCCGTATCGCGATATCGCAATCGTGCAGCGGACACGATAAACTCGTTTTTTTTTTTTTTCGGATCGAGATGGGAAAGACGAGCCAATTTCTAAACGATTCCCTAACCTCTTGTTTCGTTTAGGTCCTGCCGTATCAAGCTCTGTATTAAGTTCAAGGACAAATATTGATAGACATACTTGATAGAAATATAAATGCTTATATGGATAATTTCGGAAAACAAAGAAATAATTTCTCGAATATTATTTTTTAAAGATATTTTTAAAGATCTGAAAAATATAAATATAATATCTATATATTTATATTTTTATAAAAATATGAATAAAATATTTCGTTTTGATTTTGGCAGAATCTGCATATGTGTGTATATATTTATACTTGTAAAAAATATATTTTTTATTTTGACAATATACTTAGTAAAATGTTTGAAATTTTTTTGGAGTATATAATTTAAATATCTCTTTATTAAATCTATAAAAGTCGAAGAGAATGTGTATCGATGTGTAAGAGTGTAAGATGTATGTAGTTCAGTATGTATTTCAGATATTTACATCACACGAGACAACGTAATTTTGTAACTGTACAAAGCACATGTAAACTTTTCTAGTTTTTCAGAAGAGGTCTGGAAAATATTTAAAACATAATTCTATACTGTCAAACATATTAAAATCTATCGCTTAACAAAATCGCTAATTAGTTTTCACTGATCTCTTTCCTCTCTTAACAAGCGACACTGGTGGTGGCAGCGGAACTTTAAGCATGATGACCTTCTTATCCTCTTTAGTGGACACCGCCCCGATAATCTTCGCGAGATCCGTCAGCTTTTTGAGACTCGTTCGCGTTTCGAGCATGATGCGGAACAGTTCCAAGTCCAGCGTGAAGTTCAATATCGTCAGCGCGAGAATAATGCAGTGCACGAGGCCTTTGTCCTTCATCGTATTCGGCCGCATCCTGTAAAAAGAGATTTTGTTAACGTTTTTGGCCGCGATCGCGACGCTTGCGACGCTCACTCACCGTCCGTTCGAGCTGGGCACGCTGTACGTGTCGATAATATGCTGATTCACCTCCTCGGAAATCGGGCACACGACAACGTCGCGTTTCTTCGCGTTCCTCAGCGGCATGGCGAACCACGCGTTGATCATTTCAATGTAGAGCAAAAGAGCGACTTTGTTCACACTGTCCGGATCGGATTGTATGGTTCTTAAAGTGCGTTTGAAAAATTTCCCCTTCCTACGCGATAAGAAAGACATAGTATTATATTTTATGCACGCAACAATATTATATAATTAAAAAAGCAGATGTATTAGACACTAAAAAAATATTAAGTACCCTTCCACGTCTCCATTGAGAGCCTCCATCGCGTGCTCGTGTAACGTTTCCAATTTACTCTTGGGAATAATATCGTACACATTGTACACATCTTTGACATTACTCGCATTCCTATTACACGCAGGTAGGATCGTATTTGAGATACAGTCCTCAGCTTGTAATTGATTCGATAAATCTAGCCTGTCGATTTCAACATCTGCCAAAAGACAAAATCGGTGAGCTTTTGTGTGCAACTGACATATTACTGCATTTAATATATAAATCATGATAAATGGATATTATTTGAAAGATAAATTATATGATAAAATGAAAGAGAGGAACTCTCTTACTTGACACTGTTTGCTCGAGTTGGTCCTTAATGGTATCGACATTCACTTTCAGTCTCTCAAATTGCTCGGTTCTACGTTTAACTTTCTTGGATCCGAATTGTTTGTTCAGGATAATAATCTTCTCGTCCACGTCGTCCTGGTTGACCTCGATGTCAGGTTTTTCGAGCACCGGCGTTACTTGCCACCGCTCAGTTTCGAATAACCGTACCTTGCCTGTCTTTTTGTTGTGAAGTACCAGCATCGTTCGAGTCGACTCTTTCTTACAATCCGGTCTGTAACCCTTATAAACAATGTGTCCACTTGACAAGGCCAACACAGTTTTGTTCTCTTTTTGATCACGGAACATGCCACATGACATCTCCTTGACTTCTTCATCTTTCAGCTCACCATTTTGAAAGTTCACTGTGCAAGTTTATGATTATAAAATTTCTTTATTAAATTAACAAGTATGTAATTGTGTATTATGTATAATTATGTATAAACAGTTGGAATAACATGATAACAGTTGATTGAACTTGTTGTGAAAAAACATGTATAAAATGTATGATAAATTAATGTATTAAAAATAAATATATGATATTAATATATAATTGTTTAAATACATAAATATACTGTATGCTTGAAGATGGATTATTATCATACAGTAATATTTTACAAAGTAGTAAACATATAAGATACAGCAACGTGGTCGAGCTGTTTTTCTTACCAATAATTGGCTGAATTTTGCTTGACTGTGCAACTACATCTTCGATAATCGCTTTAAGTCGCGTCATTTTTCATTTATTTGTATATTTTAGCGATGTTACCTCGTTAACTATATTACTAATGCCTCGTTTTAACGTATTAACCTATTTATTAAAGATGTTGCTTTTCGCGCGAAACATAGAGGTTAGAAAAAGCTACAGCGTCGTTCACATCGCGCGTGTGGTGCACAATTTTCTAATTGGTCGCATATTTGTGGGATTTAAATTTTTTCATAATCATGATTCATGTTATGAATTAGAGGAATTAGAAAACGCAAAATTATTGTAAGATCAATATTATAAGATAAAAATAATTTAAAATGTAAAGTAAAAAAACAAAATTGTGGGTAAAAAAAAATAAATGGAAATTACAAAATCTGATTGGCTATAACCTTTTTAACTGGATTTCTCGACATTAAGAGAAAAAAAAGAATAAATCTTATTTTATATATTAATTTTTTTTAAATAAAGTGCAATTTATTTTAGATATAGTGTTTTGTAATTATTAAAAAGCAAAATTTCTAATTATATAATTCATTCCATAATTTAATCCTTTTCTCATATATCAAGCAACAAAAAGTTAATAATTCTATCCGTATTAAAACGCATTACATATATTATTCGATAAATTGATTAAATTTGATTACAATTTAGTCATCGTTACTCCTTAACTATTTCGGTATTTATCTTTATTTTACGTCTTTTAAGATAACATCTTAGAAAATTGAAATGTTATTTCATATAGAAATAGATACAAAAATATCAATAAGTAAAAAATTGCTTCTATGTTTACAATCTATGACAATTGGGTCTATAAATCAGTCAAGTAAAAATTAATATTGCAAAAAAATATAACTTCAAAAATATTTTATTATATACAACATATTAATATCATAACATACTGATTTAGTATGGTCTTAAATAAATTGTACGCTTCCATCTATAACTATTATATTATTTTTATATCTCGTTATGCCATATATAACTATTACGTCATGAATAATATATGAAAGTTTAATATCTATTATTGTACAATCATAAAAATTATCCTACACTTCCCATAAAAATACAATATGACAATTTTTTTTAAAGATTTTTATAAAATTTTAATAGGACTTGTGATAATGAAATATGAGAACCTTTGCTTTCTCTGAACCAATAGTTTTAAAATTAAAATCATCATACATGAAATTATCCTCTTATAAATAAAATTTCGTGCATGCAAAAAAAATCCAAATAAAAGATGAGATCTGAAATTAAATAACATTATAATAAATAGTTTCAAACTGAGTTAAGAAAGAGGATCGGTTCATCAGCTTTAAATTCTTTCAGGTCCTTAATCTTGCCGTAACAATTTCACTTTCCATATTACTCAATCACCAAGTCATATTCTTCGATTTCTTGGAATGTAGTGTTAACAGTTTTTACCCATTCGTTTAGCCTCTTCTCTTGCTCTTTCTCTAATTTCGTAAGTTTCTTTTTCTTCGGCGGTAATTTAACGTTTTCATTCTCTTCCTCATCGCTATCTTCCGAATGAAGATCAAACTTCACGGCACGTTTTCTTCTGTATGAATGTTGGGCCGGCTGTAATAATATAAAAAAAATAAACACAATGAGCGATACGATATGCAGAAAAACATGCAAATATGTAATGTTAATATTAAATACCTTCGAAAAATGTGAGGGTTCTAAATCCATAAACAATGGAGCGTCATTTCCAATATTTGATAGCTTCTCACTTTCAGACAAGACGTCAAATGTGTCGGAAAAATTGAGAACATCCAAGAGTTGCTTATTCCTCGGCTCTACGTGCGATTTGTCAACTTCAGCATCCGCCTGATCTACCGTCTGTTTGTTATCCCCATTCGGTCCTTGTAATAAATTCTTTATTTCTCCTAGAGATACCCTGGCAGGCTTGCTTGCCACTTTAATTTTCCTCGGAGGCCGATTCTCCGACACTGGAAGCTTCCTCTGCTCCAAGTGTAATTTGTCAACTTCAGCATGCGCCTGATCCACCGTCTGCTTGTTATCCCCGTTAACATTCGGTCTTTGTAACAAATTCTTGATTTCTCCTAGAGACACTCTGGCAGGTTGTGCAACAGGCTTGCTCGCAACTGCCGCTTTAACTTTCTCTGGCGACTGATTCTCCGAAACTGAAAGTTTCCTTTGAATTGCGTGCTTTTTGCGAAGACCGACGATCTTCTTTTTGTTTTCTTTGTCCCTTCCGCCTTTATTCTCCTTATTCGTGTCCATATTTTCTTTATCCATTTCCATGTTTTCATTCTCATCCCTATTCATTTCCACGTTCTCCTTATTCGTTTCCACGCTCTTCTTATTTAATCCCTTATTTACTGTCTTCGTTTCATGGATCTTATACGGTGTACTCTGAATAAAGTGTTTGGTTTGAGAAAACATTAACGTCGGAGGTCGCCACGGACTGCTAAAATCAATCTCGGTTTCTGCCGTGCTCTTCTGGATGGGCGACAAAGTTTTCATCAAGGAGCATCTCAACGTGTTGTTCGGTTCCTTCAACGAGATTTTATTATCAAATATACTCTTTGGTCGAAAGGGCTGCGAATCTCCAGTTCTATTGGATGGGGATTTGGTGACTATAATATTATTCGCGTTTTCGATAGATACAACTCTCGGCTTGCCCGCATTCTCCTTTCCAACTTGTTTTATATACGTGCCAGGTAAAGTTGTTTGATTGTGAATATTTGTGTTTGCTCTCGGTGCTTCCGCATCATCTTCATCTGCTGAACTCCACTCTTCTATCATCTGAGTACCTGCCTCTATTCTTGGTGGCTCAAACTCTTCTGTCATATGAATATCTGCCTCTATTCTTGGTGGCTCGGTCTCTTCTATCGTCTGAAGATCTACCTCTATTCTCGGCGGCTCGATTTCTTTTTCAGTATCTTTGTTCATCGATTCGTCCACTGGCCGAATATCCGTATCTATTTTTGTTTCAATTTTCTTCGCGCTGTCTTTCTTTGTCGATTTTGTACCTGGAATTTCTGAAGTATCGCCCTGTGCAATCTTCATCGGCAGATTTCCAGCGGGTTTAGCAGATTCTATTATCTCACGGTCAATTGCTTTCGTTCGTGCAGTAACTTTCTTACGCGTCGTTTTCTTGGTCGGTTTGTTAACATTTCTTTCCTTCTCTTTGTTAACGTTCCTTTTTCTTTTCTTGCTAGCTTTCTCTCTCGCGTCATTCAAGTCAAACTTGAAGTCATATACATCATTCTTGTCTTCCAAGGATTTCTCAGAAGGTTCTACAGCTTTGTACACCGGCACTTTTTTGTCATCTTTCAAATGTATCTTCTCCAGTATCACCCTACTGTCCTGCTGTTCCGGCGAAATATACTGCTGCAGCAACTTTGAGTTCTCGCAGTAATTTTTTTTATTTCGACGAGGACGTAAACGTAGTAATGGCGTTCGAGTGTTTCTTAGAGATACATTTTCTTGTGGTACATGCAAACTTTTGTCTTTTGCACTAACATTAATATCCTTTGTATTAATAGTGACAACTTTCTTGAGATCCTTTGTGAGGATCCTTTGCGAGGACACAGTCCTCACAGATTGTTTATGGGTGACAACTTTCTTGGATGTGGGGTCCTTTGTGAGGATTCTTTGCGAGGATGCAGTCCTCACAGATTGTTTACGGGTGACAACTTTCTTGGGTGTGGGGTCCTTTGTGAGGATCCTTTGCGAGGACGCAGTCCTCACAGATTGTTTACGGGTGACAACTTTCTTGGGTGTAGGGTCCTTTGTGAGGATCCTTTGCGAGGACGCAGTCCTCACAGATTGTTCACGAGCTCTCAGACGTGTCACACGCTTGGACACTGGAGTGATAGCCATTGTACTTTGTTTTCCCATTGTCTTTTTAATCTGGAAATATATTTAACATATAGATCTAGTTTAAACGCATTAATAAAACAAACCGAGATAGCATCCTTACAGAAATTCAATACTGTAAGAAAGATATATAGTGATTACTTATTTCGAGCATTAAAAGTACTGAACAACAGTGCTTTTAATACCCAAAATATGTAATTTTCAATATTAAATTGGCCATTATTATAAATTAGATTTCTGTAGTGGGTTCCAACTGCTCGCGATCGAAGTTTTTCGATGCAAACTAAGTGTTTTGTGACGTATGTTGTGTGTAAACTTACCTCGAGAGGCGGGAAAGTCGTTAACTGCTGAAACTGCACGCTCGGCGACCGCGTTGAGAATCTAACAAATGTGTATCGTGTCAGCTACCACACTGAACGTACGTGACGGACGGTGACGTGGTATCGCGCAAATCTGCATCGTACAATTCGTTGTTGAAGACCTTGGAGAAGAAGCCGCTAACTTTCCGATCGCATCACAAGCACAACGTAATTCTTGCATAAAATGTCGGCAACGTGGTTGCCAACCTAACGACCTAGCGTCAGCGCCAGGAGGTTATAGGACTGGCTGCAAGTGGAGGGGATACCAGGCAGCCACTTGGATCACGTGACACTGGGAATATTTAATTCCCATTTATAGCGACACAAATATATTTGTTAATAATTTTTTGAGAAAAGAGAAGAAATGTGTATATTCTTTTTTTAAATACTGTGAAAATATAAGTATGCAAATAAAAGCGATAGCTCTCCGGCGATAGATACACATTTTTTATAAATTTTGACCGAAAATCCGGTACATTTTTGTTGTTTAGTTGGCCACAAAATATTTTCCGGCAACTGGCAACACTGATTATCGATCTGGTTACTGGACGACGCAGTATCGGCTGCTACGAGTGCTACGCTCGAAGTTGTCGTTTTGATTTTATATGCGGCATTCTTGTGACAGATAGATGGTACACATCGTTTACTGAGCGTTCCACCTTCGGCGAAGCCGGCGAGCGTCAATTAAAGGAGAAGAAGAGCTCGATCTGGTTATTTGCTGTTTCATTTGTGGATATTTACAAAATTTTATAATTGTTTTGCACATAATCGACAAAATATTGCGAGATGTAAACGAGTTGGGACAAGCGTAACTTGACGTCGAGTTAGTAAATAAACACTTCGTGCAATTAATTTTTATCTGTGTAATTAATCTAAAATAATTGAAAAATGGCGAACAAAAAGTCTGTGGTGCAAGAATTTAAGTTGGATCCGAAATGCGAATTGCGATTCGAGGTGGAGAACAAGAACGAAAAAGTCAGATTGGAGGTAACGGGACGTGATTCCTCTTGGAGATTTTATTTCTTCTATTGCTAGCTTATATTATTATTAGGTAACACAAAACTGTGTTGTTGCAGCTGAAGAACGGCCGGGCGGAAGTTTTCGGGACGGCGTTGGTGAGAGGGAAGAAGTACGAGTTCACCACCGGCGCGAAAGTCGCGGTTTACACCTGGCAGGGCTGTACCGTCGAGCTGGTCGGGAAAGTTACGGTCAGTTACGTGGCGAAGGAGACGCCGATGGGCCTGTACTTGAATTGCCACGCGGCGATGGAGCGGATAAGGGAGACGGCGGAGAAGGACGACTCCATCGGGCCGATAATAATGGTCGGCGGGTCTTGCGACGTGGGAAAGTCCACGCTCTGCCGGATACTGTCGAACTACGCCGTGCGAATGGGCCGAAGTCCGATCTTCGTCGATCTCGACGTCAGCCAGGGATACATATCGATTCCCAGCACCATAAGCGCATTCCTGGTGGAACGGCCGTCCAACGTGGTGGAGGGTTTCAGCCATCAGGCCTCGGTCGTCTTCCACTTCGGGCACAAACTGCCGCAGGCCAATGTGACGCTGTACAACCTGCTGGTGACGCGTCTGGCGGAGGTCTGCTCGGACCTGTTGCAAGTCAACAAGAAGGTCAGGGCGTCGGGGATCGTCATAAATACGTGCGGCCTGGTCAAGGGGGACGACTACAAGCTGCTCACGCACGCGGTGCAGGCGTTCGCGGTGGACGCGATTTTCGTGCTGGATCAGGAGAGGCTCTACAACGAATTGGTGAGGGACATGCCGGACTTCGTGGAGGTGGTCTTCCTGCCGAAGAGCGGCGGACTCGTCGAGCGGTGCCAGGCGCGGAGGCCCGAGGCGAGGGATCAGAGCGTCAGGGAGTACTTCTACGGCTCGCCGATACCGTTCAATCCGTACAACGTCGAGGTGAAGTGGAGCGAGGTGAGGCTGTACAAGATCGGCGCGCCCGTTCTACCGGCGTCCTGCATGCCGTTGGGCATGAAGGCGGAGGACAATCTGACGAAGCTGGTGGCGATCACGCCGGGGCCGAGTCTGCTGCATCACATGCTGTCCATTTCTTCCGTCAATCCACCCGAGGACGTCGTGCAGACTAACGTGGCCGGATTTGTCTGCGTGTCAGTACAATATTTGATGCTTTCCGAAATTTATATTTATCGACGTTATTATAACAATAAATAATTCTTTTTCTCATGAAAATATTTTTTATTTGCAGGACCAACGTGGATGTCGAGAGGCAGACGTTTACCGTACTTAGCACATCGCCTTCGTTACCGAATACAACGCTGTTACTGTCGGATATACAATTTATAGACAGTCATTAGATATAGAAGATCTTTTTTTTTTGTTATTAGATACTATAAATGTGTATAAGTCAGCCTTCGTACTGGATTTCGTGTAAGTTAAATAATCGTGTTAAATATACATATACGTACGAGCCTAACACATTTACAGGACTAACGTGAACGAGACGTAGACGTTAACGGTGCTTAGCCCGCAACCTAGACCGTTACCGAATACAGTGTTGTTACTGTCGGATATACAATTTATGGACAGTCATTAGATAGAGACGGACTTTGTTGTTATATAAATGTTTATATTTATCCTACGTAATATATGTCGTGTAAGTTATATATATAATATATATATATAAATAATCGTGTTAAATATATGTATATATGTACGAATCTAGGACAAACTAACTTATTGACTCTAAATATTTGGAACTATTTTGTATGATTAAACAATTTTTTATTGTTTTTTACTTGAATTATAATATATTTAAATATTTAATTATTGTATCATAATTTGTTACAATATATTTTTTATTTAAAATCTCAAGATTCTCTTTTTATAGTTGAATTACAAAAATGTTTGCAATAAAGTTGTTCCTTTTATATTCCTCTCGTTCTCTCGCAACGCCCAGTTCTGCCTATTTCATTTCGAGCGTACAGAAAATGTAAAAGTGATGCAGCTAGCAAAGGATAATAAATCTATTACGTTCTATTCATTTTACTCGCATTCAAATTTAAATTCTCGCTCTCTCCGTCGCGCTTCGGAGACGCGCGTCCTCTAGACGGGGTCCAAAGAAGAGAGTCGCGCAAACGCGAGACTCACGCGTAGTTACAATAACAATCTGTCATAATCGCGCACGCTAATATTTCTCTCGGAAGAACGCGCTGCATGTTTGCGAGCTGAGAAGGTGAGACAGGAGACGAGCCGACGGGCGCGATTTGAACGAGATGAACGGTGCCCGCGACTGACTTTTCCCCTCCCTAAGGTCTTTAATGTCAACGCGCGCCTCGCCGAGCTCGAAGTCGGTCGCGTGCGCTTCCACGTGTTCCGCGATAACATAGGTGCGCGGGTGACCGCTCGTGCCGCAGCGGAGGATCGTCGAGGATACGATGGTGTCTCGTTGACGCCCGACGAAAGCCGCCGGTCCCTCGCTCGTCGGAACAATCTCTTCGGTGAGTGACGCTGCGGGATAACCTCCAAACACGTGACATTTCGATTAGAGAACACATATTTCGAGCTTGAGCTGAATGGCGAGAAACCGAGGGGGGGAAAAATTATGACATTTAACTTTTGTGAATAGAAAATAGATCGTGTGATGTATAAAACTGCATAGATAGAATAATTATTTAAGCGTTATATAAGAGCAGATTGAAGATGCTGTTAGCCACCATTCCACCATTCGGTGAGATTTAAGAGAAAAAGATATCTCGCGCGAGGTGATAATCACCTCTTGCGATTTTGATCTATCGTACGTGTCGCATTATAGATCATTATAGATCACCTGGGCTCGAATTTTTTCGAATAATCGCGCAAGGTTTCACATCACTTTTCGCGATTGATATATGAAAGAAACGCAGGCTGGATAGGTGTTATTACAGCTGTTGATTGTACTTAGTGATTTGTAAACGTCATTTCTATTCGCATTATGCCCGCCAGAATAGTAGTTGAAAGGAAAATTTTTAGAAAGTTTTATTAATGCATCAGTAATTTATTGCATAATTTTTATTAGCCACGAATTAATTATTTCAAAAATATGTACACATATACATGTACATACATACATATATATATGTGTGTATATGGCATATGATTTTATTTCTAACTTACTAATTGTTAAATTATTGCTTTATGATTTATTGGTACTTATTTTTTACAGATTTTCTATTGTAATATATTTATCTGCATAATGTTGCGTCGGGCACGAATTAAAGCCTTGGCAGCTGTGCCAGTTCGAAAGAAGCCTTTACAGGATTCAGTAGATTCCACTGATGCTAACAATGTGGCTGATAAGGAGAGGAAAGAAGAAAACATATCTGATATCAATGAGACAGAGCAAGAATCTGCCAAGGATATCGCAGAGGTAAAAGAGCAGAAAGAGGAAAATGTTGCTAGAACCGATACATCCGAGCAAAAGGAAGGAAAAGAAAAAGATGGATCCAGCACTGATGCATCGGAACAAGAAAAACAGAAAGAGATAGATGTACCTAGTACTGATGTACCAGAGCGAGAAGCTGTCAAAGATATTGCAAAGGTTCAAAAAGAAATTAGAAAGAAGAAACAAGACAGAGTCAGTTTAAAGGAAAAGGTTATTGTTGAAAAACCAGATTCCCAAGAATTACGTTCTCCATTAAAATCGGACAGATTTAGTGATATACCAGATCGAGAAGCTGTCAAAGGTATTGCAAAGGAGGAAACTAAGAAAAAACAGGACAGAGTTAATTTAAAGGAATTGATTATTGTTGAAAAGCCAGATTCTCAAGAATCACGTTCTCCACTAAAATCAGACAGAATTAGTGATATACCAGAGGGAGAAGCTGTCAAAGATATTGCAAAGGTACAGGAGGAAACTAAGAAGAAACAGGATAGAGTTAGCTTAAAGGTCATTGTTGAAAAACCAGATTTCCAAGAATTATGTTCTCCACTAAAATCGGACTCTCAAGAGTTACGTGCTCAGACAATTTCTCAAGAATCTCCTGTATTCAAGCCTGACAAAGTTACCGATCAATCGATACAGAAAAGTATTCCGCTACCAGATGTGCCTACAGCAATAGATATAGGTAAAGAACACGTAAAAAAAATAGTAGATTTAGATTGAATGACACGAGAACAATATTTTATGTTTTGATTCCTCTTTATCTCAATATCCATAATAATATCTTTAAAATTATATGTATTTTAATATACAGCTATTTTTTTTTTAGCCTCACCTACAAAGGTAATACAGAATCGCCCATGTTTCATGAGACCTACACCGAGGTTGGACAGCGGCGGTAGAATAAGAAAGAACAGCGTGCAGGGTAGCGCGAGTGAGTCCGAGGATGAGCACAGCAAGAGAGTGGCGTCCGTCGTGCCGAGTCGCGTACGGAATGACTCCGTCTGCTCTGTACAAAGCAATAAGGAGAGTGCTGTCGTTGACAATCAGAGCGTCAGCCCTCCGAAGATTAAGGCAATGCAGAAGAGGCGCATGCTGGTTTCGGAATCGGCGAGAAAGCTGGCCGAAGCCAGACGGGAGTTTTTGCTGAAGCACGAAAATAGAACGCCCGATAGGAGCCAATTGAAGATGTACGATTTGATATATTATAATCCCGTGACAAATCCTATGCCAAAATCGTCCGCTCTTGAACGAAGGGTTATTACACCAGCGCCTACGCCACCACCGTAAGTACATTGGATTAGAATGGTGAAGTATAAAAAAACATTATCTGTATCAAAATTTTGATGATTAATCTGATTTTTCTTCTCCAGACCGGAAGAAATACCGGAAGAGGAGGACGAGGATGATCCGTCGGCAATGCCCATGCCGCAAGTGAAAGTGGGCCCCGACGGTCAGTTGATAATAGACGAGCAAAGTCTCGTGATAGAGCAAACGGATGCGAAGAGGAATGAAGAGATTATGGCGAGCGAGGCTACCATCGAAGACGATAATTCCCATGGCGGTGGTTTCTATAAAAAGCACAAGAGGAGCAAAGAGTGGCCGAAATGGGAAACATTTAAATTTTACAGAGTTTTGAATGTAGTAGGAACGGATTTTCTATTGATGCAGACACTTTTCCCAAATAGAAGCAGGCAAGAGATTAAACAGAAATATAAGAAGGAGGAGAGAGTTAATCGACAATTAGTTGAAAAAGCTCTAAAATATCATCAAGAATTTGATACCGATATGCTAGAAGAGCAGCTAGGTATGTTCTTTTTATAATAATTTTTTTAAATTCTACTTTTATACACGTTGTACAATACGTAAAACAATATTTGGTGTAAAACAATATTTACAATTTTTATTGGTAAAACAATATTTACAAGTGTAAAGAAATTTGACAAATTGAAAAAAAATTGTTTATTCTCAAATATAAAAAAAATATGAATATAAATCCTATTTTCAATACTAACGCAGTTGTAATAATTTAGAGTTTTGATTACTTTACTACAATAAAATTGTAAGCATCTTTTGATCTTATAATAAATGATATAAATATAATTATGTTAAATTATATAATTTTATTAAAATAATTATTTCGATTAAGGTTTACTTTATATCGAGCTCGTGTAATTTCACTACGATAGCAGTTAAACTTTAAATTGTAATTGCATAAATATTGAAAAATTTTTCTACACTAATCTAACTTTTTTTGTGTTTTTCTTTGGATTTTGATTTACATTATTATTTTGAACAAATGAGTTATAAGATACGTTTTGTCCTCAGCAAAGCTACAAAAGCTGGAATGTGTTCCAAACACACCTAAAAGAGCATCGGAGAAAATTAAGAGCGAACAATGCTTCAGCAGAATTTACAGAAAACGCAGGCATCGTAAGTACACTACAATTTTGATTTCATGAAACAATAATGTGATCAATATATTAATGGAATATTGTTCAACAAATGAACATATTAAGAAATTTTATATGAAGTATTACACTTATAAGAAATTAATCCAATATATGATTACAGGTTTAGTAGCGGAAAGTATCGGAGAGTGCGAGTCAATGTCCAACGAACCGGAAGCTGATACAGTAGATACTGTGACAAACGATGAACTCGATATAGAAATAAATACCGATATAAATAATGTTCAGCAACAAATGAAGAGAAAAGCACGGAAGTCGAAGAAGCGTTCGGACGAGAAATCCGAGAGATTTGACGAGTACAGTTCTTACACGGATGTTGATTCGGACAGCTCCGAGGAGGTTTATCAACTCCGACCGACCAGATCCGGCAGACTGTCGAAGAAGATAAGAAAGTTGCAAGCGCCTGACTTTAGTGCACTTAACAGTAATACCAAGAAGGAGTCGTCGGTAGACAAGAGTGTGATACCGTCACACGTAGCTGTGGAAGTTACGGAGTACGTAAATACGGCTGTTACGAACAGCGGGAATACGGAAACGACTTGTTCCGACAATATTATGACGATGATACCGAATATCAATCAAATGGAACCGGGAGCCTTGGTAATTGTCTCGAAGGAATCTACAGAGAGTCCTGGAAACACTATTTTACAAGTTTACATGGTTACCTCAAACATCGACTCCAGCACAACAGTTACACCTAGCGTGTCGTCTGGGAGCCAGTCGTCGGAAACTTTAGAACTCAATCAATCGGAAAATGTCGAAACGATTAACGTCGTCGATGATTCTGAGAAATGATCTTTTGCATGGCATTTAATTGTAATCCAATTTCGTATAAAACTACAAAAGGACATATCCTTTATTGGGATATTATAGATAGAAATAAGTACCGATATAAATAATGTTCAGCAACAAATGAAGAGTGAAGCACGGAAATCAAAGAAGCGTTCGATCGAGAAAATCCGAAAGATTCGAATGCAGTTCTTACACGGATGTTGATTCGGACAGCTCTGAGATTTATTTTCCTTGTAAATTAATGTAAACTATAATAAGATAAAATTTCCTTTTTTTTACATATACGTATGTAAAGATTTTTTTAATTGCAAGCGAAATTAGTATGTATCAAACTTTTTTATCTGTAGATAGAGTTATTTTTCGACGAAACGGAGATTTGTGTTAAACGTGATAAGAACTGAGCAATGTGCAAAACGAAGGTCGTGTAATCTACTTTATTTTTTTTTTTTTAGCGTGAGCGATTGAATTTTATATATGCATACCTATTTATTTTGCCATTTAGATATATTACTCAGATGTTATTTTTCCATTTTGGATACATAACGGTTTTACGTTTTTGGCTATAAAAATATACCAGGTATATGTATACGTAACATTGTACATTCTCATACAATCGCATGAAATAACTCGATATAGAAATAAGAATAATTCGGCTTGTGCAAGAAAAATATTAGAATGTATGTAAAATACATCAATGGTATGCGAGTATACAGTGGTTAGAACACAGTGTTATACGATAATTATGAGCATTAAAAGTACTGCCATGAATATTTTTTGTATCTGCGACTATATGTAATTTAAATAATTAAATTATTGCAGAATATATAAACCACAACTGTGTCACAACTTGCATGTAAAACATTGAGCAATTTAAATGCATTTATTTATTTTTGCAATAAAAAATTGCACATGTTATATACGGAAAGTGATGGTTTGATAATTTTTAAAATCATAATTGCTAAAATATACATTTTTTTATATATTTAAAAGATTGAAATAAATTTTTGACATTTTTGTATTACATGTGTGATGATGATAATGGTAATGTACCTTCTTGTGTAATTATTTTTTTATTTTTTACTCTTAATAGCATAATTCTAAAGTGTCACATGGAATCCATTTTGAGCTTTCCAAAGCATCCCACAAATTATAATCTTGTTCGATTATTTCTCTGTTCACCTTATCGATGTCAATGGGGATTGAATGTTCTGTAAAAAAAGAGAAAGGGTAAACTAATGGATTAGAATACTTAAATAAGATTTGTTGAAAAAAATATACATATTTATTTCCTTACGCCATAAGAAGATAAACAACATACCGATCAATTCTAATTCATCTTCCTCCGGTTTCTGATCAGATACATAGCTGTTGTAAGCATCTGACGTGGGCTCGCTTTCGTAGTAACCTTGTTGCCAAGCGCTGTAACTATTCCAGTATGACGATGTATCATAGTAATTGTATGCCTCTGAATTCATATTTGATGCTGGATATTCAGAAGTTGATTGCGGTGGTGTCGAACTAAAATCATTAAAAATTTATAAATTGACGTGTACAGGTTCAGACGATATAAAATCAATAAAAGTAATAGGATTAAGGAGCTGTGGCTCCATATTATTTTTATTAAATTTTCATTAATTTAAAATTAAATGTAATATTAAATATATGTAGATGAATCTCTCTTTGCAGTACAATATCGAAGGCGAATGTTGTTCAGAACAATGGCTGGATAAAAGAATTTGTCCTTTTACAAACATTTTATTTAAACTTTTTAACGTGCAGCTAACACATACCCAGATATTTTATTCCAAGGTCTAGGCACTGCGTTGCAGATCTTCAGGGATTTTGTTCCAAGTCCTCTGTAGCCATTCATAGTGATTAGACTATTTTTCTGCTCCTCCTCGTTCGCGAATCTAACAAAACCGTAGCCTTTACTGAATCCAGAGCTGTCCAATATAACTTTGGCCGTCCTAATCGAGTTATATTTCGCGGCAAATGCCCTATATAAAGAGTAATCGTCTACATCGGTGGACAGATCGCCTACCCAAATACTGAATTCCCGTTCGGCGGCAGGTTTCCCTGTAGTACTGGCGTGATTTAATCGGAATCGTACTGGCTACAAAATATATCAAGCAAAAATGATGTTTATTAGAATATTGTTAAAACAGTGCTTATTAAAATTTAGATTTGGTTATATATGGGATGATAATTCCAGGAACCGAATCTAAATTCATATATATATATATATATATATATATATATAAATTTTGACTGAAAAAATACTCATTGATAGAAATAAAATTTTCTAAACATGAATTTAATTTCAAGATAACACTGAAAGTAGATACATTATATTACGTTTGTTAGAGAGGAAAGTTTTCAAATAATAAATTTTGGAAACTCAAATTCTGCAGTAAAACTTGGGCAAAGGATATAGCTTTTTTCATAAAAATTGCAATTACAATAAAGTTATGAAAAAGTCAAGATCTACATAGCCTATGTGACATAGGACTTTTTTCCAGAAAGCAAACTCGACTTAGACACCATGTTATTAAATTAATAACAACTATTGCATACAATGTAAGATATTCTATTTTTACAAAGTTTACAATATACTAATACTTACAGGATTCGAACCAGGTATCACCTTGCCATTCAATTTGTGCATGGCATCGAGCGCCATTTCGTCAGTTGGAAAATGTACAAAACAATATCCTGCTGGCTCGCCAGTATACCGATTTCGCATAACTTTTACCGTTTGCGGCTGTTCGCCCATTTTGTGAAATGCATTCATTATAAAGCTCTCTGTCATGTATGGTTCCAGCTGGAATTAGATAATTTTCAGTAATAAAAATTTGTATTGAAAGTGTTTCGAAGTAATCGTGTGCGAAGAAATTATTCATCAAATTATCTAAACAATTTACTCACGCCACCCATCCATAGTTGACACAGCACCATTGGCCCTGACATTTTGTTCGCCGTTGCGATCTCCTTTTATCTGCCTCTTCCGAGCTGCCTAGATTTCGGAGCAAAATAAAAAATGTATAAGAATTATATCGTTCTGATGCTTTATCTTGAATACATAACCAATTTTACATTGACCTCAGATATTAGATGTATATACTCACACTGCGGTTATGTACACTGTATCTTTTTGTACGCTCACGATATTTTATTGAATAGATCGGTATAAAGTCAACAACAAATCAATTTGTGCGAGAAAAAATTAAATTAGAACGTATGTAAACAAGCATCAACCCGTACAGAGGTTAATAACAATTGACTATTTGAGTATTTGACTGACAAGTGCCGTGCTGGATGTTCATGTCATTGCTCGTATTAGTCCCGAAACACAATAGATGTAGTAAGCCTTAAGCCGCAAGAAATTGACCAATGATAATCGATTATTCTCTTCACATTCGACTGCGATTGGTCAATTTCTTACAACTTAAGGCTTACAATATCTATTGTGTTTCGGGTACTGAAATATAATAACACCCAATGCGCGTTCCAGTATTATTATATTTCAGCGGTCTCGGGATTTAAATGACCATCAATGTTTCACAGCGGCTGAAATCCCATTGGCTCGCCCACGCATTCATCGCAGAGGGCGCATTCTCGCGGGATGGGTACGCTATCTACAGCTTTCTCGCTCCGTGGCCGCGGGCCGCGCGCGCGGCTTCCGCGCGGCGCGGCGTGTGCGCAACTTCACTTCGATGGCAACAAAGATGGCGGGCGCAGTGCGCGCAGCGATTATGTGCCTCCGCTAGGCGCGTTGACGTGCCTGAACGAAACGTCGTCGCAGAGCTCGATCAGCGGGGCGCGCAGTTGTATAGCTGTGTCGCGGACGAACGCGCACGGGCGACGAGTGTGCGTATGTGTGTGTGCGTGTGTGTGTGCGCGCGTGTGTGAGACGTCGCGTGTGCGTGCGTGCGTGCGTGCGTGCGTACGCGTGCGATTACGCGATTCCGCCGTGTGCGCGCGTGCTTGGCCGCGTTGGGCGATCGCTGCTGGGCCGCGTTTCCGACGTGTTCCGACGAAATATGTCAGAGGCCGCGGAAACATGAGCGAGGGAGCGGACTCGGTTGCGCAGACCAGCGGGGATACGACCTCGACGGGCGGCGAGGGTGAGCGCGAGCGCGATGCGACGACGACGACGACGACGACGGCGACGCCGTTGCCGACGAAGCCGCCGCTGACGCCGCCGACGCCGCCGCCGCTGCCGCCGTCGCCGACGGCAGCGGCAACGACGACGTACACCACCGGCAGGCGGCCGCGCTTCGGCACCGGCGGCCCGCCGCCGTCGCCCTACGTGTGGATCGACGGCCGTCAGCTGCGGAGCGCCCTCGCCTGGACCAAGAAACAGCCGCCCCGACGAGTCAGCTTTCCCTTGAGCGACAGTCACCTGGTGACAGGCTACCTCGAACCCGACAATCCCTGGCGGTACGGTGAGTATCCCCTGCGTTTCCACGCGTGTACGGACGCGGGGTGTGCGTGATGCCCGCGCTGCGCTCTTTCACACCTCATGGTTTTTACAACCGGATTCGAGTGTTGCGTCACTTTGGAGCACGCATTCGGAGTGTTCTGCACTGCGTGTAGGGTTTTGTTGTAGGATATGCTTCTCCAGCAAAAGAACACGTCGACGCGGGGAGTCGTTCTCTGTCTTTGTCCGGTCGGTACTCGCAATCGGTGAAAGATGAAAGCATGATTCCTGTGTCGATGTGTCTCTCGCTGAAAAGCTCCTTTAGGTTTAACGACACTGGTGATCTAGTTCATGATGTAGTTAGCGTGGTAGATCTGGTTAGCAATTCGTCATTGACATTACGACACATACAGGCGGAAGATGACATAATTAATCAGGATTAGTGCAGGTAAAAATTGACGCTATCAGTTTGTGGATATTTTGTTGTCGTAGGGGTTTGATGAATGCACAGTGCTTGTGCTCAGGCATGATGCAGATCTCGTCGGTGATGTAAATTGCTCATAGAAAGCTCCAACAGAGATTTGCTATACGATTTGGTGTGAAGATATATGATGATTAATCTGATTATTACGATGTTGCAGGATTTCTGCTTGTTCTCAAGATTTAAATTAAAAGAATCTAACGTTGAATATCGTTTTGTGAGTTGCAACTACTTGCTGTAACTTTCTTATGAGTTAGTTAACGCTGGACTTGAAATCAACGCTGTAGATTGGTATTTTGAAGATATATAGTAAGAAATCCATCGGCCGCTTTGAAAAATGTCTATGATATGATATGAATATGAAATATGTGATGTAATATGTAAATATGTTAAAAAATCATGATAAATATGCGATTAAGTTTTGCGCAATTTTTAAATTCAGTTTTTGTAAATTTTTTTTTATTTAATAGAAAAATTGTACATGTTAAAAAATCGTTGGAAAAACGACCAGAATGATAATTGTTCATGGAGATATTTTTATAACATTCTACATCGTTCACGATGATTTCTTTATCTGTAGCACGGTTGTATTTTGTTACTACGCTATCAAGTTTTTTTATAGACTGTCCCAAGCGAAGGATTTCGCAATGTGAACCATGTACTAATTATAAGTTTGATGAAAGAGAGATAGCGATGTTAAAACTTATCTGATACAATATTCATACAATATTCATATACGACAGAACTGTAACGAAATATGTACATATTTTTTTTCTCATTGTAATTATTGTGTAAGATAATGGTTCTTGTAAAATAAATAAATAGATAATTATACACTCTATGATATTACAGATTTTTTTTTAACTTCGCACTCATTCATACTCTACTTATTTTGCATGTTATATATCTCGTGATACATTATATCAATTAAATGCACCTAAATACTTTATCACGTTGGAAGAAATTGCATAACAAGAAACAATAAATATTTGTAAAAATTCTCTCTGTCTTTTAAAAAATCTTAAAATTTCCTATATCCCTTTTAAGAAATCTCCTGCTTTCTGTTATCTTACAATTAGAAATATAATATACACGAAGGAAATGATTTAAAGGCACATTTTAAAAACATAATTTTTGAAATTTGTAATATAATCCATATTGTTTGTATGTCATGAAGTAAAATTATCAATAATTGTTCCCAGCTGAAAATGTGAATCGCGAGGACTTAATCTTTGCATACAAGGAGTCTTGCGCACGACATGCCACCGAACCCTTGCAAAAAGTTTTAGTTCAACTCGAGGTAAATCCATCTGCTATCACTTCAAGCAGTTATATTACGATTCTGATGTGTAGCCGTCTTTTATGGCTTAAAAGCATTTTTAAATTCAAGTGAGAGCAACAACGTGTTGCAACAAAGTTAACGATCTCAAGTTTTATGTATGAAAGTTGAACTTGTTTATTTGACGAAAATAGCTAAACTGGAAAGAATAAATTAAACTTTATTTTTTTTATTTTTCCTTTATCATGATATTTTGTACACGCTACTTGTTCTAGTACGCTAGCGATACAGTAAAACTTTTTTACCAGATAAATCAAATCGCAGTAATGCACGGACATGCTGCTTTGAAGAATGAAGAAAAGTTTTACAAGATTCAGTAAACTTTGCAGAAAGAAAAGTTTTGGAGTTCACTTTCACATGTTCTCATTCTTGTTACATAGAATTTGGATATATCTCAAGATCGTTGCGAGGAGCTGAATTTGAGAGGGGAAGTCTTGGGTCAGGATCATATCGAACCGTTGGAGGAGATACTGAAGAGACTACAGTTTCATAAAATTGATTTAGAAGGATCATCTCTGAATGACGAGGTATTTCTCTGGAAAAAAATACATATTATTTCGTTGAGTATGCTCTTAATATATGTACTCTGTCTATATTAATGAACAATTGTTGTTACAGAGTTCCGTGATATTATTTGATATGATGGAATATTATGAATCTGCAAAACACTTAAATATTTCGTCCAATCCAGAAATCGGAGTGCGCGGCTGGCAAGCGTGCTCACATATGATTAAGAAGGTACTTAGGCATCCAATCAAAGGATTTTTATAAGACAATCTTATATTAATCGTATATCAAATCTATATATTTTCCAAATTACTTTTATTTTTACTTCTTAATTGTGATTACTGTTTGGTTACATCCCAGGATATATGATAGTGCTATCGTAATGTTATATTTAAAAGTGCTGGGATTTTTGTAATTAATATAATCCTTATTTTGTTTAGACTGAGAGTTTAGAGCGGTTTGTAATTAATACAATCCTTATTTTGTTTAGACTGAGAGTTTAGAGCAGTTTGAAGCTGGGGACATAAAGTTTGACGAACAAAACATGAACACGCTGACTCGTGCACTACGAATGGTTTGCCATCTACAAGTCCTTAAATTGGAAAATTGTGGACTGTCGGGCAGAGCAATTATCATGCTTGGTATTTATCGCGTAACGATTTTTTCTTTCTTTCACATTATAACATTGTGTATTATATTGTATTTACAATGTAAATATGTTTGCAATTTATTAATAGAGTATCATTTATCGTTATAATTTACAAGAAAAAAACAAGTGTTGTATTAAAATATGCTATTGCAATTATTGAAATGAAATTTAGAAGATCCTTTGTAATTGATTCACATGGATTATGACTCTTTGTTTTTCTAACAGTTACAGCCCTAAAAATAAATAGCGGTATACGGGAACTATATTTAGCCGATAACGGGCTTGACTTATACGACGCTATACAGCTTGGATCTCTTTTAAGAATGAACAATCAGTTGCAGTTACTCGATATTAGGTATGTATGAATTGATAATTTTAAGAACGATTGTTTTTTTTTTGAAAACTTTTTTGGAAATATAATGAATGTGCAATGTAAAATATAATAGTATTTTTTTATTTAATCTTTAGATTTCTATGAATGTTTTTAAATTCTTTGCGAAAATTGGTAGAAACTGTATACATAATTGAAGAAAAACATAAGAACAATATTTTTATGTGTAGGTTGTAGACTTGTTTTGTCTTTGTAAGAGGCATGTATTATCGCTTAAGCGAGTGACGATGTTAGTACAGATTTCTTTTTTCTTTGAAATGTTTTTCTTTAGTAATAACAACGTCCAGGACGACGGGGTACGAGATATATTGGAGGGTCTGATCAATCAAGTGAACGAGGACAAAACTGGCCAGGGACTTAGCATCCTGATATTATGGAATAATCGTCTGACCAAGAAATCATCACACTACTTCTCGAGAATTATAGTATGTATTACGAATATCTTCCGATATATTGTTTTTGATTGATGATACATATTTCATGGTAATTTTCATGATTTAGATAAATATTAATTATTGATAATTGTAATTTGTACTGTAGCTTACAAAACTCTTCTTGCAAATGAATTTTATTTAGTTAGATTATTATTTTAATTATTAGAATTATTGTTATTTTATTATATCAATTATTATTTTTAGCGTGTTTATTACTTTTATATATGTTTATTTGTGCTACTATTAATAAATATTAATAAATATATTAATGTAATTGGAAATAAGAATTAGCGGTTTACATTCAATTTATAAAAATCGCGAGCTGATTAAAATTTGAAATATTTTTGAAGCGATTTTTTTAAAATAATTGGCCTCATTTTTAATTTCAAATTTCAGTTCAGTTGTTTGTAATATAATGCTCGCTGCCTTATTACACAATTATATTAATTAAAATTATGTTCAGGCATTATCGAAAACTTTGGAGACTCTGAATATCGGCCAGAACATGCTGACGGACGAGACATTGAGCATCGTTAATGAATCATTGAAGCAAAATCGTGTTCTTCTACAATTGGGCATGCAATCTACGGAACTCACATGTGATGGAATAATCACGCTTGCTGAGATAATGGAGACGAATCAAGTTTTGCAGGTAAAATTTTCGCTGATGCTCTCAATGTTTCGCTGTGCCCTCGATATCACGTCTTTCTCTTACAGAGGATAGATTTACGAGACAACACTATACAGATGCGTGGAATGCATGCTCTCGTGAATGTCATGAAAAAGAACAAGACCATTACGCAGATCGATTTGGATGACAAACCTCGAATAAGAATAGTGAGTGTCGATTATTTTATTTCGTTTAGCTTATTTTATTTCGTTACAGCGAATTCTTTATATTCGCGATTTTTTTTATATTGTATAATTTTTGTATTAAGAACTAGCGTGCAGTTTGTTCGAGAATTTAATAACAATGTTTGGTAATTCCTATGTTTAATAATTGTCTTAATTTTTTCAATACAAAAGGACGGTCCCTTGCACGAGTATAAGGAAATGGCTATGGAGATTCGCAGTCACTGTAGCCAGAACGAGGAACGCCGTCTACTAAAGGAGTCCACCGAGGACGTTGAGAGCCCGCAGCATTCAAACCGGTTGCTGAACGCGAGTTCCCGTAAGATCTCGCTTACCTGTCAGACACTGCCAAGTCCGTCGCGATCGGCGATGTTAGCCGCCGATGAGCCGGCGACGCGCACCATGCTGGAGCCAAAGCGCACCAGCGGAGGCCGTCTGCGCTCCCCGGCTCCCAGTCCCATCCCCTCTCCCGTGGCCAGTCCGATCCCCAGCCCGTCCCGGAATCGCTTCGTTGTGTGTCGAGTGTCGGAAGCATCGTTGCGCTCCGCCGACTCTTCGGTGTCCTCCTCGCCGGTCACTCCGCCGTCCCTTGGCTCCTCCCCGTCCCTCGGTTCTTCCCCGTCTTTCTTTCCCAACGCGAGCGGCGGCACGTCGCGGTTCCGCGTGTCGGTCGTCGAGTCGGCGGGCGCCGATCGCTCGTCGCCAAAATCGGTCGTCGCCTCCTCCAGCGGCAGCTCCGTCACGATCGGTTTTAACGTCAGAATCGACGCGGCCGACTCCGACGATCACGACAGCGCAACCAAGGTGGACGTGCATGCGACGCAGACCGCTAGCGATAGCACAACCGCGTCCGTAGGCACGCCTAACGTAGTTGCGATATCGCCAGCAGATATATCCCCAAACGAAGACATTGCCAAAAACGAAGATCGCTGTGACGAAGGAACGAAGGGGGTGGAGGAGCGATCGAGTGTGTATCTAGCTGAATCGCGACTCTGGACGGATGAGAGCGTTACTGCGACGTGTAGGAGTGAACGCGATGCAGTAACGGAGATCAAAGACGAGCGATTAGCTCGGGAGGACGTAACTACGATGTCGCGGTCTGAAAGAAGCGAGGACATCACGACGATTCGCGAGGATCGTTACGACGAGGCGGCGAGTCAGAGCAACGTTACGATAGATCTCGAGAGCGTCGCGACGTCCGGTAACAAGGATACCGAGGCGGCTAAGGATCATCGCATCGTGTATACGAGTACAAAGGAACTACAGGTACCTGCATATCCGAACGAGGATACGGCCTCGATGAGGATTAGCGTAGTCGAGGATAAAGCCTTGATAAAATCATCCTCGGATGACACGTCGGAGTTGCGCGTGAATCGGACAGCCTCGGAAGGATTGTCCGCCTGCGTTTTGGAGTCTTCCGTAAGTACTACCTCGGGAACGTCGTCCTCGACTCGCGTGGCAGAGTCACATTCGCGGGAACAGGCGAACACGTCGGTGCAGAGGCACAAGTCCGGCTTGGAGAAGCTCCTGTCTTTGTTTCAGCATCCTGGCCAGTTCTTCTCGGATTCTTCGAGCGCTGCCGCGGATACGAGAAGCTCCCTGCAAGAGAACGTAAGCGGCATGATGGCACTGGGCGACAGGCTGCAGCAGTACCTGAAGGAGAGTCGAACCAAGGTTAGCACCGACAGTTCGTGGTCGTCGGAACACGGGTCTTTGTTGAGAAACAGACCGGTGAGAGTAAACGTCTCGCAGTTACAAAGTTTGACCAATTTCTTCACGTCTTTCAAGTTCGAACCTCACGCGAGTCTCGCCGAGCACAGCACTAATCTCTTCGGTCAGGCGAAGAGTCAGAATACGAATGTCGGAGGGAAGGATTTAGAAAGATCGACAGAAGTCGAGGTTGCAAGAATCGACAAAGAAGATTCGTTCGGCCTGGAGAAGAATCAGATTGCGAGAAACGATGGAAAGAATCTGGTCGGACAAGAGAATGGCAAGAGCAGTTCGTGTGATCAGGAGCGAAATTGGATTACGAGAGATGAAGAGAAAAATTCTGTCGTTAAAGAAAAGAATCAGATTGTTAGAAATGACGATGATTTATTTGTTCAAGAAAACAATGAAGTAGGCAGGAACGACGAGCAGAAGTCGTTTGATGATGTTGTCAAAGACGATGAGAAGAATTTGGGCGGTCAGGAAGAAAGTCGGGCCTCAAATGACGAGAACAATTTATTTGATCAGATAAAAAATCAGGTTGTGAAAGGTTGCAATGAGAGGGCGGATTTGGAGGATCAAGAAAAAGAACAAGAACAAATTGCCAAGAACACTGATGAAAGCTTTGAAGATCGAGAGAAGATTCAGGTTATTGAAAACAACGAGAATGTACGAGATCAAGAGAAAGATGAGATTGCGAGTGACAACGAGCACGATTTAAACAATCGGGAGACGGTGTCCGTGAAAAGCAGCGAGAAGAACTTGGAAGATCAGGACAACGGGACTCACGCGAGAAACGACGAGAAAGATTTCATGGACACGCAGAATGTATACGTTAACGAGGGGAGTGTCGAGGAGGACGGTGTGCGTTGCGTAGACGAGTTAAAATGGACAGAATCTGACCTTAGTGATCGACTGTTACCTGAAAGTGTGCAATCAAAGGATGATTTTGTTGATAACTTAGTATTAGATGGCGGCTATGTCGAGCCGGACGTGGCGGCTCCGTCGTCGCTGGCGAGCAAATCCACTGTGTGTATAGCTGTAGAGTTAACGAACGTAGCCGGATATTCTGCATTAGAATTAAGTAAGACCGACGGTACAGGGTGTAACGACGATTTTATTAGTGACCAGGATCGCGGAGAGCGCGATGATCTGCAGAATCATACGGAGCGTAGCGACGTTGAACGCTTAAAACGCGACAATCTGGAGGGCTTAGAACGCGACGGAGCGAAAGTTTTAGAAAATAATGACACAGAGTGTTTAGAACGTAACGACGCGGTTGAAGGAGTGGATACCTTGACGGCGAGGACATGTGATACAACCACGGACAGTATTAATCAGACTAGTGATAGTAGTTTTCCGATTTGTAACATAGGGCATGATAGGAAAACCGTAGATAGTGTAAGTACGACGAGGGCGTCGATGAGCACAGACGACGACGTCGGCACGACTGAATGTCCGTCAGACAACCGCGGGACGTCGTCGACGTCGTTGAACGATGTCTGGGCGTCGTCGACGTCGGTAGACGACGTTGGGACGACGCCATCGAGGTCGTTGAAGGACGTCGACTCGGAGGACCACTTAAACGAGGAAGTTACCAGTAGCACGTGCTGCATTGTCGACCAAGATCGATGCGAGTCTAAGAAAAAGGAGGAGGAGGAGAAAAAGGAGGACCTGGCGGAAGTCCTTGATGCTGATGCTTGCCGCGATTCCGTCGATTGTAAGAGTATAAGTGTAAATATTAACGTAGAACCATGCGAATCGGATTCGGGGAGCCAGGAGGCGCTCGGGGAGCATCACGAGGGACAGTCTTTTATGCCAAATAATGTCGACGTACATCGAACTATCCCTAAAGACGCGACCGAGATGGACGACCAGCCGGAGGACGTCGTCGATGATGGCAGGCGTATCGACCCGACCATCCTCGTCACGCCGTACGAGACGTCCGCGAATCTGGACAAATCCGACGCGGAGGAGCTTATTTTCTGCATGACGGACATCTCGACGGACGGCACGTCCGTCGAGGACGAGCTGTCGCCGAGCGTTCCATCCAGGAGCTCGCCGAACGACGGCGCCAAAGTGACGGAGTCGTACTACGAGCTGTCCGCTTCGAGGACTACGTCGACGAGCACGCTGCTAATCGAGAATCCCGAGGGCATGCACAGCCAGGATTCCGGTATCGAGGAGACCGATACCGTTCTGACGATCGACGACACTGTCGCCGGAACGGTGGTAGACGCGCACCCGATGCCACCGCCGCGCAGCAGCCTCCAGGAGAGCGTGGACTCTGGGATCGAGTCGGAGTGCTCATCGATATGCATCAGGGCAGAGCCCGCCGCCGAGCGGGCGCTGGAGTTCGTCGTGGTCCCGAAGAGGCCCTCGCGCGACGACAACGGCGTGGACGATGACAACGGCGAGTTCGCGTCGGATTTCCTAGTGAAGGAGGCACGGCTGGTAGATAACGACGGCATGAACGACGGCGTCGCGCATTCGTACCTCAGCGGCATCAAGTGCGGCACGGTCGTCGGTACGGCGCCGCGGCCCGTCGCCGACGAAGGCGTCGCGCACTCTCCCACAGCCGTGCACGGCACCAGGTGAGTATACTGTGAGCGCGGGTACCGGGCGGGGTGCTCTTCTCCTCGGAGCTTCTTCGGAACTTCCTATACGAGAACCCTAGAATGCGTTACGCGCACCATTCACTCGGCGTAGCCTGGCTTGCATTCTCTGGCAGCAACGTAATCACGACAGATAAGAAGAGTAAAATGTGGCTAATGTTCCGGCACCGGGGAAAAGTATGCTTACAGACGTCGCTCTCACCAATATGCTATATGTTGAAAGAGCCAGACAGAACTCCGTGTTGGGAGGGATTTAGAGAATCGTTTAGTTAAGAGGACAATAAGTTCTCTTCGGTTCACCACAGTTTCATGACGCAGTTTCAATCAGATATAAATTTCAACTCAAAATTGAGTTTCCCGGATATTTAAGTGATTTCACGTCACTAATCTTTCAGCTCAAAATTATTAAAGAAAAAAAAACGACAATGTCAATCACAGCAGGGACAATTGCACTTGTGAATGGATGACTTACGCTATGCAGTCGTGTGGAAGAGCCGCACATTCTAAGGGTTTAACGCAACTGCCAGAAAGGATGTTCCTTTCGACTTATTCTTGGCTTTCCGCTTATTTAATTTCGCAACTCACGCCATCAGCTTTCATTGTCGCTATTGCTGGGAACATTTGAAGGAAAGAATCTCAAGTAGTTTCGAATGCTCTGCCCGTCGTGACTCAAATGTAACGAGATGTTAGGAAATAATCGCTAAATATAGGCGAGGGATATACCTGTTTCTTATTTCACTCGCGGAATTTGGAGCATTCGAAAATCTTCAAAGACTCCTCATATGAGTTATTGTTAGTAATGAGTTACACAAGAAAGTTCTCTACAGAAATTCAATATAATTTTTACTTCGCAACTTATTGGCGATCTTTTCGTTCGTTTCCTTGTGCTGAATTACTTCACCCTCTTATATTTTTGACAAATACATTAACATCTTCGTTTTACTAACAAGTCATTAAAAGAGAAGTTTAATTTTCATATTTAATTTATATAATTTTTTATTCCTGCCTCGTTTTTGTATACATATATGATTATATATTTTCCTCTTATTGTGTACATTTTCCTCTTGATACTTCCTCTACACATCTTTATAAACTTTTTAAAAAATGAATTAGTCATAGTTACAGTTTTTACAATAGCTACATTTCTTACAGCAGCTACAATTTTATGATAAATAATTCAGTTAAAAATTCTAACTTCTTCGTTATTGCATTTCACTTAATTGTTTGAAAGCTTTTGCACAGCTTTTCTTTCAAAATGTAAACCGCACAATTTATATATCTGCATGAATATTAGTTTATGGGACGAAGACAATCTTCATTTTTTGCAGCCCGAAATAATGCAGCGAAGGAAGAAGACGAGAAGGCTAAGGATAGCAAAGGGAACAAGACGAACACGATCGAGTATGATATCGATGACGATGATTATGAAATCGACAAATTGAAAGAAGTGATGAAGCAGCTCGAGCCAAAGTATCGGCGCTATGCCAACTGGCGGATTTGAATGCCTGTTCGTAACTGTCATTCTTTCCGGAGGTCGTTGATGTGAAACAGATGCGCGCTTGGCTCCAAGGACTGTTGACTCCGTGGACACTTACAATGATGGACTCTATGGATTCTTGGTTTTATGAATTTTTGATATTATAGATTTTTTTGGTTGATTTTTCTTATTCTTCCGCGCTTTTGCGCCTTCAAGTTCTTAGTTTCTAGACAGAATTTAATTTTAAAGACACTTGCCATTATAAATTTTTGACGAGTAGAAACTAGAAAGCTGTTTTAACGAATAATTATTACGATAGATTATTTACTCCTTCTTTCAGTGATCTTTGTGTTAAATATTTGTTAGTATTTTTTGTGTATACGGGTATTTCGGTACCGCATCTTTAAATTCAGACCATAGTAGTATAAATAGAGTACTGTAGTCTTGTACCATAATGTGCATCTTGCATATATATATATTCACACTTTACGGATCTTTGTTATCTTTCCTCTTATACTCTTGAATCTGTAAAGCAATCTATTTTCGCAAATCCATGTTCCACAGATCTTTGGAGTTGTACGTTGTACGTCGAAACAATATGCGTAATTACGAGGCGGATTTTTTTTGACGACCCCAGTGGTAGAGGATGTGTATATACACACAAGCGAGCGTTGAAAACTTAATTTTTTTAACTGTAATAAGTGTCTTATGTACTAGCTAGGTTTTTGCCGGTTTATTTTTATTTGCGCGGGGAGGCGCAACTGTTGGAAAGTAGGGGGGGGGGGAAGGACGAAAAATGGAAAGTGTACAAGCAGACGATCGATTCTAGTCCTGAAGACAGTCGATCTGTCTTGGGGAAATTGTAAACTTAAACATGCACCACTGTCTCTCGCCGCGCGGTAGGTAGGTGTAACACGCTGGCAGTGATCGATGTAACGCCAGTGCTTCTTAAACTTACAAATCACGGGACACCAAAGGATAGAGTCTTTTCTTTGTCGTGCCTCGAGCCTCTACGAAGATTTTCCTTGAGCTAGGCGAAAGTTACGATTATAGGGTGCTCCGCTACAATCTATTGACGATGTCCTTTCAATTAGAAGTTAAAACTGAAGACAGAGAAAGTGATTGGTTGTTTCTAGCGTTGTTGATGCAACAATAAATAGAGTTAATAGAAAATGTTAAAAAGATTTGCTAATTTTCATTAGGGACAAATATCTATATTATAAAAATAAAAGAATATATCTGTGCGTGTGCGTGCGAAGGGACATCCGGACGGACACCTTGTATATAAAACATAAGGGATAGCATAAACTTTTTCAGTGTAACTTTTTTTCTATGATTAAATCTTATTTGTGTTGGATGGACTTTAGTGAAATAGATATAACAAAGGATAAATATTTGTCGCAATTAACATACTAATCAATGTAGAATTATCTGTTATTATATTTCCAGATTTTTTTCGTGGAACACAGTTTAAGGAACACTGACCTAAAAATAAAAATAAAAAAAAACGTGGCGATTACCTTAAACGAAATACTTTAACGAATTATTACTTAAATGTACATCACTGTTAACTAAAATTGAAAAACTTCCTGAATGCCTTGCATATATAGTATATCGCAGAAAATATGAGAATCATTAATAGATTACTCTTAAAGAAATTTCAAGCTGATTTCTTTAAAATAAATTTAATGGAAATGCATGTAATATTTCGTAAAATAATTTAGTACAATTTACTGTAGGTATTTAATATTGGAAATGCAACGAATCAAGTGTTAGGAATGTAATTAAAAAAATAAGATTATTTTTTTAATTAATTCGACATTCTGTTTGTGTCTTTAGAGATCAGTTATTTAATATTAAGGATATTTAAAATTAAAAATTAAAAGGTTGCTTAAGAGGTTTAATTTTTCGTTTAGCATGGTAAATTGTTAGTTTTAAGGAGATAAGGTCTCTATTACTGATTATCATATTTTCTGAGATGTTCTGTACATTTATGTATATTTGTATGTACGGATGTGTGGTATGTAATGTGTGTATTGATTGCAGGAGAACGCGATTGAGAAATATTGGCGATTACCGAGTGATCGCGCGTTACATCACAGACAATAGGTTTCGAACGCGACTCGAATCTGTGTTTCGTGAGAGAACTTACTTAAATAAAGTTCCAGCTGTACGGGACAGGAAAAGAGTTCTTATCTTTTTACATTATTGTAGTTATATTTTTAAAAATATAAAGCAGTCTATTATCTCTTTTGCACGTTTATAATTTGCATAAAGAAATGAAAATAGCTTAAAGCCATCTGCAACGTAGATGAAATCTTTATTACAATATATACACATATATATGACTCTTATCTTAGACAGGTTTATATATATATTTTTTTATGTAAATAAGATGTATACCTTTTGTACCTTTTTGTATAGGATTAAGGATTTATTAGGAGATTAACTTTGTTGCTTTACGTTGCGTTTTATTTATTAACACTCAGAGCTTGGGAATTGGCGCAATTTTTATCAAGCAACGCTGTACTTTGGTATTATATATGTACACACGTGTGTGTTTTTTTTTTATGAGTACGTTAAAAACAGATTCGAGTCTCGTCGAAGGTATCGTCAAAGTTATTATCGCGTTTAGGTAGCTCGCAATTTTCGGAAAAACGAATTACTAACTATTCTATTATTGTATCTTAAATTATATCTCTCGTTTTTTGTGGTTATTTACTCTCTTACAAATCTCGTTACAAATGTAAATATATATACATACGTATGTATGTATAAATATGTATACATATACACACGTATATATATATATATGTTATGGTTACGTATGTATATGTATATGATATAGATACATATATATATATTCGCCACGTTGCTAGTGGCTAATGTTATGTAGAATAAGACCGTCACTCTCTCGCGATAGTGACAACTACAAGCATTCTTGTACCTGTCTCGCGCTGAGTAATAATTGCACGTGCAATTACGGCATTTTTTTTACTATGCATCCTGCAATTTGTCGGACACAGTAAACTACGAGCGCGCAAGTTTCTATGTATTCTATTGACAATAAGTAACAGAGTAATCACTGAATTTTTCGTATTCTTCTACGTATTCGACCAAGCGGATTTGGTAGTGATGAAAGTGGGAAACAAAATAGTCAGTCGCATTTGTCCACTAGATTCCGCGCCGATATCTCCATTGAAACACATTCTGATAAACATTAAGTAACATTTTGAGTTTCCAAAAGAAAAAAAAACAGAAAAAAAAACCTGACAAATTAAAATACCCGACAAAAAAAGGATTTTGATGAAACTTGATAATTTCATCGAGAGAGAAATCAGATGTTGCGCGTGCAATTAGAGCGTGTTTTATTTTTTGCGACAATGTACAATTCCCCGTGCTAGAGACTATATATGTATATAATAATTTTATGAAAATTGCGATTGCACGCGCATTTATTTCCCAGTGAAATACGAATATTAATCCTGAACTATGCCATGCTCCAAAGCCGCGATCCAGATATGATCGCGGACGTTTGTAACTCAGACCGAAATTGTACAAAGCGTTAATCGTACAAAGTCGAAGGACGATCCCTTCTGCCCTCACGTTCCCCCCAAAACAAATACGTTTGAATACTAGACAAAGAAATTTATAAAGCTTGCAAGATTTTTGTAACGATTTCTCTATTCAAGTGTATTTTAATACGACTATATCGGGAAGGAGAGGGTCGAGATTTAGGTTTTGTCTACTCTCTCGCGTCTGTAACGAATCTCTCGTCGACTCTGCGACAAATTCAGTCGTTCGGAGGAGCAGTGATTTTCTTTTGCCGCGAGCAAGAAAAATTCGAAACAATTTTGATAGTTGTGCAAATTCGGAGATATCTTTGAAGATATACCGTCGAGCTCACTTCGTTCCTTCGTCGCTTGACGTGACAATGTTCCGGAGGAAGTGAACGCGCCGGCTTTTGATGTTAAATCTTTGCAATTGCATTGTAAAAACGATTTCATGTAAAAAGAAAATGTGTATCATTGTTACAATTACAATCATAAATTGGTACACAGTAACGGATAAAAAACTGACTTTCGACTGACAGAGTGATTCGAGATCCTTTTCTTACAACGATCGAGCTGCTTATTTGTGTGTATATCTGTTTTTCTAAAAATCGAGATATCTATTTGGAATATCTTTTCTAGACACCGGTGACACTGTTTGCGAGTCTCTTGTTGTTGAAAGCGTAAGGAAACTCTTTTTCAGAAGTGGCTCTGGGAATAAGTGGAATAACGTTGATAATTCGTTTCCTAGAGCGCTCGGTGTACACACGTGTGCGTGTGCGTGTTTGTGCGTATGTATGTGTGCGTGCGTGCGAGGGTGGATGCGGATGAATGGTGTGCGTGGTAGTCTAAAATATGTAAATAACTATTGCCGAACCGGCATCGTTCTACGAATGTCCCGAGAATAGATGTAGTATATATGAAAGAGAAATTCTATATATGTATATGAGACACACACAGATTGAGTTTGAGAGATTTTACTGAACCGACGTACGAGAGAATAAAGATGATTTAATTATAGACACAGTCTGATTATTTTTTTTTCTCTTATCCCCGGATAAACATATCCTTCAAGCTTGTCGTCGGTCACATCCTCGCCAAAGTTTGTCGCGTAGACATGCGTGAACACTTTGGCCTTCTCGCGCAACTCTGCGGCGTTCCTCACTCGGCCTACCCGGGATGAATTTGCCGGGATGAATAAACCCCTGCGAACACAATCCATGTGTGTGTTGAGAAATAAAAGAGAAACATGAGCTCTAGAAAAACGAGTTATTCGAACGACGACTTTTGTCTTAATCTATGGATAAAGAGCGTTACTTTACTTTATTCGTCAACATTCTATTGTCTTATTGATAGATTTGTTAGCCGCTTCCTCAATCCTTTGTTTTAAAATGTACGTATACAAAGCCTTTGGCTGAAACCGCTGGATCCTCATGCATACATGATGAGCGACGCTTTAAAGTCGTCTACAATAAGATACTTAATTAAACTAGGTTTTAAGAAAATTGACTGTCTCACGTGAGAAGAATAATCGATTGTGATTTTTTCAAATCTTAACTATCTTAAGTCTCATTGTAGATATCACACTAGTTGGTGGAAAACGGTTATATAGTGATGATAAATAGTAAGAGAATTTCTCTTACTAAGTATCTATATTGTAAAATTTTATGACAAAAAAATATAGATCCTTTTTGAAACGGATTTATATCAAGTATACAAACGAGTTTTATGAAGGAAAGTCCTCGTGTTCTGAGGTTCAAGATTAAACAAAGAAGAATGAACGATTATCTTTTCTATACCTACAATAAGATAAGAAACTTTTTATCCTCATTTTTTGTTTCTGGATTTGTACACCGGACGAATCGAACTCGTAATTATAATAGATCTTGATTATTAAAAGTCTTTTTTATTTTCGATTTATAACGCTATATTTTGTATTGTTACGGTCCATCCATGGGCGTCCGCAGGGGGTCCTCCCCCTGGAAACAGATGAGTACGAAAAAATTTAGAATTTGCTCTCTTATTTTTACTTCTCATTTTAAGAAATATGTTTGTCAAGTGTAAGAGAGCTAAAGTACAACACAGTACATTTACTCATAGAGGTAGTTTGTACTAAAAATTTGGATCATGCCTTTCTCTAGAAAAAATCCTGCGGACGCCCTTGGGTCCATTGCGGTCTTATTTCGCAGTTAACCCGCCGTGCACTAGGTGTGGTGTGACATACCCCAGCAAAATTTAAACTTTTATAACTTAAAAAAAAATATTGTGCGCAACTTTCAAACAAATCGATGTTATGGCAGTTGGAATTATTATCGTATACTAAATTAGTATACTTAAAGTGAATATATAGCATATATATGGGATATGAGATATTTCACATGGTTTGCTACGTTGATATTTTTCACCTGGTGCACGCGGAGGGTTAAATAAATTGTAGATTAGAGACGTCATATTTTTAAACAATTATTTAACAATCGTTACATGATTTACAATGTAATTACATATTTGAGAGACTATTTCATATGAAAAAGAATAAAAGAAGACGTATGTACATTACGAATTAATTGAATGATATAAAACGAATATATATATATCTATTGATCGAGGGATCATAAGCTCCGAAAACTTCGATTTTTACGTACGTTTATTAAAGCTTCCGCAATACAATTTATTAATCATTTGCACAACCTTACGTTTCTCCTCGCGGCGCAAACTAGAAGATATACATTGCACTTTCGCACCGAAAGTCCAAGAGATGCCGCACGATACTTTTTTTTTATTTTCTGTGTCTTACATTTCACAACCTATTCCTTCGTTACGAAGCGGTACGTTCTCGATTACGATCATTCTCCGATTTTCTTCGCGATACAATGCCGGCATTGGAAGATTATCGCTCTCTAGCATCGACGACGCGATGTAATAATAATATATAAAATAGAATATTTCGGAAATAACGCTCAGATCTGTACAACCAAAAAATTATACATTCACCGGTCTCGTATTTATAATCGTACCTTTTTTTTCATATGTATATATATATATATATATATTTAATATAATATATATAATATAATATATCTCTATGCATGTAAACCTACGTAAATGTACATATACTGTCGACTCTGTGTACTTAATTGAGTTTACATGCTTACACGGCACCACGCAAATGAGTATTTAGGACAGCGCGATTGCTCTTGCATGCAAATGAACAAACGAGAATTATAATTATCCTTTGTGACTTTGCGCCGATAATGTTAAATTAATTTCAATCCTTCTCCTTTCGACAATCTCTTTGATCCTACGCAGATCCTTAGAATGTACACAGGTTGCAAAGTCCTCGAAATTTACATAACTCTTTTTTTTGTGGAGGAACTTTAAATCTCGACGTTCACGTAATTTCGAAGGATCTTACCGGCGATATTGAAAACCGAAGGATTAATGCATATTTCTGGACCTTAGATCATTGAATATCCACAGGCAGTTTTATTCGACGGAGACATTGATAAATCCTTAAAATTTATTGATTTCATCCAATGATATCGGAATATTGAATATTCGTTATTACGGACCAGATTTTACTTTTTGCGGAATTTTTATTGTTTATGTAAAGCTCTGATTCTATACCGATCTTAGAATTCATAAATCTTGGTTTTAACAACTTCAGATTCATGGATCTACTTGTTTCTTTAGATTTTCACTTTTAGCGTCATAATTTTCAATTAATTTCTCGTTCCTAATTTCAAATTTTTACATTTAAATTTCCACGACGCCTGTTTTGAAAGATCGTTCCTTTCATTTTGTCACAAAAATCTTGTTGAAAGTGGATTTTCGGATCTAGATAATGTAATCGCAGAAAACAGAGAGATAGAGATAGATAGAGAGAGAGTGAGAGAGGGAGAAGGCGAGGGAATAAGAGAGGGTGGAAGAGGAGAGAGAGAGAGAGAGAGAGAGAGAGAGAGAGAGAGAGAGAACTCTCTCGAACAGGTAGCTGCACCTGAAGGATATTGTGACATAACAAAAAGTCCATTTGTATAATGAAGAGACTTATGTTTGACAAGAAAAGACTCTGAGATTCAACAAATTGGTCGCGTCGTATCGTCGATGTGTTCGCTTAATAATTAATCAACGAATGTTACTTCCTGGTCGAGGAGCACTCGTGCATTCTTTCAGCCATTTAATGGCGTGCACACAGGATACCGGAGCCTTTGGCCTACGGTTTACGCCTCGTTTATGCGATATACAACAAGAAAACGCATGCACATAAAAGAGGCCTTTAGATTCTCATTTTCATTCTATTCAATACCAATTACATTACCCTAGTTCAGGATACGAACAAAATACACAAATGAGATAACGCAGAGACAGCTCGTTGTTCTTATGAAGTCAAGCACTTCAAGAAATTTACTGCATATTTGTTACACAATTATAATACTATGATATTATAATATGATATTATATGTAAGATAGATTTAAACTTGTGATATGTAACTCCGTGAAATACCCAGATTTTTTTTTCAGATCGTCAATTTTCGATTCTTGATGTTACGTGCCATTTATTTTATTTCTCTACCGTTTATTGATTTATAAGTCCTTAATTTCATAAATTCCCAATTTTTACCTATAAATATTTACACACATATAAGATATATATGTATATATACACACACAATCTTTCATGTAAAATTGTAAAAACAAAATTATTTTTGTGAAAATGATTTTTGCTTCTTTTGTATCTTTTTATAGAAATTATGAATTCATTGGCATTCGTGTTCTTTTGTTTTGTATTCTTTATTCTCGCAGCTCTTCAATTTCAAATAAACACTGTCCCTGCATTATCCCATTTTTGTGCCTCCGACGATAATAATTAAACACGTCAATGCCAATATCGTTACGACATTCACATTACACATACGTTTTGATTAATACATAGTCGTTATCTCTGATTAAAAAAATCATCTACCGAGTATAAGTTTCTTTCGATAGTACGCAAACGACGCCAGTTATAAAAGTTTGCAACACACATTCGCAACTTTCATGTGTATATGTACATTTCCAAATAAAACTTCCCGCCTTCTCTTTCCTCATCCGCTTACGATAAATAATATATTATTATATTAGGACGCTCAACACGTATATATCCATCCTAAATCAATTTGGCATAGGAACCTTGTTAACGCACGCATCGTTGAGCTCCATCTCTAATCAACAATTCTAATACTGTTCGTTCAACCGATACGAATCGCGCGAAATCGATCACTTCACCCCCTCCCCCAATCCCTTTTTCGAGAATAGCCACGAATGATCCATGACGCGAAGCCACGCCTCGTAAAATATTTCTACAAAAATGTATAAAGTACGAATTAATACATAATTACAGATTGTTGTATATACAAACGTACAGTACAGTCTCGTCATGGAATGGTATACGACAATATATTATATTTAGATTAAATAATCTTACGATCGACCCTCTCGCAACTACTTGTACAATATTAAATCTATAGTTAAAAAAAAAGAACAATAATTGTTCGATTTACAGATTTACGATATAAGATCCTTGGATCCTGGTCATTGCACATTTGCGTTCGGCGTTCTTTAGAACTCGAATTTTTTTTTAGTGCGCGCTTTTGTGTGCTTTTCTGAATCACGATGAATTATTGAAGAATGTATTCTTATATATCTGAATTCTCTTATTGTACGAAAATCTTGAAATTTTATAATTATATTTATGATTGAATTTTTACATGTGTAGATATATGCATACTTGATTCCATCTACGATTCTTCTTCCGAAAATCTTCTATGGTCTTCGGATCCATAAATCCAATATTCATAATAAAATTCGGCAGAATATTACTATAGTTAACTATAGTTAATTAATATTTGTTTTATATGCCTGCATTCTATAGAATCAATATTACTGCTGCCAATCAATGTGTGAGATCAATAAAAAGAGAACAGTTTCCTAATAGAAAAGATAAAATTATAAGCGGTATGCAAGATGTTTTGTTTTGATAGTAAAATACGTATTTTGTTAAAATTCACGTTATCCTGAGTTCATCTCGTCCGTTATCTTTATCGTGTTAAAACTGTCCCAAAAAGGGAGGCTGCCCGTTAAATCTACATATACATACTAATTCCACAGGTCCATTATACCCAAATTCCTATTATAGCTATAAATCCGTAGCAGATTTCTCAAACGTCGGTGACTCGAGAAGAGTTTAACGCGAATATTGGTGTCCGGGATGTGGAACTCGAAAGCGGTCGAGATCGAGATTCCACTGTAACGTGGGTTCAGTTCGTCGCGTGACTGTTTCTACGTCTTAAGAACACTCTGCTGTTGACGGGGTAGACTCTGGTCAAGAGTATGAGCGAACTGCCCAGGGCCAATTTCACCGGTGCTTGACGACCGCCGGGCAGCCTGATGAACACCGTCGCCACCGCCGCGACGCCGTCGTCAGTGGGCTCGACAGCCACCGGCCTCACGTCGCTGTGAAAGCTCACGTGCTTGCCCCGCCTGCCCTTACGCTGCGGCGAGCTCGGGCTACACTCGCCGCCGTCCCGATCGTAGAGTATCGTCGCGGAGGCGAACGGTCGCTTCGCCATGTGCAGCATCTCCACGACGTGGCGGCGTCGGGCGCGGCGCAAGTCCGCCGTCTGCTTCGCCTTCCACGCGACCACGCACGCAGCCAAGAACAGGAAGAAGCAGGAGAAGAAGCACGAGAAGAAGACGAACAGGTCGATGTGCAGCTGGTCCTGGCGGAAGAAGATCATCCCGTAGGCGGCGCGGCCATTCAGCTCCGGATTCGCCGGGTCGATCGCTCGTAGCGCGATGTGAAACTTGGTCTGGCCCAGCTCGTGCTTGTCCTGCGGCAACGTCAGCACCAGTCGATTCGTCAGATTACGGATCACCAGGAAGGTATTACGCCTCTCGATCGTCAGAAAGCTGGCCAGATCGTCTTCGAGCCAGCGCTCTATCACGAAATATTGCGGTCCGGTGTTCCACCGGGTCGGCTCAGTACCGTTAAACGCTCCAAACTGAGGATGAAACTCAACGATCCGGAATCTGTTATTAGCTAGCGGCAGTTTGGGCCGCAATCTGAATCTGCTGTCTAGCTCGATCTGCGGATGTAATGAGCATTTCAAACACTTTTTTTGATAGATAAATATAAGCATCGCAAAATTTATAAATGTATAAAAATTAAAAAGAATTGTAAAATCTATTACATATGATGAGAAATAAGTTTGATGTAGTGAACGTGTATTAATTTTGATATTAGCATAATGGCAAAGTGATCTAAATTTATAAATCGTTTAAGAATTCAAAGATTTAAAATATTGACAAGCTTTAGAAAAAAATAGAAAAAAAAGGAAAATAGAATAGGAAAGATTAAATCGTACCTCTTGATATCCAGTCGATGAATTCAAAGTGACGACGAAGGAATCATCCCGAGGACTCAAGAACAAATCCAAGGCACCTTGGGTGACATCCACCATCACTCTGATGTCCACGTTCATGAATCGCGGTTGCACCATGTAGAAGACGGTTTGGCCAGGATTTAGCGGCTTCGGCTTCATCTTGCACTCGTCTGAAATAGAAAAATAGTGTTTCATTTTAGACGTGCAAAAACGGCAGGATATCGTATAGCTTGTATAGTAGAAGAAAGAGAATACGAACCGGACGATACGTAAGGTGCTCCACACAAAATAGAACGTTGCAATTTAAGAAGAATAATTACTTGACCAAAGTGTCGAATGTGTGAGTACAAATATATTGAAATGACATCGAAATTGTGGTATCAGTTATTTTTTATGAAAGCAGTATTGGTTAGTGTTAATATTAATATTATTCATATTGACATCAATGAAAGAAAAACAGCACATAGAAGTGATACGAAAGCAGAAACGTGCCGTTTACAAATTTAAAGTTAGATTTATTAAAAAATTAAAAAAAGATGACAATTTTACACAGCAATTTTAATTGCGCGTTACACGTATTAATTATCGTCATGATGATATAAAAAGATTTAGACTGTCGTTTGCACGATTCGTATGCTCACCTATTAATTTCGAATCAAAGCACATTTTGTTGTCGACCGTGACGGTCTTGTAGCACTGATGGCCATTCGTCGGGATGCCGGCGTAGTTCTCCCTGCATTTGCTGCACTGCACCATCCAGCACGGCGTGCCGATCGTGTTTGTGCCCTTTATGGGACCGCTGACGCAGGACGGATCGCTCTCGGTGTTGTTGCCGCAGTTGCACTTCTCGCCGGTCACGGGGTCGCACGTGAAGCCGTGACCGTGGCACTCGCACGGCCGGCACACGTCCCGAAGGTCCTCCGTTCCTCGGAAGTAGCCGGTCATGCATTCGCCGCACTTGTCGCCCCTCGTGTTGTTCCCACAGTTGATGCACTTCGCCTTCGCCACCGGTCCTTCCCCCAGCTGTCTGCTCAGCTTCTCAATCGACATCTTGTCCACCGAGTTCGGATCGGGCACGGTCATGCTGTCGTTGATGCAGATCCGCGTGTGCCCGTTGCAGTACTCGAGGCACGGCACGCACTGGCCGTTGTCCGCGGGATTGCCGACGTACAGCGGCAGGCACTTCTCGCACTGCTTCCCCATCGTGTTGTTGTGACACTTCGTGCAATTGTCGAGCTTGTCCGGACCGGCGCAATCGCTGTGGCCGTTGCACTGGCACTGGATGGAGCAGTTCGAGCCGACGTAACCGAAGTCGCAACGGCACAGGTCCGGCTTCACGCACGTGCCCCGCACGCAGCCCTGCGTGCACATGGGCACGCAGATCTTCTTGCCGAAGTCGTTCCCGTAGGTGGCCTCGGTCTTATATCCGTCCCCGCATTTGCACTCGAAGCCCTCCTCCAGGTCGAAGCACTTCTCGCTCTTCGGCGAGCACGTGTGGTGTCCGTTCTCGCACTCGTTCTCCGGCGGGCAGCGGACGTAGTGCCACGAGAACTCCGGTTTCGATATCGCGACGAGCAACGACATCGTGACGTTGTCCTGCACTTCTACAGAGTCCACGTGATACGGATGCAACGTCGTGGCGATCGGCGCCTCGATCTCCGGGAAGTGTTGACGATAGAGCATCTCGCAGGTACCGCCCGCTGGATGATCCGCCGGCGCTTCGAGCGATCCTTCCGTGCAGATTCCCTGACCGGTTATGTTGGCAGAATCCAGGGAGCACCAGCCGCAATGCGAGTGCTTCAGGCAGGTGCTGCACTGCTTGAACACCGAGCACGGCTCCGGGCAGTGGTCCATGTCTGCGTTACGCAACACCAAACCGCAGACGCCGCCGGCGCAGTAAAGCGGCTGATACGACGGCGAGATGCACTCGTTCAGTTGCGTAGACCATCTGCACTCGCTCCACCCACCCTCGGCCCCGGTGCCCTTCAGACAACTGCTGCAGTCCTTGTGGTCGGAGCACCTTCTCTCGCACTGCCTGCTGCTCAGCTTGATGCTGGATCGCTCGAAGACGTCGTCCAGCACGCAGTTCCAATCGTAGACGGGCTCGCCCGTTAGCTTCAGTCCCAGTTCGTTGGTCTTCAGCACCTGCCTCGTCCACACGCAGTCGCTCAGATTGTTGCACTTCTCGCAGTCGCTCGCCGGGCACCGCCGTTCCCCGCAGTGATTCACATTAGTCACCGTCAGCCTGCATTTCAGATCAAGCTCGTCGCAGTCGCTGTCCGACGAGATGCATTTGCTGTGAGGGCAGTTGGTGCACCACTTGCACACCGGCTTGTCCTCCTTGTAGTACGGCCACTCCGCCAGACATTCCGTGCAGGTCCTGAAGTTATCGCACTTCCTCTTCGCCATCCAATCCGCGCTGCAGAACACTCCGTTCGATCGTTGCGCTTGAGTCACGTTGATGTCGCACTTGTCGCCCCGGTTGCTCGATACCTCGTTCGAGAAGCAGAGGGAGGTGTTGGTGCCGTTTAGGGTGGTGACAGCGCAGAAGGAGCAGCCCAAGTATTGCCTACACGTGTTCTTATCCTTCCACAGATTGCACAGATCCTCCGGTATGCTGATCCACGTGACGTGACTCTTGATACTACCGTCAAAGCCGCCGACGACGTAAACGGCGTTCGATTCCGGATCGGCATGGGTCATCGCGTGGGCGTACGCCGGCGGTGGCGGACTGCCGATCGTCTCCATGTTTTTCGTTATCAAACGTATCCACAGGTTGCACGAGTATTTGTACGCTATTAGCGAGTCCGAGGTGTTGTGAGGATTTTGCCGACCGCCAAATATCACCATATACTCGTCCGTCGTAACCGCGGAATGAAGGAATCTGGCTTGAGGTAAAGTGCCGTCGGTGAAATCTTCTATGAACGGCGGCAGCACAGACCACGTTCGCGTCTTGTAGTCCAAGGCGTATAATTTGTTCGAAATAAACGTTCTATTTACCGCGTAGGTGTAGCCACCGAAGACGTAGAAGCTGTCGGACTTGCTGTGATACACTGTGGAGTGACCGTAAACACCCAGAGGTCCGTTCCCTACGGTGTCCACCGTGTCCCAGGTCTCAGTCTCCAAATTGAACTCCCAAACCGTGTCTAGATATCCGTACTTAGGACTGAAGCCACCGATCAGAATCAGACTCTCCGACTCCCCGTCCCTGCGCAAGGTCAACGTGTGACCGGCCAGAGATAATGGCTCCTTCCTCGATTCGTCCTGCACGATTTGGCTCCATCGCTGATTCTGCAAACTGAATTTCCAGAAGTCGCTGAGAGTGTTGTTCGACAGTCCCTGCACGTCTTCGTCCTTCATCGACAGGCCGCCGTAGACGTAGATCTGCTGTCTACTGTGTACAATCTCGGCGGCATGAAAATAGCGACCCTGCGGCATGGACGCCTCCGAAGTAGACTCCACTGTCACCGGCATCCACGTATTGTTCTTCGTGTCGAAGAGTCTAATGTCGTTCAGAGGTCCGTGGCTGAGCGAGTAGCCGCCGAACATCCACAGACTGCCGCGTCGATCGGCCACCAGGCTGTGCCCGAAGCGTGGCAGCGTCTTCCTCAAGTGGTCCAGATGATCGGCCAGGTATTCCGAATTGAAAAGCTCCGTGAATATTAGCTGGTTATTATCGAGCTGGATGGAGCAGTCGCGACCGCCGTAGCCCGGCACACAAACGCAACGGCCGTAGCCCTTGTCGCAGGCGCCGCGTTTCTCGGAAGCGGTGCAGTTCTCCGGACAGATCTCCACGTCGCAGTTGATGCCGACGTAACCGGATTTGCAGAGGCAGTTGCCGTTGCGGCACTCGCGGTTCCCCGGGCAGTTGTTGCACGTCATTATCACGTAGCTCGCATTAAAGCCTTCCACTTCGTCCAGTTGCTTGTAGTGCACCGTTAGAAATCCGGATTTTGCTTCCACCGTCACCGGGTAGTCGGTGCTCTCCGTGCAGTACACGCCCAGCAGTTGACTCTGATGGCCACCAGTGGACGAGACGAACTCGGGCAGACCGTCGTACACGTACACGCTGTTCTCCTGGCAGCTCACGTTGATGTCGTCGTGGATGGTAAATTGTATCACGCTCTGAATCGCCGGGTTGGTCGCGTCCAAAGAGAGATCCGTCTCGGGACCGACAATCCAGAGGCACTCTCTCGTCGGCGAGTCGCCCATGTAATTGTCCCAGAGCGAAGACTGCGAGTGCCGACTACCGAGGCCCTGTTTGCCGTTCCCCTCGCCGCCCAGCATACCCCGTGACATGCAGCCGTAGTAGCACATCCCACCGTTACGCGGATCGCCGTAATAGCCCCGTTTACAGCGCTGGCACTTGTCGCCCTCGGTGTTATCGCGGCAGAAACACATGCCGGTCTGCCGATCGCAAACGCCGAGCTCCACGTCACCGTGGCCGTTGCAGTTGCATTCGCGACAGCCCAACGGCGTCGTCGCGTTCCCGTAACTCCCTGCCTTACATTCTTCGCAATAACGCCCGGTCGTCCAGTCTTGACACTCGTCGCAGGTGCCCGGTCCCTGAAGATTGAATAAAACATATTACACATATAAATGATACAAAAATTGATAGCAATATTACAAATAGAGACAAATGTGCGAATCAAACATATGCATGGTCGAATCGAATCGAATCGAATTTTTTGTAACATATTCGAAATCGAATCTGAAATTTTTACTTCGAATCAAATCGAATCTGAATCCAATTTCCCCAGATTTACATGTTAATTTAAACGAAATAAATATAAAAATTTATGATTAACATTATTTTACGCAACGATTTAAACAAACTGAAGATCTGTTTTTGATTTACATCTCATTACAAAGGAGCGTGATCTTGTGTGACATTTTAAACTAGAAAATATGTAATTAATATGTATATACACAAATAATTAGAATTTCAAACATTTTATTAATCTGCATATATGAATGCATTACATGCATAAAAAATACTTAAATTATTCTGCTCTAATAAATAAGTATTTTTTATGTATGTAATGCATCGATATTGAACCATTGTTGATTCGAAATTTTCAAACTATTCGATTTCGAATCTTACAGATTCGATTCGAATTATTCGCACACCTCTAATTACCAATTTAAAAAATCGATGATTTGCGAGTAGAGAATCAAGGAAAAAATTTTTCTATTTTCTGTATGCAATCCTTGTTTACCTGCAGGCACGTGGAATGGTTGTAGCAGCCGCAGTTGGTTCGACAATCCGGTCCGGTCCAGCCCAGATTGCACTCACACTTGTAATCCGGCGCCTCGCTGCAATATCCGTTGACGCATCTCTCGTAACAAGTCTTGGTACAATTCTCTTTGCCGTCGCCGTTGAAACCGCGCTTGCACTGACAGCTGAAGCTACCGTGGGTATTGGTGCAAAGCGCATCGGGATGGCAGTCGTGCAAGCCGAGATCGCACTCATCCACATCGGGGCACTGCGCGTACGCCCAGCCGGACTCGTCGGCCCTCAGAGTGCTGTTTCGGTACTCGTTGATGACCGCGCTGCAGTTCACGTGGGCCTGATTGAAATCGCCCTGCACGCACACGCCGGTGATGGGATTCTCCAGGCTGTAGCACCAGCCGCAGCTGAGCGAGTGCAAGCAGCTGGAGCAGTTGGAGTGCCGGCTGCAGCTCTTGCACTGATCGTTACCGGTGAGCGACGAGCCGCTGCGCGACGTGACGCCCATCAGGCCCGCCTGGTCCATCCATTCCCGGCACAGCCCGAACTGGTACTCCGACGTGTACACCGAGAACGAGAAGCACTCCCGCGTGGCCTCGCACCACACGCATCTGCCGCGCTCGTCCAGACACTGCGTGCAGTTGGGGCGCTGCCGGCACGGGATCGGGCACTGGTCCAGGCTCACCACGGCGTTGGGTAGCCGACCGATTCGTGCGCACCTCGCCTCCTCCGTCCACCACTCGCACAGATTGGTACCCACGCACGACTCGCAGGAGATGTAGTTGGAACAGTTGGCGCACGCCGACGGCATAATCGTCAGGTAATGCCACTCGCGTATCACCTCGCCGTGCTCGTCCCACTCCACGTTTGTCGCGCAGCTCTCCGTCTCGTTGGCGGAGCGCGGTAGACACTGATTAGTAATGTCGCACCAGCCGCACGAGGAGTCGGTCAGGCAGTGCAGGCAATTGCCGTACTGATGGCAAGAGCCGTTCTGATATGGCTCCAAGTACTCGAACGTGAACACCTTCGGATTCTCCATCTTCTTGTTATGCGTGATTTCCATTTTACTCGCGTAAGCGTAGCTCGCGGTCACCATTCTTTTCGACTCGAAGTCCAACAGATAACGATGATCCGGCTTCAAATCCATCGGATATCCGTCTGGCCATTTCGTCGGTATGCACTGTGACGTCTCCGCGGTTAGATTGGCGACTAATTCCTGAGTAGAAATTAAAAATTATCAACAGTTAAATTACAGCAGAACTTAAAAATATTGAAGTCGTTCGACAAGTTTATGCGACAAGAATACTTCACAAACACAACACATACACACACAATTCTTAAATTCGTAAATTTCTTTCAATAAATAAAAATAAAATTATTTCTCCCATTGAACAGTCTTTTAATACTTTTAATATATTTTTTTATTATTCAGTACAGTTAAAGACTATGGACTAATTGCTAAACAATAAGGATAACTCACCAGCTTGTCAGAATCATTGTTTCGCGACACGTGAAGCGTCGCGCTGTTATAACTGACGCAGATCTTCAGATGCTCCGCCGCGCTGTCCCAGGCGTCCTTTGAAGGCGGTCTAAGAAAGCCGGTCAACCTGGCGATCATTTCGCCGCCTAGCGCCGATTCGGTCTTCGCACCTTGCATGGATGGTACATTAAAGTCGACCGTGGTCGCGTTCACTATTGCCACCGAGTCGGGTTGGCTGAAGTTCACCGGTGGCTTGTACTTGAGGAAAGTCAAACCCGGTCTCTTGTCCATCTCCCGGCACTCTTCGACCTTGGTAATCTCCGTGCCTTTCTGTCCCCACCAGCCCGGTATGTGCGAGAGCGTGTCGTCCCGCACCCCGCATACCCCGTAATTGTCGTCCTTGTGATGACAGCGAGCGTTTTGAACGCACCACGTGCACGTGCCCAGATTTAATTTATTCGAGACGGACTTTCTGCCGCGGAAATTCGTGCCCCAACCACCACCAGGCTGACCGTGTATCAGGCAAGAGTGGCAATCGCCCAGAGCAGGACAGACTCCCGGACAACGCGTCGTCTGTAGATTCGTCGTGCAGTTGCTGCCAATCGTCCGACCGTAGCATATCTGCAATGTGTCAGGAAATTTACATTAGACGTAATACATTAGAGTGTAAAAGTGAAAGTTGTCTCACATATATATACATAAAGCATGAGATTAATAAATAAAATACCTCATCGGCGGAGCACCAGCCACATTCGGGATTTGCCGCGCATTCCGTTAGGCTCTTGTGCCTCGAGCAGATTTGCTCTGGCTCGATGTAATCCTCGTCTCCCGGCGCTAACATAGGCGGCAAAGTGTATGCGAGAAGGTCCGCGTTTACGTTGCCATGATATCCACCAACGAGCAGCAAGGTATTTCCGTTGCGCACATCTGCCGCATGAGCGAATACACCTTGCTGCTTGGGATAACGAGAATCTGGAAATGAAAAAATAAATTTTCAGTACATTTAAATCGATACAAAGTAAATTTTATGTAAGATAAAGTAAGTTTGCTTTACCTTTATCGTTTAAGCCCAACACTTCGTGGCTCACCCAAGCGTGACAACCGAGATGATAAAGATACATCTGATTATCATAACAGATTTCTTCCTTGTTGTGTCTGTGAGAATATCCGCCAAACACTACCAGATAATTTCCTGTCGTAAAAATAAATACAGGTTTATATGTGTGCATTTTAAAATGTATTAAATACTACAAATCTATCATTGAATCTAAATATTTAAAAAAATATTAAAAAACAATTCGTGATTTTAGCATTATTTGTATGTCTTTTTACAATAAAACAAGCTTTATAATTCAAAGGAAAAAAACATTTCGTATATCTATATTTCTTATATTTTTCATATATTTTCTCTAAAAGTTACTTTACTTAATAATAACAAATAATTACCTATGATACTACATGTGTGGAATGCGCGTTCTCTCGGCACGTATGTGTCTGGCAAGTTCGCCCTCGGATAATGGATCTCCGACCAGACCTTTCTGTCCAGTTGAAAGACGAACATTCGGTCCGACAGTTTACTGAAACGGGCGACGCTGGCGACCACGCCGCCGTACACCAGGAGGGAATTGGTAGCGCGATGATACACAGTTGAATGCGCTACCACGCGTACGTCAAGTTCCTTACCGCCTCGAGGTCGCACTTCTATCCACCTCTCGTTAATCGCCGTAGGATCCGCTATAATTTTATACGTTACGCTAATATTTTTCAAACACTAACTACAAGTTTCATATGTATACAAACTGTAAACATATATTTTTTGGATTTTCTTTTTTCGCTTTTAATAAATTGTGAAAATAAGTAAATTTAAATTTACCTAAACGCAACTTAATTTTGTAGAGGCTGGACGAAAACTCTCCGTCAACGGTGCTACCTCCGAACAGATAGATATAATCGTCTGCCAAAGTTAGAGTGTGCCTTGTGAGCCTGGGTGGATAAAAGGGGGAGTTTTTTGCGCGTAAAGTCCACATGCGTTCCTTCACATTGTAATGCCACAGTTCGTTCGATAGAGAACCGTCTTGCACCTTTCCTCCATAGACTACAAAGCCATCTGAAAATACAAAGATTTGCCTATAATATTTATATACTTTAATTTATATAATTTAAAGTTTATGATTATAAATCATATAATATATTTTTTAAATAATGCTATAATAGTAAATTTTTTATATTTTGTATTTTTTCCTAGAAATATTTGATAAAGATATAATAAATGCAATTAAAAGATTTCTCTTTCTTTCGTTAAAAATATTTTTCGGGAAACATTTCCACTTCTAGATTCATTTTATGCCAATTCAATTTCGTTACTAGTTCCGGCAAAAGTAAAATAAAAATATTGCTTCCTGAAGCAAGGTCATGTAATATTCATTTTTTTTTGCATTAATTAGCGCTACAAAATATACATTTAAATGTGTTAATGCGTGTAAAATTCCTTCATCTCTGCAATGTGAAACTTTTTGCCGTGTTTTTATTGGTATGGATTAGTAAGCGCTGATTAGTATGTCGACAGACCTTGGTATTTACACGCAGCGTGACCATATCGGGGACTCGGTTTGGGTAATTCGTCAACAGTTGCCTCCGTAACGTCCTCCTTCAGCGAATCACTCGTGGTTAATTTCGGATCCGTGAACTCTGAAATGAAGGCATTATCCTCCGCGGATTCCGCCACGATTTGATCTTCCCATTTCACGTCATCGTCCGTTGCATCGTGTTCTCTATTCAAGTTTCTGCGATATCTTTAATAAACAAATATTTTATAAAATATTAATTTAAATCTAACTGTACAAATAGGGAGTATTAAATATTTTCGTGAAGAAATCGCGGACATATAAAGCTTTAAACGAATCGCATGGACTTTAACTAGATTCGACGAATCTTTATTTATGATAAAATTGCCAATTGAAAGAATATAATAAACTTTTCTGGTATACAAATAGAGCTTATAAATTTTTATATCTTCACACGAGCAAAATACAACAGTGTATTGTTTCGCGTTTCCAAGATTGTTTTCGAGATATTAAATTAATGAGTGAGTCACTTACTACCTTGTTGACATTTGACGATTTGAATATCGTGGCCTTATATTTCGCGAATGCTTTCTCCTGGGATCGTCGTTCCTATCAATCCTAATGGTGCTTCTGCTCCTCTCGTTTTCCTTAGGCATATTCCTGAACTCTCGCGAGCTATGTTGACCGCCGTCAGCAGTCCGATCGAGCAGGCCGAACGTATTATTATCTTTAATGCTATAAAGCACCTTCCAGAATAGAGACGACGTTGGTATGCCGTACGTCTCTTTGGCACCAGGATGGCGTTGTAATTCGGTAGCGATCAATGTAGGATCCAGATATTCGGCTGATGCGGCGCCTTCTGCGAATGCAAAACAATGTTGAGAAGTTATTTCCTTTTTCTAATATTACAACATTCACAATTGAAAGAAGAATTTTATCATATTCTTCGTTGTGATAAATTATTGTATATATATTAGAAACGATGACAAAAATGTAATCAAAATATATATATTACAAAGAAGAAAAATTATAAGACTAAAAATTCTAAAATTATAATTATAAAGAATTAATTGTTTAAGAGATTGTATTTGCATTAATTTACCTAATACATTTCCGTATTCGTCTTCCCATTGACTTGTGTTAAACTTGTATACTTCTAAGTCACTGAGTATATAATTGAGATCGTAGCCGCCAAAAACATAAAGCGAGTCTGTTTCTTGAACATAGATCGCTGTATGAGCTGCGCGTGCTCTTAGTCCACCTTCCGAATGCGAGAGCCAATGCCATCTAAGTAAATAATTAAATTATTACAATGATTTTTTTATTTGTACGCGTCCCATCGATTTATATTATTTATTAATATTAATATATAAAAAATTTAATATCAAATATTTAAAAAAATTATTTTATTATGTGGTAACGTTAAGTATAAAGCGCGAAAATGTAATTTAACAGGCTAACGTACCGATTTCCTTCTGGACGCGTTTTATGCAACGAACAAGATTGTCCGGAGTATCCATCGTTGCATTTGCATCTTTTCACCCCGCACACACCCCCGGCGTGACTGCAATTGTTCGGACAGAGGGCTCGGGCACAATCCTTACCTCCCCAATCGTTTTCGCAGAAGCACGTATTGTTAATGCACTTTCCATGATGAGTACAATTGTTTGGGCAATCCGTGACCGAAAATTCTGCATGGAAACCGTCTAGGACGTAGTTTGTGTCGCTATATAATAATATCAACATCTGTAAAAAAAAAAGTAACGTTATAGTATCGTTTACAATAATATTCCATATCATGTTTATTTTTGTTCATTATTGTTATGTAGTTTCAGTCCTTACAGAAATTCAATTTAACACTGGAAATTATTTATTTTGAGTATTAAAAGCACTGTTGTTCACTGAATACTCAAAATAAATAATTCATTACTACCTTCCAGTATTAAATTTCTTAAGGGAGTAAAATCTATATTAAATTTCAATTATATCGTACTTTTATTATATTTAAGAATAATCTTTTTACATTTTAATATCTATCTATTCTGTATCTATTTTAATGTATCTATTTCTGTATCTAATTAGTTTACACAATTTTTCCTTATTAATCATTTTTCATATTTAATTCATGCCATACAACATTGATCATTAATGCAGATTAATGCGTTGCTGAGAAATCTCAAAGCTGCAATGTATTATTTCTGTGTTATTACTGGGGTATATACACTTACATAACCAGATGATGATGTCACTTGCTGCGGCTCCGTTTTGCCACTGAAGCTACCCAGCAGCGGTGAACGAAAGGAATCTCCATCGTAAACGAACACATAGTCGTAGCTGCACTCCGTGCCCATCGTTCGAAAACTTAATGTAATAAATTGGCGGCTGTGGTTAGCTGCAAAACGAGAACAGAGATTATGAACTGTGTATTAGTTATACCTCACTGTTTAAAGTCAAGCGAACACTTCCACATCGGTACCTTTAATGAGCCATTCACAGTGGGAATCTTGAGTATAATTCGAGCCCATGGGCCCGTCGCTGATGACACCCCATGAGTCCGTGAAGACCTTCCTCGTCTTATCGCATGGCACTTGCTTCGGAGATGCCTGCGGAGCTAAGTAGAAGCCCGGCAGCAGGCAGCTCCATATGACAACCCATGCTGCGGTGGAGATCGTCCACCCCATCACAGCTCAATGTCGTTCAACAGCACACAGGTGGTCATCATTCGTGGATATCAGGTGATTTCTTGAGCAATTACGCGGCGTGGTATATACAGAGAGAGTCATATCTGAAAGAGGGGTACGTTACGGCTTATTAATTTATCCGACGTGTGTGTCACTGAGATTTTCTCAGACAAAAGATAAGCAACATCTTCATTCGCCCAAAGAGTTCAATTTGCACAGCTGCGCGTTATTATACCACTATAGAGATTAAAACACAATGCAGTTTATACAATGTACGTGACACAATTGGGACTTTGAATGCTCCTTTACGACTGTTTTACAGATAACTGTCTTTCGATGTCCTCAATCGTCGGATATATATCACGAGCCTTGAGATAAAGCGTACACCGCGGTAACAATATATCAGACATACGGTCGAAGAAAGAAAGAGCGTGCAAGCTCCACATGCTAGAAACGCAATCAAAGTATCATTCTCGAAGAGTCTTGCGTGCAATGCCGATCGGTACAGCGACAATTTACTCCAGAATTTGTGAGCCAAAAAAAAAAATACTCCGCGACCGTTCGAACTTTTACGTATGTCTAACAACGAGGCAACGCCAAATCTCAGGTGCAGCGACACATTGTGCAAAAATGCAATGCATATGCGACCGAAGCTGAAGCTCTCTCAACAGAGATCGTACCGTCTCGCGATTTCTAAATCTGCATGCCTCGAGGAAACTTGTCGCGCGCGCGGGGGGCTAAAGAGGGGGAGGGGGGGAGAGGGGCAAGAAATTGGTCGCCCGGATTGTTGACCGACCGAATAAGGAGCGTACCCGACGATCGACAATTTTGTTAAAAACAAAACGCCCGGAGCGAGCGAGCGAGCGAGCGAGCGTGCGACGAACGTTCGCGGCGCGACACATACCACTCGCACTCGTGCAACGTGTTGAAGGACAGTCTCCCCCCGTAAGCGCGAGCCAGCATCGCCAGCGTGCGTGAACGCAAGGCTCTCTCCGGCTCCTGATCAATTTGCAAATAAGCACAAATAAGCAAATGACATACGCGCGCGCACACACACACACACACATCCGCGCACGCACGCACGCACGCACGTTCGCGCGTGTGCGTGCGAATATACACACGCACGTGCCCGTGAACTTTCCGCACCTATCACGAGACGACGACGACGACGATGACGGTGACGAGTAGCAGCATAATAAGCTCCGGAGGAAGCTCTCGGCCTCGCGCTTGTCCTCCCGGGGAAAAAGACGCGCAGGACTCGAGAGAGAGAGAGAGAGAGAGAGAGAGAGAGAGAGAGAGAGAGATCCCGAGAACGGTCACACCTTCGTCGACGGGACGGAGTCGCGGGGCATCCTCCGGCAGAAGAGACGGACAAGGATAGACAGAGGCAGGGGAAACGAGGGACGGAGATGAGAGCGTATCAAAACATCGCTGGAGGAAGGGGGAGAGGAGGGGCGGGGAGGGGGAGGAGGGACGAGCCGCGAGCTGCCCGGATTTTTGCGGTGTCGCGCGAAAGCACCGGAGCTCGCCGGCGACGGACGTTGAGTCGCGGACGGGGGAACGTGGTGACGAGGATGCCACGGGCGGCGAGTGGACGACGTGCCAGACCTGATGCGGCGGAGCAGACCGTGACATAAACGTCGTGAAAACGCCAGTGTCGGCACGATCTTCGATCGGCGATCAACGGTCCTCGTCTCACTGACGCTGCTGGCTGACGGCGCCGCGCTGACGCTTCGAGTTCGACTGCCCTCCTATGTGCATTGCTTTTTATGGTCGCACCCGGGGTGGGGGAACAATCCGCGGCGTCCATCATGGACGCTATTTTAAATAACGATATAGCTCGATACTTATATATCGTCTATCGATACTATCGCCGACGTCGGCGCGTTGATTTAATTATATATGTGGCAGTTTTTCCTCCGCGCCTACGATTTCTCTTATGTCGTGTGATTCATAATTATTTTATTTATTTATTTTATTTATTCTGTTTATATAATATATAATATAATATAATATAATATCGTAAAATAATATGTAATATAAATAAATTAATATTTATAAAAGCTTATTCTATGGCTCGCCAATAAATGGCAATAATTTAATTAGCTTTATATCCATTCATAGTCTTGATGCTTTTCAATTCTGGATATCAAAAATACCGGATGATTCTGTATATACGGAATTAATACATAGATAAAAATTGTTCGAAAAATATTTGCGCACACGAGATTATCGATAATAAAAGATTATACGCTTAACACAGAGGCAATGTCACCGCGATTGTTTCAGATAACAAAGGTATACGTGATATTCTTTACGATTTTTTTTTTATTCCTTAACAGTTCACCTTCAACGGTATAATGATTCATGAAAAATTTAAGCGAGGCGCGAGAGCGATCGATTATTACGCGAGTTAGCTGAATTGGATTCTCAATTTATGTACTTTGATTTTGTGAGAGGTCGATTGGAGAGTTGAAGGATTGGAGAATTGTGAATGAAATGTATATAAGGGGTTGAATAATAAACCCGTTATCGCCACAAGGCTCTTAATACATTTACGCGCAAGCAGGGAGTTGGGATCAGTATTATTCACATAATTATCGACAGAAGACAGGAGTATTCTGACAATACAAATGTTTTATTATCTCGGCAAGAATAAATTACTTCAACTCTTCTCGATCGTTGTGTCGTGTAACATAAACGAGGAAAGAAGTGGGGATAGACAATCGTTAGAAATCTTAACTATATGCTCGAGAGTTTATCGATTAAAACGGCTCGAAGACCGAAACAACATTAAGTTCGCAAAACTTCTCTAAAGTTCGCTTACTGACGCACGGAGTTACTCAGAACTTAAACAGACGGAGAAACGAATCGTTCACTTCTAATATACACGCATGTATACTGATATGTTAATATACAATAGATAGGAAAATGAGAAAAGGTTGCTTTTGAGTATTTCAATTTCAACTCGGGGCGTCGGCTTTAGATTCTTCTCTCATTCGGGATGAAATCTATATACACTTATCACAAGAAGTACAATAAGTCATTAAAAATAAAAAAAATCAAACTGGAACGGCAAGTTCCTACATAATATATAACAAATTTTTACACTTAGCTCTTGTAAAACGCGCGCATATAAATTTTCTCTAAACTCGATCCTGTATTAATTACAAATTCCCGACGCACGTAAAATCGCGATTTTTATGCCGTTATCTCGGAATACACGCTGCACTCGAATCTCGATGACATTTAAGCTCCGAGTCCCTCCTCAAGCCGCCCATCGTCCCACTTACACGCTTATTAATGCTAATTATTAATACAGTACTCGCCGTTTCTATAAAAAAATAATTATCGTCGATAAGAAAGCCTGCGGTGATTTCCCCGATTTGATCAGCGTTCCGCATTGTCAGCCGTTCGATTTGTCGGAGTCTTTAAATCGCGTCATTTTGGAGCTTGCTCGGCAAGGGGGAATGCGCATCCGCGCATCTATAGTCGCCAGTTGCGTTGGACGCAAAGGGTTTAAAAACCTAAAGGGTAACGCTCGGCCTCGGTGGCAGGGCGACTGGAGAAAAAAAAGAAAAGATATAAAGAGAACAGATATGTATCCACTCCTTCGCATTGCGCAGCGGCGTGGATCTCGAAGTAACGTATCGCGTATTTTCCTCGGAATCGCCTTTAACAAATGTACTGCATAGAGTCTCGACGATTGATACAATCGCTCTGTCAGCCTGTCACAGCTTCTTTGTTTTTTGTTTGCTACCACAATGCGGTACGCAGCACGTTACCCTCCCCGTGAAAAAATTTTACAAAGACGCTCAACGGCGTGCCGCGCTGCACGTCCGTTTTTTCCTTCAACCCTTCAGCCGGTAGATCAACCCTTTGCGCTGCGAAGCGTCAACCCGGTTTCTATCATCCCGTGTCTCTCGTCTACATTAATAATGATATAACAGCATTACGTTATCGTGTAGTGTATAATCTTTAACAATAGGTGTTATTATTAAATTATTATAACAGTAATCGACGCACTATGAGAGACAATGCTAATACGGTGTTATTATACTTATAATAATAATAGCAATAATTAGTATTTCTAATATATAATGTATCCCCAGGAAAACCCGCACCCCATCATTCACGCGAGATCAGTGGCGCAAAGCTGCTGCTTATATTTGTCTTATCTAGGTCCCTCGGTTAATTTATTTCCTTTAATCGCACCGTGCAAGCGTGATAATATAATTCTCAATTTCGCTGTCCAATAATTTGTTGGATAATCTTGCGATTTTATTTCTATTTTCTCATCAATAAATCAATCTGGAAGTGTCGAGATGGCAAATCTTTCAGTCGGCGTCGACGGACAAATGTTTTTCTCAAATTAAGGTCTGACCGATCGTGCCGTTGTTGACAAGAGCATCGCGCGTTTTCGAGCGCAAAGTGTTGGCTCCCCATTTATCCGCGGCGAAGGTGTGTCTTCAATGAAAAGAAACGCGAGTTAATCGTGATATCAAAAAGTCGAAGCGGACGGTGCGACGAGCTCGGCTCGTTCATGCCACTAATAAGCTATGGATGGACAAAGCTATCGGTTGAAGGGTCAACTTTCCTCTCGAAGGAACACATGGCGTTCGGGAGAAAATGTTTTTTTGCTATAATAGAAAGCGAATGATGCTTCTCGTGTTCGACGCCCTCCGATCGCACTTGGTACGCTCGAAACGGCGAGAGACCGACCGCGCGTTGCTCCACAGAGCTTTCCACATTCGAAAAAAGGTATTTGGAGTATTTCCGAAGTATGGCAAGTTCCTCGGGCGAATCTCGGTCGATCTCTGAACACACCAGGCTTCCCGTCTCGTCTCGAGCGTACACCACGAAGAGACTGCAAATTAATCGCAGCGTTATCATTAAGATACTACTCAGAATGAGCAAAACTACGCACTGACTCCGTTAGTGTCTGAAATTGTGACGAAACAAAAAAAAAATGGAAAAAAAAGAACGAGATGTGTGTGCGTACTCCTTTCGTAATTCATCTTTATTTTCCTCGATTATACGTTCGCGCCAGTCGAATAGTCACGAGAATTCTTACGCGTTGAATGTGATGACGTTAAATAAATGAACATGAAGTACCTTCCTATGATGACTACGAAAAACTAGTTTGCCTTACGGGTCTTATTAAAACTCGAGTTACAGCTGTCGAAAAAGGCAATTCGAGGTGCGACGCGATCATTCGCTCTCTCGAGCATTCGGCGCGATTTTTTTTCTTTCGACAGCACGTAAAAAATCGTATCAACTAATGGCATTAGTTTACTAGCAATCCGAGTAACGAGCAAACGTTACTCACTCTTCCTCTTTCATCTTTTTTCTGTACTTTTTTTTCCCCTCGTATTCGCGTATTATAATCATCCGAATCGATAGCGGAAGAGATACGAAAGCAGAGAGAGAGAATTGTTTTCTTCCTGATTATAAATAAAGACATATATACCTGAAGATATTTGTACTAAAAACATAACTCCCGCGCCGACTCGCGGGAGTTAGAATCGTTTTCTACATTCTGCGCAGGATTCACTAGCACACCGAGAAGGTCCTCGTTAAAAATTGCTAAGGTGCACGTATGGAGTGCGTGGAAACAGTTGTATGCCGGTAGCTAATGGATTGAACAACCCGTTTTTAATTTTTTTTCACGAGGAATAAATAATCTAGCAACAGCAAATAATCTAATTCTGCGTACAGTTTGAAGCTCATAGCGCTCGTAAAAGCATTATTCGTCCTTGTTGAAAAATTGATGTGATAAACAAGGATGAAATGATTTCAAGAGCGCTGCAAACGTCAAAGCGAACGCAGGGTAAGTGAGAAACTATATTCTTAAAATTCCATTTTTTTTTTTAGGTATTCAGATTGTTGAAAATCGTTAGATCAACGAATGAATTAGATCTATGGATTCCTAGATCTTTACATACCTACATTCTTAAATACTTAGACTTTAATGCTTGGACGTATAGAAACTAGAACATTTAAATCTTTGCGTGTCTAGCTTCTTTAAAGCTTGGACTTTTCGAATTTTTAGATCCTTAACATTTAGATTAAAAATTACTGATATCGAATAAAGTTTGGAAAAGAGCTCAAATATATCAGATTACAGATTAATCTACTTAATTGAATAATGTATTCGGAATCTCCAAATAATTTTTTCATTGAAGAAGAATCGATTTCAACAATCAAAACATCCCAATTTCTTTAACAGTATCCGGCTACACTTTTTCCGACACACTTTTTGTATAACGCCCGAAAAAATATACCGATTGGAAAAATATGAAGAGTAAATCGGATAATCTTTCTTCGCACATCACATGTTATATCGATAATTTAAAATTTAATAATCAATGTTATCCTGTGATTTGCAAGTAGAACTTATCGAAATCTCTGCAAGTTTTATTGTTATTATTAGACATGGCTAGTCTGAGTGTTTTTTTTTTAAGTGCAGAACACAGTCACACAATAGGCTATATCGTATAGTTATATCTAAAGCTAAATATTGAATGCAGATAATGAGTCCTTTGGCAAATCTCAGAATAACATTGATCGTTTTGATTCCGGGTTATTTTTTATACCGTAATCTGCATAACGATCCGTATAAGAGCGTTACAAAGTACAGAACGAATCATCGGTAATATTTCGGCCTATCAACTACAGCGTTATTATAAATTACAAAAAAGTTATCTCCCTGTCGTCGCATGGCGTAGAATTCTTCTTCTTGGTGATCCTCTTAGTTCGCCATCAAAACCACGAGAAGAATGGCTTTTTAAATGAAAAGCATCAAAGGCAATCCTTTGCCGCCTCGTCTTCCCCATAAAACTCAGATAGAGGAGCCGGTTGTCCACACATCACGCCCGAGACGCCGTTTGGTTTTACCGAATGACCGAAACTGTTCGCGCAGGCACTGAAATCCTTAGTTATCTCATTAATCTCTATGCTCTCCTCGCAGTTGGTCGGCAACTTCATGTTTGGTACGGAATACATGTCGCCGGCAATATTGTTCTTCAAGAACGATGTGGTCGTTGATGGTCGGTTCGAGTAATAATCCTAAATCAACGATATTCGAATTTATACTTCATATTTTCGGAGTGAAAATTTCATTATACATTCAGATTCAATCATATACTAGTTCAACCATAAAAAATTAATGTATATTTCGAAGAAAATATGTCTTTTCAAAGATACTAATTTTAGATTTAATAATAAATTTTAAAATAAAATAAAATTATATATAAAAAGATACATATAAAAAATATGTAATACTTGCAGATTGTTTAAATTATTTTTAAAGTTACTGAGGACTTGCATATACTTTAGATATTTTTATGTATGTTACGTATTAATCTAAAGAGAATTACCTTATCTGTATTGAGGGGAGTGGAGATTTGTGTTTGTGGTGTTTGACTGCAGTGTGCCAAGGCTATCAGCTCTTTCTGACTTTCTCTAGCGTCCACTAAGAATATACTCTCCTTCACTTCTTTCGCATTATATTCATCGATTCTGAAAAGCAACATTCAAAACGTAAAATATATGCGCACGAGGATTTCTCAAGTGAGACAATTATTATCTCAATATCTGCAAGCTTAATTATTGACGTTTAAATTGCATCTTTATTTACGTCGCATTACTTACTTATCGTATATAACCGCATGCAAGCCGAGTTTCTTCAGATATTTGATGGTATCCTTATCATTGTTATCGTCGCCCCAGCAGAAGATAATTAATCCCGCGTCCTTGACTAACTTGACTTGAGACGGATCCCGAAGTATGTCTTCGGTATGGACGTTAATTCCTAGGATATCCGCGGCTAATGCGTGTCTCATGGCCATCGGTACCGTTTGGCATCTCGGGTCGTGATAAGTCGGATACTTCGACGTAATGCCTTGCGTTAGAAATACCACTGGATACTTGTTCTGTTTGAGACGGATCATTGCGCAGATATCCGGGTTGAACGAAGAAAACACGATTTTCCGGTCACCTCCGTATTCTAATACCACCTTCAGAATAATATCTAGATACATGTTGAGATCGAAGGGATGATTGAGTTCGAACGTGCCGTCCTGGTGACAAGAACGAAAAAATAAACTCAATTATATTAATTGTTATTAGAAAGGCTAATAAAAAAATATTATTAAAAACACCTCTCACCTTCAATTGCATGGTCCATTTAATTTCGATATTGCAACCAACATGTTGCTCCAGCTCTTGCAGCACCGTTTGCAGCGTAGGAAAGGGTTGATGATCTTCCAAATCCTCGTCGAAGAATCTCGGATTCTTCTCGCGGCCTTCGGCCACGTGATAGACCTGAAAGAAAAAGCTCGCTAATAAAATACACGTATCACGCATGGCATTCATTTAATTGACAAGAGTCGACAAAGTGTAGCTCATATTGTCGTTGACATAATGAATGTTGAAAGCAAGACAAAACAACCGTACTGGCTTTATGCAAATACATCTTGTAATTTCGTGCCGTTCGTGACATACATCAAATATTATTATCGCATGCTATTATCGACGAAATTGTACAAGATGTGCATTTCGGAAACATTTTTGGAAAACTGAGCTGCCGGAGGACAAGTATAAGAAAAAAATATATTATTACATCTTTTTGCTTTTTTTTATAACGTTTGAAAATATATTTTTAATTTGCTTATTAATTTTTTTTCTCGTATCAACTCAGTCTTGAAATCCCTCGCACTCTGAATGAGGGATTTAATTTAAAGTGTGAGCATTTGTATGTAGTCATAGGGGGTGAAACTGGTGATTGACAATTTTATTACGAATACAGAATATCTAGAAATATTAGAAGCCACTTCATGAATGTTACTTTAGCCGTATTTTGCGTTTGCGTAATGATTTTACATTAAATACTCTTATCACTTGCTATAAGCTATCAGACTGAATGTTCATCAAATAATTTTGTTTTCAGAAGTAATTTGCGACTCTGAATAAAACTCTGAAAATGTCAAACTAATCGCGGCACTCAGTTATAATCTGTTTATCAGGAAGTTCTGCTATCAAGAGTCACGTAATTCTCGCAAGTATAAGTTATATTAATTTAAAGCCGTTTTTTAGTTGTAAATCTGCTAGCAAATTTTATTATCAAAATTCATGTTTGGAGAAAAAGAGAAAGCGCGAGAGATAAATTTATAGATAAACATTCAATTTTTATAGCTTCTAAGAAAAGCACAACCTGGCATATTGAGAAAGACTATTATTCTTCATAATAGCAATAGTTGTGCACTTGAGATATTGATGAATTTGATTGCTTGAATAGCTTTTGGAAAAAGCATGCAAGTCGAATGAATACATTTTGGTTATACATTTTGAGTGACGAATTAGGCCGGCGCAAGCGATATAAAAGCTCACCAGTCTGTTAACCCCCTGCTCAGCTTTATCAACGAAATAGAGCACCTTACCCAACGAGTCCCTCGGGTAACAATAATCCTGTTGAATATTAAAAAATAGACAAATACGAAAGAGCATGTCATTTCTTGAATGTGGTGTGTGAACTGATGAACGTTTACGTACGACATACTCCTGCGTAGTAATCTACTTTTCTTTTATTAAGACGAAGTAGTAATTTACTTTTCCTCTATTAATTAACATATAAAAAGCAAACATTGAAACACAAAGCATTCCCGTAGAGATGTTTCCCATCGTCATTCAACTAGTGTTACATGACCAACTAATGGATGCATTTGTTAATTAAGCCAGCGGAAAATCGTGATTAATGAAAAATATAATCTTTTTTAAGAATTCAAAGATTCAATAATTGCATAAGTATAATGTTAAATATATATGTAATCTAAAATACAATAAATATAATCTTCAACATACATTCAACATTTTTTTGTTTTGTACCGGTTTTTTTTAAATAAGATAGATAAATACATGTTTTCAATACGTTCTTCCATCGGCTTAAATAATCGTATATCCCAAGAGTACAATATTAATCTCTAAACATAATTTAACATACAGTCATCATTTTCAATAAATATTAGTTCGTATTATAAAAGTGTAATAAAACAGAATAAAACATACATATGTACATTCAAGACTGTGTGAATTGTTAGACATGAATTGTAATCATATACTAATTATCAACAAAGTTAATATATGTTGTTAAAATATAATCATAATATAATATAAATGTAAAAAAACAAGTGTATATAAAAATACGTTTAAAAATGCAAGAAATGAAAATGTATGCACAAGAGATATCAAAAGTCATAACTAATTAATACCTTGAGTAAATGAAGTTGTTCTAATGTAAGATCCTTCACGGGTATCTCCAGCATGTCCATAGCTTCAATCTGCTTCTTACGCTTCATCGAGATGGATACGTAAAAGTCGTGATAGATCACAGGTATAAGATCCTTCGACAGTTGGACATCGAACTCGACCATGTCCGCACCGTGATGCGACGCGGTCTTCAACGATGCGACTGTGTTCTCGCGCACGTTAGCACAGCTATAAGAATTTTAATCCCAAATTGGGAATATATAGCACATCTTAAAAAAAAATTGTCAAGATTATAAGAAAAAATTATAAAAAATTATTAAAAGATTAAAGAAATTATTAAAATTTAAAAAATTATTAAAAGATTATTATAAAGATTATTAAAAATTTAGATACAAATCAACTCACTTCTTCGTTTCGAATTTGAAAGATGTGCCAAGGCCTCTGTGTCCTACGTCTAAGCCTGACCAACGCTGCTCCCAACGCTTCGCGTATGAGATGCTCATATCCCATGGATGATCCGGTATTGGTTTTATGACGACATATTCCACTGTCAATTGGCCTGTAATATAAGAGCTTATTGCGGATGGAACAATAGAATAGATTACTATTGTTCACAATGTAAATTAAAATCAATTAATTGACTTCAAGGCTCCTGATTACTCAGTCAAGAACGCCACATTGGTGGTGGTGACATTATATCGCGATAGGAATTAAAACCTTGTTCATCGTACTAAGGCCTGTTCTACAATATGTCATATGTCGATGTCATAAGTCATAAGTCGTAAGAATTCTGCAATATATTGTATGCCGGTATCGTAAGGAGTAAGAATTGATCAATTTACAGTCGAATGTCAAGAGAATATTAGACTGTGATTAATCGATTCTTATTGCTTTCAGTATCGGTATGACATATTGCAGAATGGACTTTGCTGTGAAAAATGTTGACAACAAAATATTTTCTTGAATGCCATTTCGTTGTATGCTTAATGATAAAAATGTGATTTGTCTCGTACTTATCAAATTCGTAAAAAAGTATGAAAAATAATACTATCTTTGAATTTTATACGTAAAAGTATATTTATCATTTCTTTTAACAGTTGTCAAATCGTGTTTTCTTGCCTGAACATGCTTCATTTCACGTGCCTTTTACGACGTGATTTTTACTGACTGCCAGAGGGGAAGAATAGTTTCCATCCATTTTTATAAGTTTTTTAAAGCGACCCTATTTTTTATTTCATCAAAATTCTTTTTATTAAAAAATGGCATGCAAGAAACTTTTACGTGTCATTTCTTGCGTCATCACGATTTCAATATGGCCGAGATAATTAATCAGGAGCCTTAAATCGTTTAGCTTTCTGATAAATTTTTAACGGAATCAACAATCAATGTCATAGTTACAGTTTATATATTATACTATGTTATATAGTTTAAACAGAATAAAGTCTAAATATGATACGTACTCAAGAAATCATTCTTTAAGCCACACAGTGATATTAAATGTTTAATTTGTAATAATGAAATAAAAATATCTTCATTTTATATTTGTTACAGTATTTTTTTACTTACCAATGGGTCTATGTTTTGTACTAGTAATTGGTATGGTGAGAAGTCCAACGCTAGGTTGCAAAGCACACGGCAAGATGTAGCTGAAACCAATGTGATTTGGCGGTTCTCCTGGGAAACACCTTGAGCTGTACACGTAGTAGTCCACTAAGTACCCCTGGAAAAACAGTCTACTTAGTGCTTCATCGAAAAGACCCTAACACTTTGAACAACACCAATATGTTTCTTTCAATACAATTTTAGCTCATCCATTTTTCGTGCTTGCTTCAATATTCGATCACGTTCTTTAATTAAGGACAGGCAAAATAAGAGCAAATAATAATTTTAGTCTTTTGTTTCAAAGAATTTTGTTTCTTTCTTTGCCATAACAGACGATTTATATTGTTTCGAAAATTCGTTCGGCAAGATATAGACATTAGCACACGAAATATTCCTTCAGCATACATCCAATTACGTAAACTAAAAGTTGCCCGAAGCTTCCGGCGTAGAAATTTTGAATCGTTGGTAGGCAAGAGCAACAAATTTCTGGTAATCTAGCAATGAATCGGATCAATAATTGCTAAACGTTGTACACTGCCTGGTGTGACGCGTATTCCGCAACACCTGCCGAGATCAGTTCAATGTTAAATTTCGACAGAGCGAAATGTAGAGATAAAAAGAGATTAGAAAGAGCAAGTCAGCAACGTTTGCAATTCATATTCAGACGATTCTGACAGCATAGATTCTGGCATTGGCCGGACAGCGGTGACACGTACGGTACAGAAGAAGTCGATCAGAGCTAGAAAATATTAGTAGTATACTAAAAGGATATAGGAGTGATGGGAATCTCACCATTTTCGACGCACACAGATGGATATGAGATGTGATAGCGTTGATATCGCAACATTTTTAGGAGTTTACGGAACGGCTGCGACTCGCGTAAATCGAAAAACAACGGGCATAAAAATGTAACGAAAACAAGGCTCGATCTCTATCTGAAATTCCAATTGAGTGCAACTACTTGGTGTACACATTAGTCGATCAATGCATGCTTTTTTTTTTTTAAAGATGAAACGAAAAGCAATCGCGAGACGATTTACGAGAGGCGTACCGAAGGATGGGTCTGGTAAGGTGAAACGACAATCAAAACCATCATATCTCTGTGTGATGTCATGTGACACAGATGTAAAGTGGTAGACGATGCTTAGCATCGAAACATCAGATTGCAAGTTAGCATCATCATTTGCACCGGAGGTCTTGCTTTTGTACAAGTTGAACAGGTCGTCTTCGTATTCCTCGGGACCGGACACCACGCGATCACGTCGCTGCTGGCATTTCCGAGGAGGGAGATAGCTGCTGGACAAGTTTAATTATCGTTTACCAAGTAATTTGAACAAGTCGCGCGAGGAGACGTGGCCGGCCTACTCGTGGTCTACTGAAAACTCACATGATATGGTCAATGCGTATTCTTTCTTAGTGTGCTCAGCTCGTTTTGTGAATCACATCGCTAACCAGTAATTTATTGCTCTGCCATGCCAACGACTTTCTCGTTTTTTCCAGTCATGTCGCACGAGTTCCCTCGAAAATTTGAGCGCGCCTAAGTAATTTTGTGAAAGGTCAAATAAGGGGAACGTCGGTGTAAAATTTGATTTTTCGTCGTAGAATCGAGATATATCATATTGCGGCAATATCGGAAAAATGGATGTGATATCTCTGGACGCATGAAACTACAAATTGATATGAAGAACAAAAAAAAGATCGCATTCGAAAGTGTACCAAAATCGCAAGCAATGCAAGCAATAAATCCCAGCTTTCACATAATAGTGTATACATGATGCCGTGTGTCGAGAGACTATCTACATGGAAACTTACGATTGTTTCAGGATACCGAACGGCAACATTGAAGATTAAAAACTCGTCTTCATTGTAAGGGCGGCCGAATTGCTCCTGGAACGTGAATCTAGCCTCTTCATCATTCATCACCTGAAAATACACGTGAGGCGTTGTTCGACATAACTTGTGATAATAATGTAGTAAAATATTTAAAATCAACACCTGTAGCAATTTCTGTAGTAAAAAAAAATATTTAAAATTAACACCTACAGCAATTTCTGTAATACTGGTAAAGGCGGGTTGATCAACAATATCTTGTGTATCCATAGAAAGACTATCGTCTATACAGTCGCCTCCAAACTGTTGCAGTTCTAAAGAATTATGCCTAACTAGATTTATAGGTGTCATCTGTAACATAAGTAAAGTGTCAGTTATCTGCTTTGAAAATATTTTATAAAAAGGTTTAACATAATATCTCTGTTTTAATGTATTTATTAGTTTTTCAAAATAAACAGTTCATAAATTTTTTCTTTCAATATTAAAACGTAAAAATTCTTTAAAAGTAGAAATACTAAACAGCACAAGAACAATACCTTAATATGAACTTGTTTATTTTGCAGCCGATTCTTCCACAGTTTAGTAGGATTGTTAAAAAGTTTAAATTGTATCACAGTTTCATCTGTCAGCCAACCTCGTTCGATTTTGTGGTAATTATTGTGATAGCCAAATTTGTCGGGATCTGGCAATGTGTTGTCATTGTCAAAATTGCTTGGTGCTGCAAAATAGATTGTTTGATTACACACATAGTTTACATTTGATTTATATTTTTAAGTATTATATGCTCTGTTAATTTATTCTCCTGCATATTGCTTGATACAACTACATCGGCTTTAATCATACAAAAATATAATGGATAGATATGTACTATTTTTTTTAATTAATCGTGGTGTCATATGAGTTTCCCATCTGCGGATAATCAGAGTTTTGGCTGAGTTTTTAGTGCCGTTCGATTGGCAGATGACAGCTACAAAATATCGAAACTCGATATTTGCGTCGATGGGAAGTGCAACCTTCTGCGAGAATATTCGCCCGTCACTGGAATATATTTGCAGTGTAATACATAATGTAATAAGCATATGTCTTTATAGCTTAAAAAAAAGAGACAAACGTTTTGTCTTTAAGCAAATATTTGTAAAAGTACAAATATAAATAATTGCCATTTATTACATATACATTTCTCTTTTATCGCTTTCAAATTATTAAATAAAATCAGTTGTTTTCTAAGCTATTAATAGAATTTAATACAAATATAAATTTTTTTATTGTTTTGACCAATTGATATAATTAATATATAGGACGCCCAATATAAATTTTTCTGTACGTAAAGAGACGAAGAAAATAAAAAAAAAGAATGAAGATATTTTTAAGCTTTCAAACTTCACAATTGAGATACTATTTCTTTTGTATACTTACTCTTCAAAGATACCATCAGCTGCATTATCTCCATCTTCGCCATAGAATTCCCCGCTACTGTTGTTATCTAACAGTATAGGAGATTCCCTCCGACTGCTATGTTCCTGCGACATTTGGATGGCCTGATTGTGATTCCAGGCACCCAATTCAGGTAAATTTCCAACCACATAGACCACTTCATTTTTCTCCAGGTTGGGTACCTTTAGATTTAAAGCAAATGATAAATGAGGGTAAAAATATTCGTTTTTGTTTCCTTAAAATTGAAATTTCGGGAATTATCTGCACGAAAGGATTGAAGAAAAAATTTCACCAAAAATTACCTGAACTCTAAAAATCCAGTCTCTTTTAGACTCCTTCATGTCGGAACTTTCTGCGACCGCCACTTCGGTGATGATAAACTCACGTGGGGCTTGTTCAATTTTTTTCTTGCTTCTTCGCCCTAAAAAAATGTATTCAATGCATATTACTATGTGCTTTTTTTAAAATTACATTTCTTTCATTTTTTATATTTTAAGATATGAGTTACGTATTTTGTTCAGTTAATATTATAAATTTTTTAATGATTCTTTTTATTCAGTTACAATCAACAATTTATTTATTGAAACTTGGAAATAACATACAATAAAACTCATGACTTGTGACTTAATGTTTACAACATTCTTCATTCAACTATTTTTTTTCAAAATGCAGTAACCATTTAGTTAAAAAAATCTAACAAAGATAAAAATAATACATATCTTTTTTCATTAATCTGATTAATACTGATATAATATTACTGTAACACATTATTATATAATGCTTCATTTCTGTAATAATTCTGTAAAATCATATCAATAATGATACAAATAAATTATATCTTTAAATTATATTGTAAACAAAACTCAAAAACAATCATATCAGCGTAAGCAAAAAAAATATATACTTGTCAGAAGAGTCTGAGAAACGTTTAGTTAAAGATTCCCACAGTGAATCAGGTGCATGACTAAGCAATGATAAACATTTTATGATGCAAGTCCGCCTACAGTTATTATATCATATTTCAGTCCCTATTTTCTGACTGATAGATCAAATGACATACGTTCTATGAATTATTTGACCAACAGACTGAATTCCATATAAATATTCAAATATAATCAGGTATGTATTTTTAAAAATTCTTTGGAATGTTTTAAGATGCTTATTAGCATCACTACTAAATTGACGATCAATTTCAGTACATTTCAGTTCATTACATACTATTTCAGTTTATGACTGTGTTCAGGTTACAATTAGGTCCGAGAATCGGCGCGCAGTTCGTAGAACTGATGAAAAATGTATTTAAAAATTTACATACGAATAATATTGAGAGAACCCAAGATCCAGTTTCGATCGTATTTGACGTTTCTCTATTTATCTGTTCACATAGGATGCTTTCCATTTAGCGACACAAGTCGACGCAAGCGTCATTTTATCTTTTTTCAATACCTAGTGACAACAAAGATAGAATATAATACTTGTGTCGCTAAATGGAAAGCACACATAGTGATCTAATTGTAAGTTTAACTTATTGTTTGTATATGTTAATTTTATTAGAACGAGTCATCTACGAAATGACCGGATACCTCCCGCGCGCTCCTGTCAATCTTCAAAATATTATTAAATATAAATAAATTAAATATAATATTGCCAGAAAATTATAGACTTAAAAATGTCCCTCCTCACAGCGCAATTGCGAATTCATTTTATTCCCTCAGATATTCTGGGACAAAAATCTCATTGATATTAAGAGCCCTGTTCCTTGTAGCCGTACTCTCTTTCATACTTTCTGTATGTATTTATGTATAATTAAAAAGAAATAAATATGTAATTGGATGCTAGAGTGAGACAGAGAGAGGCAAGGTGAGAAGTACTAAAGGTCAAGCTACAAAGAACGAGTGCTTTTCAGCGCCGACGTGGCTCGCCGTGCCTCGTGGGATTATTTTTGCACGACGTGACGACAGTCATCCTTGTCCCTGTGCGATCCACGATCGACGGAGGCCGACGTTTTTCCCCTCTCCTGACATTCTCGGCACGCGACGGCACGACGCAACACGAACACAAAGAACGATATAATTGGATTGGCGAGCTACTTTCTCCGCGGAAGCGCGGCGATTTAACGATCGAGGGAAATATACGCGCCCGTGGTAAGCGCGTGCGGTGCCGCGTACGCGTGCCCATATCCGTTTTCTCTCGCAATAACGCCTAGTCTCTTTTATTTTTATTCCACCCGAGAGACACGCGCGCTCGAGGATATTAACTTTCAGGCGAGTGACAAGCGAACAGCGGCGTTCGAAACGGCGTATTATTTATTATCGTTATCCGTAAAACTTCAGGAGGCTGGATGAATTCCTTCTCTAGAATCTAACGGTGAACTCGGGTGAGGCGAATTTTCGCTCGAAGGTTTCCACTGATGCAACAAACTGTACTTTGTACCCCGAGGCAAAACGGGAAAGCTGTCAAAGTGAAAAAAAGAGAACGACGGCCTGCGCTCTCTCGGACGAGTGTTTTTGCTCCACGAGAGCGGCTCTCTTTCTCTCTCTCTCGAAGGATTTCTATTTTCACCGAAGAGATTTTCCTCGGAACGTCTCACGAGGATTTCCCTTTTCCTCGTGATAACAACGGCCGGGGAAAACACAGTGCTCCAACAATGATAACGCGTTATTACTTACGACGTGGAGGAGCCTCGGCTCTCGGCGATCTCCCAGTTTTTTTTTCAGAAGTCTCTCGGCTGTCCTCGCGCGACCCCGTCGCCGCTTGTCGCCGTTCGACCGCTCGCGTTATTTAACGAACGCCTGCGGCAGTCGTTCCGGATGCTTCACGGTACTCGACATAATCGTGACGCGACCGTAGCTCTCGCCCCGCACGAAACGCGATGCACTGCACGCGCGGCGCGCTGACATGGAAATGCACAGCGCAACGATGGCGGAGACGACGACGACGACGACGGCGCGGAGAGAGACCTTCGGTCGTGCTCGGTCGGTCGGCCTCGTTCTGCCTCGTTCATAGACAAAACTATCGACTGAGAGGAAGGGGAGCAGTGCGGAGCAGTGCGGAGTATGGACTGTAGGGGAAGGGCGACTTCCGACTTCAGGGCGCCAATAGAAAAATTTGTTCCGAAAGGTTAAGAAACTTGCTGTCCGCCGAAGTCCCTAGAGTCAGCAAATTTCTGCAATCGGAGACCATATGAATTCCCTATTAGGCGCCAAAAATTATTCGTTCGAAGCACACCGCGCAATTCGCATTTCGAATCGAACATTTAAAAATATCATTATTAAGAGCCCGCTTTATGCTTATTTCTATCTTAATGTATCTTCATTTCTATTGAGGGAGTCGAGGGTGATCAAATTCTGATTAATTTAATCGACGATTAACATGTCAATTATATAAATACTTATTATACCGTTTTGTTAAAGTTAACAGATGGAATTATCTAATTTTTACACATAAAAAGTTAAATTAGGAATAACATAAATTGTATACAATTAAAAATGTCAATTAAATTAAAGCCGATTCAAGGGAGTTTAAGTCGAAAATTATTGCTATAAGAAAATGATCCCAGCAAAGAATAATTTTTATTATAAAAAAAAATATATATATATAAGAATATGTATAATAATCTATGTACGTTGCTGTAACATTTAGGTATATATACATATATTGTAGAAATATAATATTATATATAATGTTGCTGCAATATTGCTGCAGTTATAATATTTATAATATAATCTGTGTTTACTAAGGACGTATATATATTATGGTCTAATGGTTTGAGTAATAACAAACATTTAAATATATTACATTCGAAATATTTAACAGAAATGGAAAGTATTAACGATATTATATATATTTAAATAAGAAATAAAAAGAATGTACAAGATAAAAATAAATTCGAACAATTATATAAAAAAAAGTGACCCAAAGAAGTGGGGTAAAAACTTAGAAACTTCATTTAATTAACTTCAATTTATCAAAATGTAATACATAATATATAATATATATATACATCATTTACAAATTAACTTATCTTTTTTATGTAATTAAAATTGATTAAATTAAAAGTTTCTAATTGATATTTCATTCATTTAAATTTTCTCGTTTCTTTGGCCTGCTTTGTATTATCTTCAGAATATATGATTATTTTTCTAAACCGTACGTATTATATTCTTACAAACCATTTGATTCCCTTTCAAGTCATGCACTTTAAATAATTGCCGACCTCTTAGAATGAGATAGATTATTGCGGAAACGAAAAGTTTCTCGATGTTATTTGAGTCTGGTTGGAATGTTAATGTTAACGTTCGAAACAGGAAAGCATTCGTTACAAAAACCGTATGCATTAAGTGGCAGGGGGAACCGCTGCGTATTTGAGTAGGAAAACGTGATCGGCATACAACGATCGACGATATGAAATAGGTAATATTATACAAATTTATTTCGTGTTTTTGACTGCAGTCACGCTTCAGAGACATTATTAGAAAATTTTTTTTTAAGTGCGACACAGTATGTTCTTAAAAATGTAAGAATTTAACAAAATATTAATTAGTTTATGTATCTTATGTTAGAGAATATTATTGCTTCATTATTAATTAATCAATTAATCAATTTAATGGATTCAGAATTCTTTTCTTCAATATTACCGTATAATTAATACCAATACAAATATTTATTATTATAATTATATATATAGTGTATATATGTGTGCGTGTGTATGTATATAAATTTCAATATATATATGTATAATATTGGATTTTATAATATTTATAATGATAAAAATGCAAACATATTTAATATATTGTAATTAATGTATACGAAAATTGAAAACATGTGACACAAATGGATTATTCCTTCGTCAACATCTTCAATTGCGACTTGTAAATTGTATTACAAACTATAATCATATTTGCCAAGGAGAACAAAAAAATCCAAATAATATCAATTTGACGTAACGTTGATCGAATTTGCGTCATTTAAATGCGTCAATATTACGTCAAATTGATATTATTTTGACTTTTCTGTTCTCCTTAATTGAGTTATAATACGTTCTACGTGTTTATAGCGTCTGAATGGCCGTTTCACATGTTTTTAATATTTTCCTCTGCAATCTTCTTAAGAGACCAGGATGTAAAAAGATAAGTCACTCATATTGCAGCGTTACTACAAACGCTAGAAAAAAATATCTATAAAAAAGATTTTACTTTTACGAAACAAAAAGATTCGGTCGACGAGATGGTCCTCGTCTAACGTTATGTATATATATGTGTGCGAAACAATATTTATACTTTTCTTCAATTTCCTAACAATTAGCAAATAAGTGCTTAATGAAAAATTCAAGCTTAAGTTCTCCTATACGTCTCTGTTTTCTGAAGGAAGAAAAACAATTTCCGCACGTGTGCGACGCGTGTGGCGGCAACAATAGTCGCGTAAGACCTCCTCCTCTCAGACGGTATTTGTGATGTAAATAAAATAGGAGCGCAATGAATACGTTGAACCAAGCCTTCATTCCTCATGCGTGATGCGCACGTAACGTTTACGCGCGTGACATTGCGAATTAGTTTGCGTATAATGCGAGCGGTTTGCTTCGCCGATCTAAATCGAAAGCGTATACCGAAATGCCGCAGATGAAATCGCAGCTGCGGCCGCGTGGCGCAGCGTGTGTGTTCGCGTGATAAGAGCGTATATAGTATATCGAATTATGAGCGAGGGGTGGAGAGGGGGGGGCAAAAGTGGCGTGAAGCGAAGGATCGTTAAGGTCGATGTGACATCTCTGCGAAACGTTTCCGGGAAATTCTACAGGAAGTCTCTAGGAAGGTCTCTTTGCCTCCCCCTCCGCTCGTTTCCCCTTGGAATTCCTAGCGTGATAATATATACACTGGAATCACTTAGAAAGTTTAGATTTCAACACACAGAGACGCAAACATCTAGATACATTTCCTTCGCAAATAATATCGAAATAGATAAGCAAAATCCAGAAAGAAGTGGAAACAATTTTTCTTACACAATGGCACGTGTCTGAGATATTCCGACTTTATCTTTGTGAAATTTTTTAGATGTTATATCAAAATTTGGAAAATTTGTGTTTTAAATTTAACACATTAATGCGTGTCTGAAATTTTTGTATTAATTTAATTACAGGATGAATATGTTAGAAAATAAGATAAATAATTTAAAAACTTATTACAACAAATTTAATATTTTGACAGAATTTAGAAGCAAAGGGGAAATGTATTTCTTCGATAAAATTAATATTTATATTATGCTAAATTAACACATACATTTCATTCTTAAAATTTACGTTTTAAAATTATTTTACATTATTTTTATGTTGTTACTCATAGATTCTATTATTTATAAGTTTTAAGAAATGTTGAATATTGAATATTGAATTTAATACAAAATATTCAATTAACACAATTATTATGTTAAGTTATATTAAATTAACACTCGAGACGTGTTAAAAATTGAACACAAAAATTTGTACAAAGACCGGTTAAAAAAATTTTTAACACAAAATGCTTTTTTGCTGTGATACCATGTAAGAACAATTTGAAAACGCAGAAATATTGCAAAAATGCCTTTCAATTGATGTTCAAAGAATATTAATTTATCAGATCTATATGCTTTATGGATACCGATTTAATATATTAATATCCGAAGTGCTCTTACAGTTTCATGACTGAGCGTTTGCGAGACCCTCATGACTTTCGCGTTTGTTAGCGTCAACTTTATTCGAATCACCGGCGATTCGTCGATGACGTCCGTAAATTTTCATCACGCTTTTCTTTTACGGAGTGATGCAGCGGAGCGATGTGTCCGAGTCATTGCGATTGATCAAGCGCATTACGGCCGCTCTTTCAAGAACAATTTATCACCATTTACGCATTATGCCGCGACGTCTAATAATATTTGCCATCGTGCTGTTACGCGCATCGGCTTTACGTCAAGTGTCGGATTAATTGTGGGCACGACATGCAGGCGGGATCGTATTTTTCGCGAGTGCTATACACTAACGAGTTATACAGCACAAACACGTCAGATATCGGCAACTCCGAACGTCGGCGACCGATGCAACGAACAAACAGCGGTTAATCATGTTTTCGAGATGTTAACACATCTTGCTTGCCATTGATAATCATATAATGGCATAATTAAAAAGCCGAGTTAATCACATGTTTGCTTTTGTTTTGCACAACATTGCATGTATAAAATATTATTTCTGTATCATTTTATTACAGCAAAAATGTGAATAACACGGTAAAAAAGAAAGCGGGAGATAAATACTTTTGAATATATTATTTTGCTGCATTTTTCCCTTTCTTTCTTTTCTCTCTTTTGTTAAAAAAATCTGACGTATAAAAAATTTCGCGGAGGTACAGAGTGTAAAAGTTTACACGTGTCTTTACCAACATTTTAGAATAAAACAAAAAGAACTGTTTAAGCCAATATAAAAATTATATAAAATATGGATCACGAGAATCAATTGCGAAGATTCTCTGTTGAAGTTATAAGTACTCGAGACTCTAATTAAAGCATGAGCCCCCTGCTATCTGCTATTTGAAGTCAGTAAGCTCTCTCTTATTTTGAGTAGCTTGTGTAACATAGAACAGCTTGTATATAATATTGTAGAGCCCCTGTCAGGGTTTCTGTCCGATTTAACGCTGTTGAAATGCCGAGAAAAACATTGGCACTTTTCCGCGGTTTATATACTTCACTCGCTATTTATACAAATTATATAGCGAGGTATGAAATCTCGCGACGTCGATAATATCCGGTTGTTTTGATACCTTGAGCGAAACTCGTTATAGAAATTAAAAAAAAAAAAGAAAATAAATTTCTGTTGCATCATCTGTTTTCGATATATCTGCTTTAATTATTTTTATTTTGTGATGCAAAATGTTATATTTATGCGAACAGAAACATTACACGGTATTTTGCATCGTGTGCCACGCCTTTCACAATGCGTTTCTGATTTAGATCTTTTGCATTTTTTATACGCAATTTAATGCGTTAAATCGTACTGTTACCCCGTTTTTGGGCTCGATTAGTGAAAACTTGAAATTTTGAAAATTTGAAATTGCAACGGCAAAACGATATATCCGTCTGAAAAAGTTTCTCTTCGTATCATTAACTAATAATATAATTATTATTTTTTTGTACATAAAACATAAAAAGTTTGCAATACATATATATATATATATATATATATATATATATATATAGTTTATAGAATTCGCCCACTAAACATTTTGACCATTACATAATTGTTGAACGTTGAAATTGTTGAATATTATATATTAATATCTCAGCAACAGCAAATGTCCTATCTTTATGACGGTTCAAAGGAACGTTTCATTTGTGAGATTTTTTGCAACGTAACAGGAATGTGTCATTATGCGAAATCGATTGCTACGTTGTACGTATAGTAACGTTACAAATAAAACATTTTTCTGAAACATTCTAGAGGCAGGACATTTAATGTTATCGAGATGTTAATATGACATTTCGACAACGTAATGGTCAAAATGTTTAGTGAACGGAGGATATCACCTATAACATCTTAAGTTATACCACAGTTGCAGATCGTATTATACACGCAAAAAGAACTTAATAAAAAGTTGAACTGAGGCTATTGTAGTTTCCTTTAGCGGGAGTTCATTTTAGAGTTTTTTTTTTCATAAATTATTAGCTTAACGAATATGCGACCATTCAGTCTTTGCAATACATCCTTTAAATTCATTAATTCCGTAACGCTTGCTGTGTAATTATTCATTGTGTCTGAGAGACTATATCTCGAAAAATTCTCCAGGCAGAGAGACGAAAATTTATACGGTATTTGAAGCGCAACCGTATTGTCTAAACTCTATGGTTTAAACTTTTACGTTCACGCTGACAATATTTTTGTAGAATGCTTTATAAAGAGCATTCTTCCTTTCTTTGAAGCAAAAGTATTTCGATATAAAGATATCAGCACATATAAAGATATCAGCATAGAATTTATGTTCGAAACTTTCTCTAGCTCAGTTAAATATCTTTTCAAGGCTGCTTCCAAATTCTTTCGCAGCGTGAAAGAAACGAATTTTCATTTAAGAAAAACGATAGAATTAGATAAAAAGAAGAAATATCGAGGTAATTAAATCCTATTTTTTTATTTAAATATCGTATTTCCGATCGTTCGATAATATCCTTTATCTTCTCAAGATTTTCAAGATTAGATTTATTTATCGATAAAGAATTTATTTCTTGATTTTAATTTTAGATTTTCTTGTATTTTTAAAATAATATATCATTCCGTGTTTCTCGATTGCATTATATAAGAATATTTTTCTCTCTGATAACGTCAATTCACATCGATATTGAATTGTGCTTTGTTAATCGAATTAAATAAGTTGTTAATTAAATGAATCCAATTGTCTGTATATACTTGTTAATTTTTATTTCTTTAATATAAATAAATATCTATTTATAAAGTATGATTATCCAGATAAATATTTAGTTGTAAAATTAAGACATAATTACAGACAAAAAAACGTGTTTTTTCATATCTATTTCATATTAATACAAACTCGAATTTGAACAATTTTAATTCTCTTGATGGAATTACAGATCTCGAATCTATTAATTCTGTCATCCCTGATTATATTAAGCGAAAAATTTAGAAATCAACACGGATATCCGTATTTATCTCGTAATTAGAAGAATAACACGCCGGGGGATTTCGGAATATACGCTGTTATCGCGACAGACGGATTACGCACAGTTGGGAAAGTTGTTTATAACGCGATCAGCTGCAGGCTATTTTCTCATGACTGTTCAAAGTCCACCGCGAGAAATTCGTCCTCGTATTTATATAGCGCGTCAAAAATTGCCTGTTCGAAACGTATAACGACGCACCGAAGCGTGTGACAATTGCGCCAATAAACTCTGTTTTTTTTTTGCGGTTTTGTACGTGCCTCTTTCCCAATATAATTTTTGTATAAAGATACACGGAGAGAAAGGAGATGCGTCTCAAGATCGTCGCGCTCGATCTTCCGAGAATACATACGTTGAATTTCGCTCAATTGTCCCCAATTGTCTCTCTCTCGCGCATCGATAGTTTCTCCATGCAATTTATCTCCCTCCCCGCTCCCCCTCATCCGATCTCTGTACAGCTTCCGTCTCACCTGCAGAAAGTGCGGTCCCGCGCGCACGTGCTAACTTCCGGCAGGCTGCATTGCGCACCAAGCTGCGACACTGCAATCAATCATCGCCGATCTCTTCGATCCGTCGTCGCGTTGAGTTCGTCCGATGTCCGTTTTTCCTCCCTCCCTCCGGGAACGAGTCGCGGACGGATTTGTCTCTCGATTTGTCCTCCGGAATTGAAATCGCGAATCGCGAATGCGAATGCAAAAAAAAAAAAGGAAGAAAGAAAGAAGATATAGAGCGGATTACCGATCGCTTGGAACGTGTATCTATACGCTCCGGCGCGTACGAACGCTCGGGTGCTACTAGGCTTTCGCTCCTCGATCGCTTCATTCGTACGCTCGGCATTCCGCTTCCCCTCTGACCCTCCACGTCGATTACCCGGTCGCGACGTTGATATTTCTGTAGTTACGTGTCTGTATCCATAGGAATAAATCGGGCCGACCTATAGGGCCGCCTATAATGTATATAGAACGCGACCGTGGACACCGAATGGTATCGGCGAAACAGTTCCGGTGTTACGAAAATATACCGCGACATCTTCCCCGGAATGCCGCGGTGGACGTCGATATATTGACGTTCTCCGCTGCAGTCGGAAGAAAGACCACCTCGATGCCTCGGTATCTTGGTGTCGGATAGTATCACGTCGTGCGATCGTATCGCGTATCGTCATTAGATTATACCTATATGTGTGTATTCCGCTAAAAAATATCGCGCACTCGATCTTTTCTCGCTCCGATTTTCGGAGCTCCGCGATTCGATAAGATTGGAATTAGAGCGATGCAATACCGATAAGTTCTATTGTACTCTTTTTGCAGCTACAATGCACACTTCGAAATATGCTTATTTACGACGCGACGCGCTTGTTTTCCGACTCTTGCTCGGGCGCGCTTATCAAGGGAAAAATTCAGCCGCATGCCTTCGCGCACATTTATCTTCGTTTTGCGCGATACTCAAGTGCCGATAACGAAGCTGCGTCCATTCCGCTTGGTGTTAGTGTTCCGACGCGCGTTGCATCATTTACATCCGTGTCTTTAGAAGATTACGAAGCCGTCGCTATCTTGAAAAACTGTATTGCAAAAAAAAAAGAATACCAAGTAAGACACAACATGAGTCACTATCCTCGAGAGCCTGTCTAATGATTTCCGATTATTAATCATTAATTGGACATTGTAAATGTATTCTTCACTAATTTACACTGGTAATTGTCGAATCAGTGATTAAAACATTTCACGTCGTTATTTTTTCGCTGCGTATGACTCAAACGATCGAGCAAACCTTTTATTTCTCAACAGAATTCAGAATCGTTTTAACAAGTTAATTAAAAAATTAGTTTTTTTATTATTATATTATACTGATAAAATGGAACAGATATGTTTTACATTCTGACGCGTATACCGTATTTATATTGCTAATAATTTTATTATTTTTAACAACGGTAAGCAGCAGATTACTCGTCGCCGCAGTAAAAAATGGAAATATTATATTAGGTGTGAACCATGTGGTTGCAAATATACGTTTCGAGAAAGAATTACCGTCCGATAAATAGGTTACCCAGTAATTAAGAAACTCGCGAATTACTGTCAATTAATTAATAATTTGACAACACAGCTTGACAGCTGCCGATAGCAGTAAATATAAGTGACAGATTCCAAAGTTCGATAAAGAAACTGCTTATCGGGCTCTCGGCGGAGTCATCGGAGAAAGAGCACGTGCTGAATCAGTAAGATTATTCTCCCTCACGTGCGATTTGAAACTACTCGTGCTCCATATTCGCGATGTCGAAAAATATTCGACTTTTTAACGAATTCAAGTGGAACGGCGAAAAAACTCACTTTGAGTCAAATACATAAGTCGATTTACAATTGCAAATTTATACAAGTTTATAATACAATATTATGAAAATTTATACAACGCGCGATTTTTATATAACTTTCAATAATTATATCGCGGCATTGCTGCAATAGTGTCATATCCGAAAAATGACAATTTTGAATTATTCATTGGAAAAGATGGATTTTGGCGTGTACTTTATCTGGTGATGAATAACTGAAAATTATCAATTTTCGAGATATGACACTATTGCAGCAATGTCGCGGTATAATCTTAATCTTTTTAAAATATTAAATATATCTATATGTATAAATAAAATTCGTGTTAATTGAAAGGAGAAAGAGCTTGTATAATATTCATCCTCTTAATTCTTATTTTGAATTTTATAATACCTTCCTCTTGACTTTTTAATTTTCTATCTCAAATGTGTTAAATAATTCTATGTTAATTGAGCTTTGTTTGGAATTTTTACAAGAAAAAAAAACTTAATTCCATGAATATCTCCTCTTTCTCTTTTTTTGTCGTTTATACAATTTTTATAGCAGTTTGAATAAAAATAAATTTTATTCTCTCTATTTAATCTACAACACTGGCTTCTTTTCGTGACTCGGCAGAAAAATTCGAAGCGATATCGGTGTAATAGCACGCTGCAAATAAGATAACGTCGCCCAAGGCCAACGCAAAGAAATTTAATCGGCGAGCGGAACGTATAGCCGTACGCTAACATGTCTCGAATATTGCCGTCTGTTGAATTCATCTGTTACAATCGAGTCGCGGAAGGAAGCGATTATTTGATCATGTCGGACACGCCGATGAACAGGAAGTCAGATTAGAATAATGGCGTGTGTTTTAGAATTACTGCAGGCGGATTCACGCGAGTTCTGTGCTCGCAGGATCCTCTCCTTTAATAATTTATTTTAGTCTTTCGCGCAATTTCCTTTTCGGAATTTGACATCCCTTGAAACTTGACAAAACAAGAAAAAAAAAGGAATAGAATTTGCGATGCTTTCGATTACTTTTGCTTGCGGTTGAGAAGATAAATTATATAAGAGACTATTAATAAACAAAAATAAATAAATCACGAGATCAATACATTCCGTCATCAAAATGTATACGCATCAAATTGTAAATATTCAAAAAAATTTTTATAAATATTTACAATTTCAGACGCAAAATTACAAATGTATAAAAATGTCGAATCGTTTTCGTTAAATTCTGAATGCGTCACCATTTGCAATGTATAGTTTATTTGCTCTGACAACAACGGGTCACTGTATGCCATGATTTATTTGGTCCAGCCTCAGGTACAGTTTTGCTACACGACGTCCCGGAGAAAGTTTGTATTGACAATATATTTTTTTTGTTGTATATTTTCGCTACGTGTACTCTTATATTTTTTACTCTTGTATTTTTACTTGTAGAGTTTCTTTTAAAAATTTAGTTTACATTGAATATTAAATAATAAAAAAATAAAGTTTTGAAAGTTTCTATTTTTACATCATATATAATACCGATGACTTTTGCAGAATAACTTTTCTTTTAAATTATTTTTCTTATAAATACGTAATTTATCTTGCGATCAAAGAACTTTCGCATTTCAGACAAATATAAATCTGTAATTGGAACATATTTTCTTTCGGGACACATTCTATAATACATCAATGAAAAAAATGTCTTCGCATTTATCAAATATTTTCACGTGATTCTTTTTTCTCATCAAAGAGCATAATTCCGATTAAAGCCAATTTCACCATTTTCTATTAACTTAAATATCGATTAAATATCAATTGTGATTAATTAATTTATTCTGAATCTGTTTAACAAATGTGATTGATTCCAATGGAATTGGAGTTAAGCTAATCTAAGATAATGAAATTGCAGGCCCTAAGGGGAAGAATGAAATATGCTTAATTGACGCACCATAAAGACTGAATTAAAAAAAAAAAAAACTCATGCTCTTTGAACGCCGATAATAGGGCTTAATCTTTCTCATAAATATACGGTGTCTCTGATGCATTGCTTTGGCCAAATAGAAGTTTCTACAAACGTTAAATGTCATTTACTGATTAGCAAAAGAATTTATGATGCAAAATATAGATCAATAAATTATAGCAAAATGGCAGATTTCGATAAGATCTATGAAATAAAGAATTGTAAGATTGTCGTCTCGAATATTTTGTTACAATTTTTCATATTAACTTCATATTAAATTCATATTAACGATTATATTAACTTTTATTTTTATAAATTTAAATAACGATTCAAATATTTTGATTATTGTAACACGTTTAACATTTTGCGCAGAATTATCGTACAAATGGTGTGATTCATTAGAAACATCGCCCTGTACATCGTAAGTCGAACATCGATACGTGACATTCATATAATTGAAAGAACGAGATCACACCGATTGCGTCAACATCACGTGTTTCTTGGCATTGTCAATAGTTTATCGTGGGAGTGTCACAACATCAAAGATATATTAAATTGTACTTATTACGCAATATAATTATGTACAAAAGATATTTCTAAACTTTGTAAGAAAAAAAAAATACGAAGCACAACGATATTTAACGCTAAATATGCTAAACATAAAAAAATGGAGCAACGAACAATTGAGATTTGCGAGATAACATAAAATCAATATATACAAGAAGATAATCGACACGCTAAAGAATTTTAAATGCACAGAAATGCACTGTGCGAGTTCGGATCCTTAATTTGTTCAATTAATGCTATATTGGGCAGCACACACTTTGTATGTTTCTTAATTATAAATCAAATTGAAGAGTTTTATTTAGAGAAGATTTATGAGATAAATCGTAATAATCGTGTTAATAGAACGGAAATATATATGGACAATCCAATAAAAGAATATAAAATAGTATCTGATCATATAAGATAAGATCGAACTTTAAAATATTTAAATCAGTCTCCGATCTCGGGAAGATCAGAAACGGATTTTCTTCGATCTCTCCATTATTTGGCCCATTTTCTACGGAGTTACTCAGCGCCGTAAAGTCGTTCCGCAATAAAGCAGATATAGATCTCTCGCATGTCTACCGTTATAAAGAAATAAGGCGAGCTTTGTGTAGCGTAAAGGCTGCACCGTGATTTCCGCGGTCCCTTTATTGCACGCGTATCAGCTGCAATAAACGAGCGAATTACCGAAGTGACGGTACAAATCCCGCCGTCTTTCTTTCCGCAAAGTTCGAAGAACTTCATAGCTTATCTTGGCCTTGCCATTGTTATCAGCACGATCGATATTATTACTGCGATTGTGCGCGCTTGTTGACGATTAGCTCTTCTCGCTTCGTCGCGTTGTATTCCATTAATTATATTCCATTAGCCAATGATAATTATAGTACAGAGATGTAATTACTTCGCGCCGTCGGGCCTTTCAAGACTTCGGTTACATTGGATTGTTCATAAATGAGTGCAAACTATAAATTTATCGCGATATGACAAACGGTTTGACGCAACGAATTTCCGCGTTAGATTTCGCAATCAGATACGATGGCGATGATACGAAATGCCGTATCTCTATATCTCTGCAAAATATGAACTTTAAAAAGAAAAGAAAACTTTTTCAGGAATTACATAAATATCAATTATTTGAATGACATTCTTCTAATTCTGCGCAATTAAGCGATTAAGCTCGTTCATTGTTGAATAGATTTTTTGCATTTTTACACTTCTATATCTTATCCTAGTATTCTCAATTTAGATTCTCATTTACAATTCCGTGGTGGCAACTCCCCAATACTGCTGCATCCTCGTGGCGTCCTGCTCCAGCGAGTCCATGCCGTTTCTCTCCTGGATAACGGCGAAATCGTACTCGAGATTATACGGCATCAGCCTCTGCAGGCTGCCGAAGTAGGCGGCGTTCGGTCCTCCGTTCAGCATTCTTCGTCCGCTGCCGAAGCGGACCATTGGCGGTCGTGGTAGCGAGGGGTTGAAGGAACGGGCGCTGCCGAACCGCTTCGACAGGAAGGGCAGGTTGCTTCCCAGCTGTGGCGTCGACCTCGACTGGCCGCGATGCAACGGCGCCTTCGTCAGCGTGTCCAACTCCTTGTCGAATAGCAGCTGAGTGTTCTGCTCGAGCATATACTCCCAGCAACGGAATTGCTCCTCGCTGAGAGCACTAGATCTTTCCGAGATAGCATCCTCTTGTGTAGATAGACAGGATGATACCTGAGAAATAAAGAGAGAATTGAAATTTAATATATGTGGATATCGTATTTTTTACATTTTACGTCTATATTTCTTGTTGATTACTTCTGTGTGTGTATTTTTTATGAAAATATTGACGAGCGTCAAAAGAAATAAACTGTCACCAATTTTTATTTGCTACCTCAGTAAAAAAGACCGTAACTTTTAGCGCTTTTGCCAGAGCGTGACGTTTTTATAAAAATATTTTCTCACGAAGCAATATATCAACGAAGAGACTCGACTTTACTTTTCGCATGCTGTTTTCCTGCATGAGAACACTCTGATGAGCCTTATTTGTCGCCCTGGCGGCCGCACTTCCGGACCACATTCTTCCGGATGGATGACGAGACTTGAAAGTGCTGTCGCTGGCCTGATCGGACTGTCCACTTGGCGAACTGCGGTCGTCTCTGTACGGAGGACTTTCGTTTTCCTGCGTCGATCTGGAGTTCTTGAAGTACCTTCCGGAACCACCGTGAACCTTGTTAGATCTACAAATACCAAGCAAATGCCAATGAAATAAATTTTATAGCAATATATTCTTTTTGAAAAATAAAATTCTCACAATTAGTTCCCAAATATTCCAGTAGAAAAATTGTAATCTTTTTATATTTAAAAAAACAATAAGAAGAAATTTAGACATTTCTGATAAAGAAGACAATTCTAATAATTACGAAAATTAGAATTTTAACTTTTTTTTATCAGTATTTAAAAAATGTTAATCCATACTTTTAAATAAACGTATTTTTGTGTAATAAAAATATATAAATCGTATTTCTTCAGAATAAAAAATACTAATTATTTAAATGTTTGTACAGTTATCAGAAAAGTATTATATATATTGCTTTCTTGCATATTTTAGATGTTTTGATGTATAATCACTCATTGATCAACTCATTTTCCATAATTTTGTAACAGCATTCTATTTCCTTTACCTGCTCACAATGTTCTTTAACACGCCATTAAGATAATAGCCTTCGTTCGCGTGACAACAGCAGGCAGCCGGTGGCTTATGCGTCGCGGGTGGCACGCAACAAGGACAAGGGCACACGCTATCGCCTTGGCTTCGGTTTTTACCAACGGCATGCCTGAGTTCACGCATGAGCTGATCCATGTCGCCCGGGCTCGGTCCCGCCATCCGGACGACGATGATGCTTAAATTGTCCTCCGCGCCGTAAGCCTGCGCGAGATCCTGAAGTCTCTTGGCGGCCAGGACGGGACTCGCTTCAGCTCTGGCCTCCCTCACGGCTTCCTGGACGCTCAGGACCTCCCATAATTTCCGATTAGCGACTATGACAAATTCATCGTCGTCCTCCAGGGCGACTTCCTCGTATATCGGATCGGGCACCGCCAACGGGAACATGGCCGCGTTACCAAGTTGATTCTTAACTGTCTGAGACTTCTTGGACTTAGCGAAGGTCAAGGGACCCGCGGCTCTGCACAGGACAGCTTTGGCGTCCCCGGTGGAAGCCACCTTCAGAGAATACTTGGTCGAGGATTTTGGATATCCTTGCTGCGACGGCAATTTCACGACGTGGACCAGAGTTGCGTCTACGCCGTACTTCTGACCCTTCTCCTTGAGCTCTCTATGCGCCGACAGCAGGGTGTATTTCAGATATTCCTTCGACGTCTCCCGGACCGTTCGTTCCTCCAGTAAGAGGCGGGGGATCATTTCCTGAAGAGCGCTAGGTGCTTCCTGGTTGGAACCACCATCGAATATGCCGAACAGACCCTCGATGTTGCAAAAGGATGGCATTCGCACTTGGGAAATGTACAACCTGTATGCAAACGTGAGATTTTTATACTGATCGCAATGCATATTTATAATATATTATACAAAGTTGTTTGTTTCTCAAAAACAAGATATAATAATGCGATTTTTTAGAATTTATTAAAAATAAATTTCTTGTAATAAGGAAGTGGTATCTCTTACAATTTATCTATAATCTTGAGGAAAATACATAAAAATAACAATCTTACTTTTCGCGCGAACCGGCAGTTTCCGAAAAGCCCAATCGCCATGGTTGTTCGGTGTTCTTTTCCGCCGCGACGATTTCTTGTTGATGCGGATGAGATGGCAGACTAGGTCTGTTCTGTCCAGACACATCTACTAAAGAAATCGGCCTTTGGGATCTGTAGTCCTGGAACTGTCGCGGGTCCACGTGCAGTCGAGAGTTGCAGGAAATGTCAAGAAATTGCAGTTGCGGCGGTACTAGTGTGGCCAGATTTACCCTATCCAATTGATTATGCGCCAGATCCAGCACCTGGATAGATAAATATTTCATCTCGTGTTTTTATTAGTTGCATGCATTATTAGTATTTTTTGTAAATTTCTTTTATAAATATTTTCTACGTTGACATATGTTATTTAGAAACAAGCACTCTCCAAATATCGTAACTTCATGAAATATATTTATACACGACTATACATACAAAATTATTTTATTAAAATTATTCTATGGCAACAAAAATATATTTCGCAGAAACTAAAAATCATATATAATAATAAATTCAATTATAAATAAATACAATTTTTCACGGTTTATATAATATAATAAAACAAAATCACAAAAAATGAGAGAGAAACAAGAAGAAAAAATATTTTATTTCTCGTATTTTTATATATTTTAGTTAGATTTTCTAGTTTTTTTTATACAAGTATAAAACATAATTATTATTTATGTATTTATACAAAAAAATATATATCTATCTCATTTCATATATTCTTTATTTATATTTTTATATCTACATTTGATAAAATTTTTAAAGAATCGATTGCTGCAAGCTTTCATTTCTCAAGTCAGTTCTATATAAATATGAATTAACTAACATCTTTGAGAATCAATAATCTTTTCCGTCTAAGTAAGCAGAGAATGTGGAACGAGAATTTGGATTGCAAGCCACGTGTCTCGTTTACGTAAATTGCTCAATATGAATTAATGATATTCATACACGTTGTACGACTATCTCATATTTAATATCTCACCTTCAAGGACGTTGTTCTACTGAACGTGGGACACGTTAATAGCCGATTAGAATGCACGCGTAGCACACGCAAGTGTCGCAGATTCGCCACGTTGTCCGGAAGGTACTGCAATCGGTTTCCAGATAACACCAATTCTTCCAGATCGCCCCACGCAGCTATGCAACTGCAGCATCACAATTTTAATAATAAAACGTTATAATAACGTAATAATAAAATTATTTTAAATATCCATCTGTGTCAGTATTCAAATCGTACTTTTCGTCTGACTTTTGTACAGTTTACTGAAATATCTTTTTATTGTATCCACACTTCGCGTCCGTTATTTGTTATCTGATAACCGATATAAAATTATCGATTAAAATTGTTCTTTCCTGTATCCCTTTATGTGTCCCAAAGAATGAAGATAGGCTCACCTTTCCGGAAGTGTGTCCAGGGTGTTGTAAGCGATATGAAGAATTCTCAAAGACGTAAACTTCGCGAGGGCGTCTAGAGCGGTATCGGTTAGACAATTTGCCGTGACGTATAATTTCTCCAAGGTATGCGATCCCTGGTGAATTTTGCCGGCCTCTTCGCGATACGGAAGTTCGGAGAGGCGATTGTTGGAGAGGTTCAAAACTTTCATCCTGAAAAGAAGATCGAAGTCTAAACTCCATTGAGTAGGTACAAAACATTTATGATAAAAGAAACGCCATGATTTTATTTCAGACGGTTAAATATGTGTTTTATAAGAGCTTTCTCTCTCTTTTTAAACTGATATAAATGTGATTATTGCTTTTGTAAATTAGATACAATATTGCTTCATATTATTCATTCTCACGATTTTGAAACGCAAATATGAATTTATTTATTATTTGAATTTATATGAGATACGCGGTCAATGTCTTACTTTTCGGTGTTAGCGAAAAAACTCGTTGGCAACGTGGTCAACATGTTGCCCTGAAGAGTTAAATGGACGATATTCAATGGTCTCCTGGGCGGCGGTAGGGCTTGTAGTCGGTTGTGAGGCAGATGGAGAACTTCTAGTCTCGAGGGTTGCGACAACAATCTGTCTGGGAGAGCCGTGAGAGCATTGTGCGATGCGAAAAGGACGCGCAATGCTGGCAATTCAGTTGTCCATTCCGGTAACGCGTCTAAATTATTGCTGAGCGAAGAGCGATAAAAAAAAACAAGTTTTCACATAAAATAGAAATAAATTAAATAATAATTAAATAATAAAAAATACACATTTTAAAATTCACTGGTTATTAAATGACTTATTAAACGACTTGCTAAAATATATTTAATTGCTGTTAAACAGACTGCAAATTATTTTTATATATTTGAACCAAAAATTAAAGTGCTTGGATAAAAAATATAAAAAATAAAAATAATTTAAATATATTAAATAAAGTAAAGTTTTGCAGATAACTTTTATTAGTTGATAGTATTTCATAAATTTTAGACTGATTTAATGTATTAATATACATAATAATTTATATTGCATTCACTCACTATGAAACATCCAGATGCTCCAAATTAATTGGCACAGGTTCGACGATTAGTTTTTTTAATCCTGCAAATAAAAATAATTATTTTTATTCTAATTTAATTATTTTATATTTTATTCTTCATTTCTGTCGCGGTATATTAAATAAGTAATAAAAAATTATCGGCCAATGCATATAAAAGTCTAGACTCACTATTATTTCCAGCAATAAGCGATACAAGGTTTCGTCCGCAAAGAGTTAATTCCGTTAAATTATTTCGTCCGCAGCGTACACTTCTCAATTCTTGTAGAGCACTGATATCCAGTTTTTCAATGCTATTTTCGCTCACATCCAGATGCGTCAGATTCTTTGTTCGTGAAAAAGAAAGAGAAATAATAAATGCCAAAGTTTGAAGTTAATTACTTTTTTATCTTATTTTTTTTCGAAAAAAAGCTTTATTTGTAAAGTGAATTAAAAAGAAACAGATATATAAAAATAAAAATTTCATAACAGATATAAACTTACGCCATAATTTCCTAAAATTATATTTCCTTTCAGTTGATTATTTCTTAGATTGATCTTGTGCAAATTACTATGATTGACTTTCTCATCCTTGTATGACTTTCCGTGATCTGTCTTCGACAGAACTTCCTGTGGATTGGTTATTATGTAATAAATAAAATATCTTAAAAATTTGAAAAGTTTTATCAAGTCATGATTTGCAGAATTAAAAAATTTAGATTTTATTATATAAAAAAGCTAATAATTAATTAATAAAGAAATATTAAGAAAAATTTTACAGAAAAAATGTTTCCTTTTTGTTTTATGATTTTGTGATTGAGAGAGTTTATTTTAAGAACATAGGCACTTATACATTTAAGGGCCATTTGAGGGATTGAAGGTTGTTAGTTCAAAATTTGATCGACAGAGGGCCGTTAAGATGATATATATCTCGTAAATAAAATTCGGTTTCGTTGGTTATATAAGGACCATTATGAGTTCAGTTCGTTACTCTGGTTTCCCTTCAAACCACGTATAAATCTTTCGCCTTTTACTAAAGATTTCCGTGGAGGGGAACATATGATGAGTCTATAACAATTTTTTGATGTACCCAGCGAAAGCTGGGTCGTAAGTTAATCTAAAATTAATACGTTTAGAAAAATACATAGTTAAATCTGTTTCAAAATCGAGAGTTCATTTATGGGCCCATGCATTTACGGGCCTTTGGAAAGATTCTACAATTAATACGTGTAGAAAAATATACATAGTTAAATCGATTACAAAATCGAGACTCATTTATGGGCCCATGCACATACACATACGGACCTTTTGAGATTCGACACTGTCAGTTTAAAACCTAATCTCGACAGAGGGCCAATAGGATGAACTGTATCTCGTAAGTAAAATTCGGTTTCCCGGTCTATTTTAGGACCGTTATGAGGTTGGTTTCGTCACTCTAGTTTCCTTTCAGACCACGTATAAATCTTTCGCCTTTTACTAAAGATTTCCGTGGAGGGGAACACTTGATAGAGTTTATAACAATTTTTTGATGTACCCAGCAAAAGCTGGGTCGTAAATTAATCCAAAATTAATATATCCAGGTTATACACTATATGTATATAGTTCTATTTCAAAGTTGTGGCGATTGTGGATTTTATAATAATTACGTACTCTTTCTTCCATGTACAACTTAACTTGAACATAATAAATTTTGCATTCAAATTATTTTTCTATATGTGTGACTCATTAGACATGTATACATATATGCATGTCTAATGAGCATGCATATATTTTTATATACATATATGTGCGTGTGTGTGTGATAAAAATATTTTTATCGTTATGCACAAAATATTTTTTCTCTACCAACAAATTATTTTTTCTTATTTACCTTTATATATATAAATATTTTGGAATATAAAATTGCTAAATGATTTTTAAATAATTTAATTTTAGATTGAGTGTTTATTCGATTTTCATTATAAAACTCAAAGATTTATATACTTGTAAAATTGTTCATCCACATGAATTTTTAATAAAAGGTAAAAGATTTATTGATGGGAAACCAAAGTCATGAATTAAACCAATCATAACATTGTTTGTATTCATAAAAAATGTTATTTTTAAACAATTTCCATTTACTAAACATTTTTATAAACTTATAAACAATATATGTATATATATGCGTGTACAGTTGTCTATAGAACTAATAATATAATTGTGCCAATGTTTAACTATCCTTAATTAAATGTATATGTATATGTGTCTTTTAATGTAATATGAATAAATGATTAAAACAGTGTAACACATATTTGTTTTTGAAAAAATCTTATAAAATTATAAAAAATACAAACTATTACACAAATTTTTCGGAATATTTTTTCATTTAATAACATTATTCTTTTTATATAAAAGAAGTCTAGATTCTTTAGATTCTAGAATCTTTTTAAGAAATGTAATTTAGTTATAATAATATATCACATATGTAGCTCAAATATGTACGAAAAAGTTAAAAGATATTAGAGAATTTAATTAAAATTCTTTTGGATATTTTTAGTTTGAACCCGACGCGACGCTATATGACAAACGGTATTTTTATTATAGCGTATATGTATAATCAATAATAGGTACATAGTCAGTATTGAAATGTTTATGTGTCAGACACGTGTGAATAGTTAAAACTAAACTACAAGGGTCAAGGTCGGATATGTAAAGCGAATCAATAAAAACCGCTTAGAATTCACGTACTTAATATTACTTTTATCAGAATATTCCACTTTATCGCTTTCACTGTAATCTATCTAACATCAAACGCATTTCAGATATCTATGTGATCTATTTATAATTTTATGTACACGGTACATTTTAATGTATATCATTTTTCATCAATTTATAAATCGTCTGAGTGATTTTTAGAACTTAGTTTATTCATATTAATTTTATCATTTATTATTAAAATTTATTATATCATACAAGATAGTCTAACTTACTGTCAGAGTGAGAGCTCGCATGTTGAAAAAGGATGGTACGGTGTTGAGTAAATTTCCGACGAGGGAAATATTCCTCAGGTTTCTCAGCCGTGTCACTTCGTCCGGTAGGTCCTTGATGGCATTACGGTCAAGGATCAGCTCTTTCAAACTGCAACATGGTGATAACGTTATGTTAAGGAAGGATTACACGCGAATAAATTAACAAATTGCCTCGCGTTTTATTTTAAAAATATTAATATTATTAGTATAATTCTTAATTATCATTTAAGAATTAAAAAACTCGAGTCGACTTTGAGTTAATGTTATTTCATTTATATTCTTCTTGTATTTAAATAAGTTTGTTTATTTTTTCCTTATAATTGAAACTCAATTTCCATCTTTAGCATTATAAAATATTATAAATATATTTTTATCCATTACTATCTATACAGAAAAATTAATACAAAAATAAAAATTATCAAAAAAATAAAGATATAGAAATAAAGATTTCATTATACTGAATATAATGTAAAATTAGAGAATCTTTTATTATTCACAATTTATTATTCACAGGATAGAAATTTGCTAAAAATTATTTTGAATTTTTTGTTATTTTTTGTTAAAGTATTAACCAAGGAAGAATCTGTATCTGGAAGAGTTCATTCATAAATTACAGTTTTTGTGACGTGGCAGCAGTGCAGTTTTTAGCTACTGTGAATTGTATCCCGAAGCTTCGGACACGCGAGTCGGTGAACCTAAACGAGCGAGCCGCCCACAGGATGTGCACTTGAGTAGAAAGTTTCGAATTATAGTGAAAACCTTCGTTGCAGTAAGCATCTGTGTCATCGGACAGACTTTCGATTTTTGCCATCAAAACAGTAGCAGTTCTTATCAATAAACGCATTTAATTCGGCGAGAAATTTGAAATCCTTATTTTCTTGTTAAATCAATTACGTATAATGTGCCTTAAAATTAAGTCAGATTACAATTGATTCTTTAAAAGACAATCATTAAAGATACTAGTTTTTGCGATATGAGCAATTGAAAATACAAGAACTTTATATTCAATTTAAAAAATTTTAGAGCATTATATAAAATATCGTATTTTTAGTACAAGAAAGAGAAAACAAGAGTAACGAACTGACAAATGAATTTCGAAAAGGCTTACATAAATGTTTTTACGATTACAAAACATTTTAAAAATTTCTAGAAATAAGTCACTTATGAATAACATCAAGAATAATTGTATTCACAAAAGATAATTATAGATTGTTAATAAAAATCCGATGCGAGAAAAATTAAAAAACTAATAAATATCGATTGTAACATATCGTAAATAAATGTATCATTATCATCGTCAGCGTTTTCTTTACGAAGCCGTCGTTTTATTTTAGAACACGCACTCGTTATTTCTCACCTGGTTTGGCACTTCTTGCTTTTTGATGTTTGCTGCGCACACGTTCGTTTAAGAGCGTTCAAGTACCCGAAGTACTTTCTTTGGTACGCTCGGTAAATATGATTGTTATCATCAAGTAATATTTTGTTCGAAGAACACTCGTTCTATATTCCGATTTCACTTTTACAAATTCCTTTCTTCTATTGTAGTTTTAATAATCACACGTAGAGAAATATTTGGGTATTGAAACCACAAGTATCCGGGATAATTTATATTTTATTAAATTAGTTGCTGTGATATGTCTTATGTTGTAGGGTTACTTTTAATAAATAAAAATATGTGTGTTATGTAAAAAAACGTAACGTCACGTTATACAAGTGTTAAAAATTACTTGTATATCGACGAGTTTTTTCCCGATATTGCATTCTTTCCGAATGCCGAGTGCAAAGTCCTGGAATATCTTGGCACATTGTAAACGACATTACGCCCCCGATGCGAGCGACATTCTCACTTTGCCAGGCAAATTTTGTGAATTGCGTACACAGCACACGCAGAACTTTCACCATCGAATGCGTAAAGCGAATGCTTTATATACTGAAAGTGGTGAGATCTAAATTTTCACCGTGCAGATACAATTTTTACAACACGACTTTTAACGTCGAGCGTGCACGGTAGTGCGCGGATTTTGAGGATCGGGATTGTCACTGGATCGTGGACCAAGTCTTCGCCGTAATCTCCTCGACCACGGGATTTTCGGCGGCGACTCGGAAGCGATCTCCGCGCGGCTTTTCGCGGTGCGATTTTCGCGCGGCCGGAGATGCACACCCGCGGCGGCTCTTCCGAGGACTAAAGAGGTCGGTTGAAAGGCGAACTTATTCCTCTTGAGGATACCGTCTTGTGGCGAGGGAAGAAGAGGGAGGCAAGACCGAGGATGGGTTGGCTGACCACTCTGATGTAACAGAACAGAAATTGTCTGCCGCGGTGTACGAAGCGGGACCGAGCGATAATGCGCCGTGGCTTAGACCGGACATGCACTGACGATGGCCGGCACCAGCCACGGTGAAATCCTTGTTACACATAATACCTTAATTCCGCGTGAATAACGTCGTCAAATTATGCCGTTTGAAGTATAATACGCGATACCACAAACGCGTATCTCCGCGTTGAAATCTGCCCGAATGTCTGCCGGGATAATAATTCAGGAATATTTGTGCTTTAGTACGTTTAATTATATAGAAACTATTTTGGACGTTCAAATTATTCAAAAGCCGACGAGATAGTGCCGAGATTAATATACAGTATGAATAGTGAGAGATGGTTTTAGCATAAGAGAATTAACTGCGTGGTCATCGAATGTAATTTAAATGAACAAACAAATTTAATTATGCCTAATAAAGATTTAAATGATTCTATGATTCTCTCTATGATTCTCGTCGTAAGACATTTTATCTTTGAAAACCTTTTGTTCGCTCATATCTGGGTCAGCTGTACCTGGAGCGACGGAAGCATCCGCATTATCGCGCCAGTCGTATAATCTTAAATTCAGATTCGGTTTTCTCTCGTTTTTGGGCGCTTCGTTTGACTCGATCGTCGAAAGTGAATCATGCAAAATTGCCTTAAAGTGCCCGACTCTTCCTGCGGTAGAACGGGGTTAGGCAACATCAGGAGTCGTGCGCCGAGGCAGTGGCGCGAGACGGCGAGACTCGGGTGGAAACCGGCGCACGCGAGCCAAGGAAAAGGTGAATGTCTATGGAACTTATGTCGGACTTGGCGAGTACTTCATCCCGGGCAATTAGATCTCTCAGCGAGGTCCTCGTAAACGAACGTGAATTTCCAGAAGTACTATCGTTACGCCACTGTGATTCACAATCGAAAGCATCGGCGCGTGGAAACCCGTGGTTTTGAGAAAAACGAGAAAAATTTCATTACATATACGTCTTCATAATTTTTAATACCGATATATATATTATATTATACCTGAGCAAAATGTAAAATTCCCCGCGTTTACGCAAGCAGTTTGGTGTTTAAAAACAAATTTAACTATTATATCTTCAAAATTCTTACATTTCTAGAAAATGAGAATATTCTTTGGTTGCAATTCGAGAAGCAGGCGTGAATTCAATTAAATGAAAACGTGAAAGTAGACGCAGTTCGCGCTAGTGTTTTCGCAAAATAAATTGAAAACCGCTTAATGGTGAAGGAAAATACTTTAAATTTAGATAAAAGATATTATTTTAGACACCAGATATATCTATTAACATACATTGTGTAGATCTTCTATTTAGATTTAGGAAAAGGGGTCAGAGATACGCTAAAGCTATATTAACTTGGCTCGATTATGGCCTTTCTAATGGCGGTCTAATGAACATTTTGTTTATCTAAACAACCACTGAAAAATGGGAGAGGGACAGGATAGTGTCACCTAACCGTAACGATCATCAAGACTTAAGTTCCGTAAATTCGCCTATGAGTTCGCCGATGGCGAGCCCGTGAGAGGAGCACTTTTACCTTCCATGCGTGTGTGCGCGCGTGCAGCGACGTCGTCGTGTTCACACCCCGTAGTTCCTCCCCCCGGTATCCTCATTTCCGGTCGGTGGAAAGCGGTTTTCGAGAAACTTTATGTAATCTCCGTCTCGATTGTGCGTCTTTCCCCTCCCCCTCTCGTAAGATCAGATTTTTTGCGTTGTCTAAAGTTGCGCGGTACTAAGAAATTTATTGTTTCTTTGTGATCTTTATAATGTCTCGAGCTCAATGATACAAAATATCTTATAATACAAATTGTACATAAGTTTAAGAATCGTGACATTTTACGATCACGAGTAACAAGAAGAAAAATTGCATTTCGTTGTCATGTCACTTAATTATTTTTCATTATTTTACTTTTGTTTCAATTATTAAAGATTTGTTTAGTACATTGAAAAAACAATATAACTGATAGAGGACATGTTTAGATTTATTTCTAAAGAAATTTATATATTTTAACAAATTTAAAACTGATTATAGAATGATTATAAAAATAAATACAAATTATAAATCAAGAATTGAAAAATTTTTGAAAAATTTACTTCGTCGTCATTTTAATTTATCCACAATATTTGAATTCCCTAATACGTGGCTCTTTATTTCAAAACGGAAGGATTAAATTCATTTCGATGTATTATGCAATTCTCTATAATCGATTTTACATGTTTCTCGAGTTCTAATATCGGCAGTCATCGTATGTTTTTCGGGAAATCGGACAATTAACAGCACTATTCAATCATTATCACTCGCGCTGATTTTCCACACGAATTCGTTATCAGCACTGATCGACAATAGCTCGCGTGATTAATGTGTTAGTAATTAATTGTACTCCTAGATTGACGTACATAAATCAGGCGATACGGAGGGGAAAATTCAGCCGCGCATGCACATTGATGCATACAAGCCGCTATGCCGATTTATAAAATAGATAATTCATTGCAGCGAACGCTAAGAAAAACAATGAAAAAGAAATGTATTCGGGATTCTCGAAAAGCCCGATTATCACGAGCTCGAGTGTTTTCTCGTAATACGCTCGAAGATAAAAAAACCGGGATCGCAATTCTTCAATCAAAGTCTACTGAAATAGGAAACAAGTGATATAACACTGATAAAAAGATTTTAGAGATAACTGCTAGTCTGATAAACATCTGATCTCTCCTGATAACGGAGAATAAACAAGCGAGGAAGTCTCTTCCGTTTAAAAAGGGATTATCTATAATCTACTGTCGTCGTAAATAAAGCAGATAGATGAATACGTAAGTAAATGAAAAATTATACACGTACTTGATCAGTCGACAGATGTCAGCCGGAATTATCTCGATCTTGTTGTCCGAGAGATTAAGGTAGGTCAACGCCGACAGCTCCAGCAGTTCCCTCGGGATTCTGTGGAGATTGTTGCTCTCCAGATGAACGGCATGAAGTTTGGGAAACCTGCGCGAAAGGGGGAGAGACGGGGAATGAAGAGTTACGTACGAATTAACTACTAATTAAAGTTTCCTTGCAATCTCGCCGCATTTGTGCTATCGGACACTCACACGCTTTTCTTTGCTCTTATCGGAGAAGGGGGTTAATCTATCCGCGCTCTAATTACTCGATATTCCGCAAGAATTAATTTAATTTCTCCTTTTGTCTGTCTTATCGGCTCTTTCTTTCGTTAATCTCATTGAAGTGCGGGTGCTCGGTTACTTATATATACTTAACTTTTTTTTTTCATCGGATAATAATCGGAGAAAGTCAGAAGTAAAATGGAAAATGGAAGAGTAAGGTAAATTTTTTTGTATTTTTCCAGAAGCGATTTAATATGACTGCAGAAGAAAGTGTACCTGTGCAGAAGCTTCAGATTGTTATCAACGTTAGTGAACTGGTTGCATCCTAATGCGAGCTCCTCTATCGCCGCAAAAGCTATCGCGCTGTCGGGAAGCCTTGATAGGCCCGCCTTGCTCAAGTCCAAACTTTTGGGGCATGTCGACAATTGCGTAGCCTGTAAAAACACGAAAGAGCATGTGATATGTTAATGTCGTAAATATTTTATAACAAGATATAATTAATAATAAAGAAAAACAAGATAGATAAAATAAATGTACGTTAATAATGTTTAATAACTAAAGTAAAAGTTAACTAAAAGTATCTGAAAAATATCTTTCTCGATTTTTATTACGAGAAATCCTTGAACTCGATTAAGTATTACGTATTATGAGAATTTTATTACACCACAATATTGTATATTTCCGTTTCAAAGTAAGACAAATTTATTGTAGGCAAATGGAGAAAATGATAGCTGCCAGATATATTATTATTATTAGATTATTTATTGCGCAATTGGATTATTATTGCGATTTTCATAATCCTATGTATGCCGTGTTTACCTCCAAGGAATCCGTGTCTATGGTGTCGTCTCTATCAAAGTCATACTCCTCCATGATAGCAATCAAATCTCCGACACGCACCATCTTCCGAACCGCCGCATATTCTTGCGCGACACGCACGTTTCGCATCGAGCGTGCGATTTAATTAAAATTCACGGTTCACTTTGACGTAATCATCATTCCGAAGCTACATAATTTACCTCGTAGAGTGTAACAGTTCGTTCAAAAGTTTATTCACGAGGATGCCGTAAAATCTCGCTTTCATCACATCTGCATTATAACGTTTAATTTTATATTACTACATTTCAAACGTCGACTTTAAAATTACAAATCGCATTATCTTAATTAATGTTGACTTCAGTGAGTGACGTGTTCCGTTCCGTTGTGATTCTTCGTATATTACGGAGCAATAGTTTCGTTCAGATCAATTGATTCGTTAGTGTAGCTACAGACGGGAGAGAGAGAGAAGGGGGGGGGAGGAGGAGGAGAAGGGAGAGAAACAGAGAAATCGCTTAATAACGAATCAATAATTTAACAATATCCGTACGCGGCGCGATGATTAATCAGACACAGAGTATCGTGTTCGTCGGAGCAGACGTCCAAACGAAACAAGCGAACGAATTTTAACGTTGTAATTTCGTCACGTCGTTTCGATTTGTTCTTCCGAGGGTTGTGCATTCGAAATTACAAAACAGTCAATCGACATGGCGCAATTATTGGATCGCGCACAAATACGAACAGTTCGCGAATCTAAAAAATAGAGTGATATATGATGCGCGCAATAAAATAAAACAATTTCACGTGGAGTTACAGTTACTGCGTGCGTGTGCGTGCGTGTAAAAGGATATATATTTTACTATCTTTTATTAAACATTTGTGTGTACGTGTGCTAATATATTATATCTATACAATTTGATAATATATCATGTCCACACAATGAGTCTTCAAACAAAATTTTATAACAAAGAGATCAATAAGTTCTAAATTGATAATATAACCAATTTTAAGAAAATAAAATTTAAATACATTTAGTGAAAAATAAAATTAAAATAATTTAATTAAAATTAATTGCACTAAATAAAATTCTAGAGTTATACATTCTTTACAACAAATTTAAATATAAATAAAATAACGATGAAAATAAATAAATAATAAATATAATTTACATTTCAATAATTCTTTGTACTTTATTGAAAAATTTAATTATTATTGTTTCATTTCTATTTGCTTTTAATATACGCCCAGTAATAATTCATTCTGCGTCTACATTTCGCTTTTTATACGCTCTCCGTTGACTCGATTTTGGACCACTTTATCGTTGAATAATCCAAAGATTATAATGCATTCAGCCTTGCTGAACTTCATTGTAAGAAACCAACGTAAAGTAGCGGCGGTGCACGAGCAATATTTGTGCCGACAAGTATTGTTCTGCTCGTTGCCCCGGCTACGAATAGCCTCTCATTGTCCGCGGCGAATTTTCAACCGAACAATGAAGACGTCAGTCATGGCTTTCTTATCGGCGTTAGATTCGTCCGCGATCGCGCGCGGACCGCCCTAAAACAATACGACGGAAAAATCTCTGCCAGTATCATTAGAAAGCAGAACGTCGCGCACCAGATCGAACCATAACAAAAAAGAAACGTGAAAAACTCCACATTATTGTGTTTAGCGAAGAAAGGAAAGCTAAATGAAACTTTAATTTGTAAAAGTATCATTTATAGCCAAGTCGACAGAAATTTCCCCAAAACCAGATTAATTTTTTAATGTGTCATATCGAATTCGAAGATCGACCCAAAGAACGAAGAAGAAATCAAAAAGATCTCGATTTTTCAGGATTCGTTTATATTCAAACATTTTTATGTGGCTTGTTGTTTTTATGGAAAAATAAATTTGACTGAATAATTTTATCTCATATTGTCATATTTTCATATTCACATTTGTCATATTGACATTTTGTCTATTATAGGAATTAACATATTCTTCTAGACTAATAGTTTGGATCGTTCTAATTAAGCTAAGTGCTAATGTTTGCTTATTAATAATTATCATTCTCGACTTGACAGATCTTCGAAGCTTGGTAGCTTCTTAACGGATTCACAGCATAAAATTTCTCGTCGCGTAATATATAATGCAGTTTCCCATAATAATCGAGATTTTTTCGTCGGGACGCCATTAGAGGAAGTGTCACCGTTGATGAAGGGGAAAATGGGATTACGTGGAAAAGAGAGCGATACCGTGTCGCGGGAAAGAGCTCGGAGTCGCGTGAGCGAGCACGATCGTCGCATGACGATTAATTTCCGGTCGGGCGGCATCAAATCCGACGGGGAAAGTGATTTACGTTTTAGACGTGTACACGCGCTATACGTATAGTCTTATATAATCGAACGTTCGGCAAATTTAGAAGCGAGTCTTTTTCACGGGGAGTCCTCCGGGGCATTCATAATCGGGGTTTAAGGTGATCAGATTCGTTCGAGCGATACGCTTCTGATGCGAAGTTCCCGGCGCGGCGCAGCAGCACCCCGATGGTAGTATCCTCAGATTTAACTCCACTCTTCCATCGTCTCAATTCCACCAATTTCCCGACGATAATTTCCCATCGGAACCCCGCGCGATCGATCGATGCTACCTTCCGATCGTGACTTCGGGTTCGCTGACCGTCCTCGAGTTTCCACTCGATCCGGAACTCGGATGCAGGATGAGGGGGATGAAGAAGAGGGAAAAAAAGAGAGAGAGAAAGAGAAAGAGCTGCGAAGGATATAGAAAACGGAGAGAAAAAGGAGGTGAAAAAAGTCGCGCATACATTGTCGGCCGGTTGATACACGCCGGCGATGGGTTGAAAACGAGAAGGAAACGAGACGAAACGACGACGTTTCTATAGCTAACGGACGCGCTTAGCGTGAAGAGCCGTGATAGAAAGGGGCAGCCGGGCACCAAACGAGTGAAGACGTAGAGGAAGGGACAAAAGAAGAAGCTCCGCGTGTCCCCGGGCTGTCTGTACTCGTCGATGGCTAACGAGGGAAGTAACTTTCCCGAGAAAGTTTCGGGCCAGTCGATACTGATGCGTCAAGCGAGCTGCGATAATCTGCCGCATGAAATCCAGGACTAGGGGCAAAGGAGATCGCAGTGTGAGAAAGAGAAAGAGAGAGAGAGACAAAGGGAGGGGGAAGGAGCGGAACACGATCTCTTCTTGGCGAGAATCACTCTTTTAGCGTTGGAAACTTTCTGTCTTCTCTCCTTTTTCTCGTTTATTTTTTATTTTTTTATTTTAACAGTGCGGTCAAGTTGGGGTCAAGCCTTGCGAGTCAAACCTAACGAAGATAAATAATCCTTGAGGATCCTGTGCGCGTGAAATCAGGGATGCTACGAAAATGATGGGCTGCGAAATAGATTCAGCGCGATGTGTGTGTGTGTGTGTGTGTGTGTGTGTGTATGCACGTGTGCGTGACGCACGAATTATTATGAGATATAATTAGCGAGTACTGTTATCACATCGGACGTGAATTCGCTTAACATCGCATACCGTTCGGCACGTGCGTAGCCGTGCTAAATTTATGATGTGAATTATGTAAACCGTTAAACGAGTCTTCTCGAAACAATTGGCGAGAACAATCGTGGCAATTACGGGGAATAGGCGAGAGGCGGATTAAGGACGAAAGAGTAGCCGATTAGGGAAAGTTGATAATTAAGATTATTGCCTTTAATAGCACGACGCGTTAATCCTCATGACCGATTTAATGCACAGTCATCTTGAATTACAGTAATCGGCGTTAAACGATACACCGACGTTGCGAAACGAGCTGTTAATTGAATGTTTCTGAAATGTGAACTTGTATTTTTGTTAGCATTTGATTGTTTGTTACACACACGTTAAACAGCATACAATTGTTTTTCTAAAAATATAAAAATATCGAAAATATTTTTTTATAACATTTTTTTTATAAAATCATAAATAACGTAATAGATCTTTAATATATTATTATTTATCGCAACACGATTTTATATACAATGGACAAAATACTTCATCAATTATTGGATCCATATATAAAGTGATATGTATGTGTGGAAAGTTTTACGATTCCCTTGACACTCACAAAATTTCGCTCAACCGCGAATTCTTTTTTAATGTCCCTGCGAAATTAACACTGGGATCTATTTCCGGTTTAATAACAGGTACCGTCCGCGTTGAGTCAGATGAATAGCGCTTAATCGATTATTGGCAACCGCGTATCGGTGGTTTGCGCGAACGGTTAAAAATTCTGACCGCAACGCATGTGCCGATCAATTTCCCGGGATAGTGCCTGAAGGGGAAACGCGGCAACGACGTTCAATCGCGCCCTCGAGAGCTTCTTTGACATTTTGGACTTTTAATTAATTGCCCCCGATATAGCGATCGTGTTAATTTTGATAATTAGCGTTTGATTAAAGCATGTATATATGGTTTTATAGAAGTCGCGCACATCAGAGCGTCACGCGAAAATTGTCATGTTTTACTCACTTTTTAGCAGAATTGCTGAAATTAAATTTTTCGGTGAAACAATTCTCAACAAAAATTTAATTGTGTAATCCATTTTTTACAAAGGTAAAAATTTTATAAAAGTTGTTCCCACAAAATTTA